TGTGATATTACATTTGCGATTGTGCTAGATTTTTATGCGATTCCTGTTGAATGTGATGTTAACAGTGAAAATTAAGAGATTAAATTTACTTGTAAAATTGGTCACTATGGCCGATTTTGGGGGCTCTTTATAGAGATAAAAAATGAGTATATACATACATTTATGTACTGAGAAATTGTTTAGTCCTATAGTACCTATACATTTACTTCTAAACTAAACCCAGTAAATTCTTTCTTTCGTTCACTAGAATTCATTATACTCCGTTCGCTATCAGGTGAAAGTAATAAAAACCATATTTTATATGCAAAAGACTATGATTATGAAAAATCATAAAATTCCAAAACTTTAAAGCCCTTACTATTGTCTAACAATAATATTGTTTATTTTACTTTGATTGAGCCACTCTGTTTACAGGGCATTTAAAAATAGCCGACCCTTTTCTAAACACAGATAAAGTGACCTGAAAACAATGCATAGACGTGCTTCTGAGATATTAAATAGTTACTAAAAGGATATACTTAAAAATTACTTCCAATAAAATTAAATATTGCTTTCATGGGTAAGTATATGAATCAATATTAGTAATTATTACATATGTATATAGTATTTACCAAATTATTAATTTAATAGTGCCTACACTTTTTATTTATTTATTTGCGCACCTATGGTTTACTGCTTCAAGAAGGTTTTATTAGTATATCCTGATGGCGAACGGAGTATAAAACTGATATAAACGTCTAGTCCTTATAAATTTACCTCTAAACTGCTTCAATATTACCAATTTAAAGATATTAGGTAACAAATGGACTAGACTATACCCATCTGCCTATCTACCGTTGTGATCGAAGAAACCCATTTCGTGCTCGTTATAACTCGTTATCCCTTATTTTTTTAAATAGATTTCGCGAAATCCCGTTCGGTATTCCGGTTATTGCATGCATAAAGCGAGGTTCTGCGTTTTCCACCGGCTTTCGCATCGATTTTTACACCCACGTGCCCGCTATTCCTATTTATAGGGCATTTAGTCTGCACATTTTTCGAATGTTGTAGACTTACTAGATCAACTGTATATTTGCGGACGAAATTGCGAATTAATATTGATGCGCAATCTGTGTACATAGAGTGTCCCATAAACGTCATTACTTAGGCGGAGCGTATAAATGAAATTCTGTTCATTTCGCTGTGTAAATTATAATTCACCGAAACGCCGAACGCAGTTCTCATTAAATAAAACTCGAAGTTAATATATTTTAATCTCGGGAAAGTCGGAAAATTCGAGGGAAGTTCGTGACCGGGCGAATAATCAACCCTCTAGTAGAATCCTCTCTTCTGCACTTTTGATCTTCTCCTTCATGAAGTCTCTTTTCTTGCCATTTTTATAACATTTAAGGCTTCACATATCCTATGAAAACTTAATACTTTGTATATACTACTTTGTGTATTTTTTGCTTCATTTTCACCATATTCCTTATTATCGCCTCAATCTTTTCATCATAAAATATATTCCCAGTTTTTCTGATATACCTTTCCGACCTCCATCGACCTCATCTATTTTATAAATCACTTGGCGTTTCGTCATAAAATACAATTTTCCCGGCTGCTGTTTGTTATTCATCGCCAGTGCTCCCGTCTTCGATTCTCTGACCGATTATAGCCCCGCTTACCTGCGATTTTAGCGAAATTTCGACATCGTGCAGTTTTCCATCATTCCGCGAGCTCTCGCAACCCCCGCGAGGACGATAAGCTCTCATAAACTACGGGGAAACTTCGTGCATTAGAAACTTCAACCCTTTCGAGACGGGGCGAAGTCGCGGAGATAGGTAATAAAAGGTATAGTAGGAAAAAAAGAGGAGAGTGTAGAGTGGGATTTTTCGAGTGAAATTGAAGGAAGGAAAAACGAGGAAATTAAAATATAACGAGCCGGGAAATTTTAGGCGATTGTATTGAGGTTATTGTAGTAAAAGTTTTGAAGGGGAAAAAATTAACACTAATTAGGGTAGGCAAAGTGTTATGTAATCCTGGGAGTTAATAATTTATATGTGAGTTTAGGGATTTTAATTCTATCAGGTTAAGGCAGAAAGAAGAAAAAGAACTTTTTAACAGGGTTTTTAAAGAAATGTCGAATAAAAAATTTCGAAAAAGTTTTTTATTCTTACTTTTTTTTGATAAATTTTCTTTTTCGAGTATCTAACTTTTGTACATTATTATATTTATAAATATGGCTTTAATTTAAACTGAAATACCAAAAATAAACAACAAAATATAGCTGAAAAAAAGCTTTATTATACAGGGTGTTTTTTAATAACATGCTAATATTTAAGGTGATTCGTGGGCCCATTTTAAGAAAAAAAAAACATTATATAAACCTATATGTCCTAAACGTCTTAACTTTTGAGATATAGGGTGTTAAAGTTTTAAGAAAAAAATTGTTTTACCGTCATTTCCATACCACTTTAAATATTTTTTACAGAGCATTTTTTGACCTAAAAAACATTTTTTTATTTGCTACAGTAGCGTCCGTACTGGACTCAGGCCAAATATTTTAAGGGTAAAAGTGGTACACCACTGCTTTCTCTTGAAGTAAGAATTATTTTTGGAGGTCCCGTTCAATTTATAAAAAATTTGATTTCTGAACTTTTTTTTCGAACGATTCACCGTTTCGCATAAAAATAATAAATGCCCTCATTTGTAAACCACCGCTGTATTAATAACCGCTGTGCAGAAATTAGGTGTAATAATACATTTTAGGTTTAGAACATATGTTCATATTGTACATCATTTTTTTTCTTAAAATGGGTCCAAGAAACACCCCCTTCAGTATTAGCATATTATTAAAAAGCACCCTAAATAATAGAATAATAACGAAAAAAATATGTGCCAAAAATCCCAGAAAATTACGAAAAAGTCTCACAAATCCACCATAATCGCAATTTAATATCGCAACTTAAAGAGCACTCTAAAAAGTCTTTAAAACAACCTTAAATATTCATAAAAAATAACCCTAAACTAAAAACCCACTAATTACACCATACTAAACACCCAGGATCTAAAACCAATCCCCTAAACACGCCGCCACACAATCCCCGATCCATGAGGCGATCGAGCCGCGACGGCGATGCTTTATTGCAACGTAGAACCGGAAAATAATTCGTCGCCCCGTCATAAATGTTGCACGGTCGCCGTCCGGCCGGTCGTAATTCCCGTTCCGCGGGCCCTTTTACGCCCGCTCGAGAGGCCGCCGCCGGAACGAGTGCGCTCGAGCGCCCGGAGGGCCGCCCGATTTATCGCCCGCTACGTTAGAAAAACGTCTTCTCGACGCGAAAATTATCGATAGAGATTTCACGCCGAAAGGTGGGAACATCGCGCCCGGATTCCCGGCTGAAAACCCTCTCTTAATACTGGCAAATTTTCAATCGGATTTTTTTTGTATTATAGGAGGGTGCGTGTACCAGTACCAGTAAAAAACCATTTAAGAAATGTTTTGAGAGCCATTTAATAGACAACAATTTATAGGTATTATATTTCTTTTATCGCAGAATCAAGTACCTACCTAATTAATACAAACTTCCTGAATATTCTTTCCCTTAATTTTTTATTTTTAATAATCAAAGTTGCACGATGGAATGTGCCTAAGGTAGGTAAACGTTCTTTAAGTCTACAAAGCGTAATAAAAGTGGTGAAAAATTAAAAAGATGTCTTAATTTTCATAGCAGAAGTTTGAAATGCGTTCATTACTGGAGCCCTTGCCCCATTATAAAGGAAAGAAATAGTTACCGTTATATTATATTAGTATCTACTTGTTTTAGTGTTGTAAATTTAGTTAAAAACAATAAAGTCAAATTGCGGTGTAGGTACAAATAATAGAAAACGACTTAATTATCTTTCGTCTGGAAGCAAACATTAATTTCGGACCGATTGTGAAAGGCTTCCCGTTCACGTATAGGATAATTAAAGGAATTTAATCGCGAAACTTCAGACTTTCCGGTCGCGGCCAAGAAAACCGTGTTTACGTCGGAGATTTTCATAAAGAGCGGTAAATTAATTTCGTCGACTCGGCCGTTCCTCGGCATTTCCAGAAAATTACGGTATCGCGGCGTTTAGGTGAGGTTTCCTAGAGACTGGATGGTTCTTTGGGCGCCTTAATTAAGGCCAGGAGGTGCGGAGCGGGCCGGTTAGGTAGGCAATCGTTCTAGGAAAACTAATCCCTCAGATTACATATCCCTATTTATGTAGGACAAGAAATTGCTGTCCATTAATCAGGCTCACTAGTTTGCGTTTTAATATGAATACATTAGTGACTATTATACAGGGCGTTTTCTATACGTGATTGGCACAAAGAAAGTACCTACCTACTCACTGATGCTCAATACAAGATGCAATATAATTTCTGCTTTAATTTTTTGTTGGTTATTATTTTTAATATACATCTCAAATATGAGGTACAGACCGGTACGAATAGCTAAAGTTATCAAGGGTACGTGAGCAAAATTATAACATCATTAATCATTAATCATTAACATCAACAATCATTAATCTTAATAGTTTCCTAATTAGTACCTTCTTAATAATTGATCTTATAATTAAATTTTAATAATTTTATCTTAAAATTAAATCTTCAAATTAAATTTTAATTAATCAAAGATTAATATTCGTCCAAAAAAAATCTACTAATTTACTTTAATTTTTAATAATTTTCTTGGCAATTTTTGACATTTTTGTAAGTATCTTTGGGTAGAATATCTGAGGGAGAGAATTTTTTTGTATACGAAAAACCCTCTTTAATTTTAAATTCATGCATTAATTTTAAAACTCCCTGTATATTTAATTTAAATTCAAAACTGCAAATTAACCCTCGTAAAATTTATTTTATTGCTATGCCATTTATATTATTGCCGTGCAACGACGCAAATCGATTACCAAAAACCAATAAAAAATTCACCAAAAATAACAATAAAAAAAATGTGTTTCGATAAAAAATAAATCTGCAAAAGCGAACTCACCCCGTCTTCCAATTTTCCGAATTTCCTTTCGCACGAGACGGCCGGGAAAAACGCTCGAAACGCGTCCGTTTTTCCGCCGGGAAATTCGCAGCAGCACGGATCCCCGGAAAACGTCGCGTCCGCCTTCAGAGGACGAACTGGCGAAAACCCGTCGAGATTTTCCTTGCGGTGGAAAATTCACCTCCGTTAAATTCCGCGCAGTCGCCACGTTGCCACATCCACCAAAAATACCTCTAATTTACTGTATTTTGCACACCTGTTATTTACTACATTTATGCAGAAAACGTTATACCTGTTTGATTTTAGTAAACAGTTACTTAAGAAAATTGGTTTATTAATGTACTGTAAATTGTAGTGTGTATCAGAATGGTGATTTAAATTATAAATCGTGCAACATGGCAGTTGGTAGACCTTTTAAAGTCCGAACCGGAGCTGTTGCAGACTGTCATTCAATTACGGCTCGGGAATAGTTTTTCTACGGTTGCTCGATCGCAATCTCTCGGCGGATTCGGGCGAAGGAAAAACCCGTCCGGACGAACGGGAAAACGCCACTTTTCCGAGCGTCTCGCATCGCCTAATCCACGACGAATTTCGGCGGTTAGGGCATTAAACGAGCCGCCCGGCCGACGACCGCGCATTTGTAATACGCCGAAGGAAAACCGCTAATTTTCTGGTTAGTTCACGAACTCGATCAGAAAATTTACTCCTAAATAAAACAAAAAAAATATATGTTTTTTTTGTTTAATTTAAGTACATCTTTATCTTTAAAGTACATCTTTATCGTAAAAGTACCATAATTAATAATCAATTAATCAAGAAGAATAATTTACTTGGCCAACTTATAAAACCTATTTAATTGAGAATTAGGTAGAAATGTAAGTTTTATTTAAAATTTTTAATATCTTCAAAACTACTAATAGTAAACCTAAGTTTAGGTATAGAGAAGTAAACATGAACTTGGGTGGTTTCATTTAAAAAAATGAAGAAATTTTATATTTTTAAAGTTTAAAGTCGCATGTTTTGTACACACCCTGTATAAAATAAAAAGTTTTTCAAAGCAGATTCAAATACCTCTGACCTTTCTAGTAGCCACCCTACAGAAACAACTTCCATATCTTTAAGGAGATCTCCATAAAAAAATTTATAAGGGTTTGCATCGATCAAATTTTTCAAACAAAAATTATTAACTCAAAAAATATGCAATTTTAAAAAAAGTGTTTTAGACAAAAGTACCCTAAAATTTGACATAGATTTCGAAAATACATTATAAATAGGGTGTTCCATTTGAAATAACAAAGTTGATGCCTATATATCCTATATCCGGTGGTACGACTGTCAAAATATTTTTACATACCAAATATTATTTAAATCGGATAAGTAGTTTCCAATATACAGATAGTTTTCTTCGTGGGACACCCTGTATTATGCAACCCCCTCGTATAAGAACAATTAAGCTAGTATACTAAATTATTCTATTGCTTTTGTATTAAATAAGGATTTTGTTCGATGCTATTATTAATAAATTATTAACGGTATTATATCGGTTTAATTAGGGCGGTCCCCACGCGATGCGGGGGCGCGTTCTCGAAGGGCGGAAGTTAAAATTCTATTAATAAAACATCAACGCCTAGCGTCAACGGATGTGCTTGTGACACGAGCAAGATTAAGATGTTTTATGTATAAACTCCCCGTAAATCGGAAACACGCAGAATTGCGATCGTAATTAAATAGAGGGTGATTGATTTGTGTCAAATAAATTCTAAATACCTACACACTGTAGCAATTTTAAAGAAAGCAATCATAAAGAAATAATTAGCAATTATGCCAACATAAATGGGGATATAAAAATGTCAAAATCACTAAAGATATTTCAAGCTATATTTCACTTGATTTTATTTTTAAAAAATCGACTTCAACTCCGGTGAGTGTCAATAAAAAATGTCCGTTTTTATCTAAAAAAAAGTTAAACATCAGGACAAAAAAGCAATCGGCGTAATGGCGGGCGTCGAATTGAAAGAGGCGTCGGTCCCTACGTGACCGACGCCATTTCGAACGACGTCGGCATAAAAGATTGTCGCGACATTAATTATTTACCTGATTCTATAGAGTATGTGAAAGGGCTAATTCCCCGACCAAAGCGGCGGTGCCAATTTTTCTTGTTCCATCTGTCTTATGTCACATGTCACATGTCACACGTCAAATGACATACATGTCACATATCTTCTGTCGTAGGTCTGTTATTTGAATATTTGATTATATTCTTTTATAAATTATTACTCGTATATTAGGCCTTAACTATTATTAACAAGGCTTCTAAAAGAGAAAATACCTTATTTGTTAATTTAAATAAATCACCCTGTATGTTATTGATTTATAGTGGATATGCAGGTGCATGAATAAATGATAACAAGTGTATGAGAATTTGGTTACATTGATTTGTCAATGCTTAACAACGTAAAATAAACTTTACAAAAATTGTTTACCGGATTTTCTCGAGGAATATTACGCGAATTTACCCTAGGAAAATTCCATATTCTCAAAGCGAAACGTCGGAAAAAGAAATTCGTTTCATTCGAACGACAATAAGATCGCAAAATATACTCCTGCTCTTTTATTTTTTTATTCTTCTTTTAAATTTCAATTTCTATTCGATTGTAACGCGCAGTTGCGTCTATGGAGGAAATTACACGTGCATGGAGCGGGAGAGGAAAAAACGAAGAAGGAGATCAAAAGGGAGAAAATTCCTTTCTAATTTTATCTGTGTCGAGCTAGGCGCCGCGGAGAGGCGGCTTTTTTGCAAAAATCGAATAAATCGCCTTTTCTGGATATATTTAATCCGTATATCGCGAATTGATTGGCGTTCGGACGTTCCAGGAAAATTCATTTTCAGATGAAAAAGCAAAAAATACAGTCCAATAAGCTGTAGAAATTCGCTAAATTAGATACCAAAAAGTTAAAGGATAATGAAACTTATTACATGGAGGTGCTAAATTGTTTGCAATATAGGCTTAGAAAAAGTGATATGGTTTGATTGCAACTTTCTCAACCTAACCACTGTAATTTTATTAATCTTTCTTCGTTCTACTCATAGAAATGACTCGTTTAATTGTTAAAAATAATGCCCTGTATATTGTAATAAATTTATTTGTAAACCATTCTAACTTTTAAATAACTCCTAATAAACTTTTAATAAATCTACTAAAACCTGTTTTAATTATTAACCAAAAAAATTTTCCCGAGGCCATTTAACGAATAAACCCAATTTATACTGACCTATCAGACTCCATCTTGTTCGCCCTGTCTTCCACAAAACTTCCAGAACTGATGATTTATGCCTGTTGGTTTCGCGTTTTCCGCGTCTTTAAAACACTCTCTTTTATGCTGTTTCCAACTTTTACTCGAATTTCCTGCCCGGCTAATGTAAGATAAAACGTTGCTCGTTTAACGGCGTTCGACAAAAAAAAACGCACCTGCTCGGGACCTTCCCCGCTCCGAAATTGGGTTTTTGTGCGGGTTCTTGCGGAAACTAATTGTTCGTTTAATTTGGAATGGTCGAATTACGGCTATAAAATTACGATAAAATGTTTATTGGTTTCAACACGTCAAGCGCCACGAAAATATTGCTGGATCTTAGGACTGAAGATGGTTTAATAAACTTCCGAAACGTTGACGTAACTTTTTTAAATAGCTGTATAGGTATTATTTTACGAGTATTTTAATACTAGATAGGTATAGGTAAATTGTATAGGTATTAATTGTAATTATTTAATAATGGAAATTAGAAATAATACCATGGTAGAGAGCAGAAGAGCAGAAGAGCAGAAGAGCAGAAGAGCAGAAGAGCAGAAGAGCAGAAGAGCAGAAGAGCAGAAGAGCAGAAGAGCAGAAGAGCAGAAGAGCAGAAGAGCAGAAGAGCAGAAGAGCAGAAGAGCAGAAGAGCAGAAGAGCAGAAGAGCAGAAGAGCAGAAGAGCAGAAGAGCAGAAGAGCAGAAGAGCAGAAGAGCAGAAGAGCAGAAGAGCAGAAGAGCAGAAGAGCAGAAGAGCAGAAGAGCAGAAGAGCAGAAGAGCAGAAGAGCAGAAGAGCAGAAGAGCAGAAGAGCAGAAGAGCAGAAGAGCAGAAGAGCAGAAGAGCAGAAGAGCAGAAGAGCAGAAGAGCAGAAGAGCAGAAGAGCAGAAGAGCAGAAGAGCAGAAGAGCAGAAGAGCAGAAGAGCAGAAGAGCAGAAGAGCAGAAGAGCAGAAGAGCAGAAGAGCAGAAGAGCAGAAGAGCAGAAGAGCAGAAGAGCAGAAGAGCAGAAGAGCAGAAGAGCAGAAGAGCAGAAGAGCAGAAGAGCAGAAGAGCAGAAGAGCAGAAGAGCAGAAGAGCAGAAGAGCAGAAGAGCAGAAGAGCAGAAGAGCAGAAGAGCAGAAGAGCAGAAGAGCAGAAGAGCAGAAGAGCAGAAGAGCAGAAGAGCAGAAGAGCAGAAGAGCAGAAGAGCAGAAATTTACCTGTCAAATTAAAAGGGCTTGTAATTCCCCGCGCACAAATTACCTGCAGGATTAAAATCTACAGTCCATTTTGCGCCCAATTTACATCCGTTCGTTTCCGCACTTGTACGATTTTTGTGTTATTTCATTAAAGTAAAATGCATAGCAAACATTTAAATGATTGTGGTGTAACAGAATTTCGAGTCAAATCCAATTCTGCCCGACAAATCAATTTCAATAGGACGTCGAATAATCAATTAGAAAGATCCGCCGCCGGTCGGCCGTCCGAATAAAAATAAACGTTAAAAACTGCATACAATCGGGCGTGCGATTTAATTAAAAAAATCCTACCCAATATATGATATTAAAAAAAAAGACGTTTTAGAGCGAATAAAAAAATTTCGCTTTTTTTCACCTCCCGATATCGGTTTTGCTAGCTGTAATTATTGCGAATCGGACCGTCGACGTTTCCAGACGAATTTTCCTCATTTATAACAACTAGGCCACATCAATCTCCATGATCATTAATAACGTTTTAACAGATGTAACGTGTTCCTCCACCAGAAACGTAGGAACTGTTAATTTATTTGGCTTTCGCGGGAAACAACTGCCGGAAAATTGGAAAATTTAATTCCACCATACCTACCGTTCACTAATGTTCTACAGGTCAAAAGTCGATAATAAATGAGTTGTAACCATTTTCAAATTTTTTACAACTCGGCGTTTTTGAACACAAATTATTCTTCGATTAAAAAAATTTTAGTTGAACAAAGTAGTTGTTTGCTATAGGCAAGTTAAAGAACTTTAAGAAAATATTCCTCGAATGTAAGTAAACATTTGATTGGCCTTTTACGTCAACAAACATTCAATATTACATATCGCGAAAATATGTATTAAAGTGGCGAAAATTCTCCATTTACCATGAACTTATCAGAATTTAACCACACAAAACACACAATGTTTATTTAAAATATTTGTTCGAAATGTCCCCCAAAAAAAGGTTCAGTTTTCTTTAAACACATAAACTTTGTTCATGGAAAGCAAAACAACGATTTCTAAAATCGATTTCCTGCGATTCCTCTTTCATTAATAACCTGACCAACATCTTCATGAAATCCCTAAAGGGCAAGGGGTAAAGACCCGGACTCCTAGGAGACTTGCGGCCCATTAACCCATGAATTGAATCGTGAATTAAAAGCATGTTCGCATACCTACTTCTTGTTGTTATGACAGACGTTTCGATTATAAAAGAGAAACGATTCCAATCACTCTCCTGTGATTCCCATCAGTAACTTAAAATTCTCATAAAAGTAGAGAGAATAAAATGTCAATGAAAGTAGAGAGAAAATTTTGTGCATAAAACTAGAGAGAAACTATTCATGAAAGTAAAAAGAAAATTTTGTGCATAAAGTAGAGAGAAAGAAAATGTTCATGAATGTAAAGAGATTTTGTGCATTACAGTAGAGAGATTTTGTGCATAAAAGTAGAGAGAGAAAAAAGTTCATGAAAGTAGAGGGAAAATACATGTATATACATGAATATTTATAGAGAGAAAAGTTTGTGCACAAAAGTAGAGAGAAAATTTTGAATATTAATGTAGAGAGAAGATTTTATGCATAAAAGTAGAGAGAAAATATCTTGTTCATGAAAGTAGAGAGAAAAATTTGTTTTCAAAAGTAGCGAGAAAATTTTCTCAAAAGTCAAAACTAAACAAAACTTTTGATCTTTTACGTCTCGGAACACAAATTAATTTTGTGTCATAAAACCAATCAAGTGACATTTCGAAGTCCTTCGACTGTTAGTCCCTTTATTGAGGTTCCCTTTGTTTTGGAGTTCACTCAGCATGATTCAAATATCTTTCAAATCTCCAAACGTTTATTACAATAGATAAGGCAGTATCTCCGTTAGGAAAGATTAAGTACATTCGGAAATTTTAAATATGTTAAAAAAACGAGATAAGATACCAAATAAATAACAATGGATTCGTACAGCACGCCCCGCTATACGAGTAGTATATTTACCAATAAATCCGTTTTCGCAATTCCTGGAGTGGCTCTCGTTCGGATTATCTCCGCAGAGGCCCCCGAAAAATCCTTAGCGGGCGCTTTATCGGAGGCGATCGTCGAGGAGCTTTTAATTTACAATGCTAATACCGAAGCCGGTGCGTTTTCGTTTCGGCGTATAAATAGAGGTGAGTCGTCGGTGATACCTCGTTATACTCGCTTTTCGCTAATTGTCCGATTTCCGAGGCGAATCATGGGGAACGCGAACGCGAAAACCGTCGATCTGGAAAACTGGATGTCTCTGCTACCCGGTCAGGTCAAAGAAAAACCGATCGCGGAAATCGCCATTCCAGGTATAAGCTAATTTTTTCATTATTTATTATATTTTTTTCGCGTTCGTTAAATCGATAATTCCAGTAATATTTTATACTTGTGTACTGTTTATTAAGCGATTTTAGATTACAAAATAAACATTGTTTTTATTCATTCTGTTGATATTAAATGAGTGTTCATTAGTAAATCGGCTACTGTAAATACAATTAAATTATACCACTTGAACGGGTTTTAACAATACTTCGAATAATCGTCCTGTATAAGCATATCGGTTTTAATTGCTTTTTGTTAATTAACTATTATTTTCACTACTTGTTGTTTAAATAAATTCTCGCAAACGTAGGAAATAAATTGGTTATTTCATTGATATATTTATTCCAATATAGACCGAAACAATGGATAGCAATGTTGGTCAAACGAATAAAAAAAGAGGTCAAGTTAAAATAAATAAAGCATTGTCGTCGTGTATATGTAGAAGAAATTTGATTGAATATACTTTATTTTTCAAAATAAATTTGTGGTTAGTATACTACAAATGTACTTGGTTTATCAATGACTAAACCTTATCTGATAATTAATTTCTACTGTGTAGTGTGTTGACATGTCGTATCGGTCAAAGCACTACCTTATAAATAATTCATTTATAAACCTCCCCTGTTTACAAACCCTATTGAACAGATTATTGTACTAATATGATATTGTAAATTGAATTGATATCGGTGTGGAATTCAATATTGATGTAGAGGAAGGTTTACATAATTATAGCAATTTCGATAACAGCGTTGTTTTGGTAAATTTAGAAACCTACATGATTACCATTAAAGGCTTCGTTACTGTAAAGTAAACCATATGTACAGGGTGATCAGATCGTTAGAATTTCGAATTTGAACTAAAACAATGTCAATGTCAAGATCCTAGTGGAATTATTTACTGCCTTGATACATAGAATACATTCTTACATTCAATGCTTAATTCTAATAAGATATACAGGGTGCCGCAAAAAGGTTAAGACATGGCTTAACTACAGATTTTTGAGAAAAAAATTAGTAACTTAGCTATAAAATTGCAAAGAGTAAAAAATTAAAAAAGAACGATAAATCTAGTTTCCATTCAAAAATTAGGTGAATGGCATGGGTGGAAGAATTAGGGCCTCAGAATTTTCACTCTACTTTTAATCACAAAATTTTCTCTCTACTTTCTACTTATGAACATTTTCTCTCTACTTTAATGCACAAAATCTTCTCTCTACCTTTAGGCACAAAATTTTCTCTCTACTTTTATGCACAAAATTTTCTCTCTACTTTTATGCACACAATTTTCTCTCTACTTTCCTAAACATATTCTTTCTACTTCTAAGCACAAAATTTTATCTCTACTTTCATGAACCTTCTGTCTCCTTTTTTATGCACAAAATTTTCTCTCTACTTTCATGAACATTTTCTCTATACTTTCTTGAACAACATCTTAGAAGTCTGTATTTAAGCCATCTACCAGCCTTTTTGCGACACCCTGTACATAATTATTGCCAACAAAATCGATATAATTTTGTTACCTACTTCAAAAAAGCAATTATGTCTAGGTTCCCACGACAGTTTCACGGCCAAAATCACCGACAAATCGGACGTGGCTCCGGATGCCGAGCAGATCTTGAAGGATCTCTCCGTTTTGGGGCCCATAGTGAAGGAAGTGATAGCCAGGTGGTCGATCACCCAAACCTACATGGCCGCGGGTCAATTATTAAGGGGCATTAGATATTTCGATATACGCTCGGCCACTAAGAAAGGCACGGACGACATTTACATCTGCCACGCTTTGTACTCGGACACGGTGAAATCGTGCTTGGAGGAAATCAACGGGTTTTTGGATAAGCATCCTAAAGAGGTAATTTAATCCACGACCCTCGTATGTAAGAGTGTGTAATTTCGTTGTTAATTTTTAGGTGGTGGTTTTGGACTTTCAACATTTCTACGGTTTCGATGAGGAAATCCACAAAACTTATGTGCAATTGATTAAATCGACGTTCGGTAGTAAAATAGCACCCAATTATTTACAAATGGATTCCACTAGTTTAAATTCTTTAGTTAAAGCCGGTTATCAAGTAAGTCTATTACTACACACATAAGTGCAAATTTGAACGTCTGTATAAAGGAAACAGAAAGAAAAATTTTATGGGATTGTAACTGTCTCACTCTAACTACTGTTTTTTAATAATCTTTCTTTGTTTAACTCATAGAATTGACTATACCTATTGCAAACAAATTTGCACTTACCCATATGTATTATCCATAAATCCATTTACAGAGCGATAGAAATAGCTGAAAACGTAGGAAAACAAAGCGCAATACTATGCAATTATCTCTCAAATCACATCTACAATTACACCAGTAGTAATGTATTTAAATTTGTATTTGTCTTTTTAAGGTATTGATTGTCTATCGAACGAACGATACTGATTTTTTCCCTTCGTCGACATTTCCAAATCCCTGGCCAAACACCGTTTCGAAAGAGGACCTGATCACTTCTCTATACAAGGGAATAGCTAATAGAAACTCCAGTATTCCCTTCATATCCCAATGCGTCCTGACGCCCGACGCCGAATTCATAATTGCCCACGTTTTCAGTAAGTAACCGAATTACTTATGGAACGTCTCTCGTAAAACCACTTCAAATCATTTTGCTACATACGAGGGTAATGGGATTAGTTAACACGTTTGTTACAAAAGAAAGAGGCCCGTATTCAGGTGCTCCTTTTTAACGCTAATCATCAATCTTTTAATAAAGATTCTCTTTAACTTAACAGTTGTGATGGACATTGTTTTACGTTATAGAGTATCTTTAAACGATTCATTAGCTTTATGATTAGCCAGTATGTATAATCACTCGATTAACATGTATTTACTGAACAACCCTCTTAATAAGTAAGCAGTAAGGTACGAGGGGTTTAAGATTAATTTTTGTTTTGGGATTAAAAATATTTAATGGGATTTTAATAACATTAAATATTTCAAGGTTCTCTGAAAGAAAAATGCGCAATTGAATTGGACAACGACAGGTGCGATTGGATAGAAAAACAAAGTGCTGGAAAAGGCGGCCTAAACATCATAATAGCGGATTTCATCGAATTGAATGATAACAAATACGTCAGGGATGTGATAAGCGTTAACCAAAAAGTGTTTTCAAATTAATTGTTCATATGTTTCATGTATATCTAATTGTTTAGAGTAAATAAATATTCCGTTTTTTTACATAAATTAAGAAATTGTTGATCATTTCCAAAATCCTTTAGATGGCTGCGGATATTAAGAGATTATTAAGAGCAAGGTAATTTGACAATAATTTTAGTAATAACAGCCGAAATTATTCATGGATATTTTATTAGTTTTGTGTAGAATTTTAAAGCTAATTAATATTTTGACACCTGTGGAATCTCTCAAACAAGTAACCGTTCCCAAACAACCTGTACAATCTCTATTCTCCTATTCCCCGGCCTCGACATCTTTATACATACAGTCACGTGTAGCAGATTTGCCAGATTTTAAGATATATCACGAAAGTGCAGATTTATTGCAAAATTCTACTGGTATACTAATGTGGAGTTGGAGGGAATTTTACACAAAATTATGCCAAAATAAAGTTTCCAAATTGCGCCAAATGGAAATTACAAGTTTCTCAACTTGAAAAGAAGCTAAAAATTTACAAAAACAGTATTGTTTTAACAGAATTTTTTGCGAAGAAAAATTCTATGTATCAAATAAATCAAAACTAAATAATAGTACACTTAAATTCCTCGATTTAGTCATCAAGAGCAAAGACTAACCTGGCAACGCCTCGCGCGCTCCTCCATCTCCATTCTCCACAACAGTTTTGTTCTTGAGCAAAATCGATGCGGTCATAATTATAATACGAGCGTTTTATCTGATTTTCCTTTTGTCGTGTATTTCCCATTTAATATTTAACGCAGCGATGAATGCGACTCGGGTATTATTAGAAGCGAGTCGGCCATCGGAGCACCGTCGTCGGGCCGGGAAAGTCGTCGGGTTCCCCACCGATCAGCCGAAGAGGATCGCTCAAAGCGCTACGGGGCCGCCTCCACGACCAAGACCGCCACCACGATGAGCGAACGCAACCTCAGCGAAGACCTGGAGAACTGGATGTCGCTCCTGCCGCAGCAGCTCCGCCAGACGCCTATCATTCATCTGGCTATACCGGGTGAGTCGCTTATGTAACTCCACATTAAAAATAAATGATCTTTTAACAGCTATATATACCTACGGGGTGGAATAGTGGAATTTGGGGTTTTAAATGGATCATCATGTATAATTTGGTTGCCAAAAATTACTGTATTAAATATAGTTATATATACAGGGTAGTGTATTAATCTGTTGTGTAGAAGTTGAGTATGAAATTGGTTGTTTTAAATGGGTTATCTTGTATATTGTGGTTGTTAAAAATTGGGGTGTTTCGATAATATTGCTTTTTTAACTGCAGTTGCAAATACAGGGTGATATAACAATGAAGGTGATATGGTAGAATAAATGGATCATCTTGTATAATTTACTAAAAACGCATTTTTCTATATAGGGTGTTTAATTATTAAATTAAATTACTGTATATTATTACTGAATTAAATATGAGTATACAGGACGGTTTGTTGGAATTGTTAATTTAATTTTTCAAAATTGAGCACTCCGCAGATTTTCTTAATTTTGGTGGCCACAACATTGCTATAAAACTTATCTAGAAAGGAAGATTTGGTCAAAATACTTTTATCATTTTATAATTTGTATAAAAATATTGTGAAACGAAGATTATACCGGGTGGGGCACCAAAATCACTAATTTTTTGTAAATAAACGATAAGATTAATATTTACGGAACTAAAAAATTAATTGTATTCAGAATATTTGGAGGCCAATGTCAGTTTAAGTGTTTTGTTCCATTAACCTTAATTGCGATCGTTTAAGATCAATCAACAATTTTTTAATCTCATTTTCCCTGTTGGTTCTAAAAATATTTGAGTATTCATCATATAAAATGATTTAGTTGGAAAATGCTTGAATAATATTTCAACGCGATTTAAAATCAGTTGTAAATTCATCCATGTTTGAATTAATTCGCATTTAATTTACTACACCTACAAAACTGTTGAATGTTTAACTATTATATACCTACAGAGTGTACCAACTATACTCAACAAATCTAAAAAATGACTGAAATATAACAATGAATAAATCAATAAATATTTTACAGAAAATATAGTTAATGTAAGAAAGACGAAAAAACCAACTAAAAATACTACTACATTACAGATATAGTGAAAAAATATATTTTTTTCAGAATTTATATATCATTTCTTCAAATTTCGATCTAAAAAAATTAACAATAATTTCAGGGACACTCTTTATACATAAAACACGTAATCTCATATACATACACGCGATTTCATAATTTACTACAAGTATTACGTAATTTTTATTTCGGAATCTAATTCGCCTCGCCGACAAAATTATACGAGAGTCGCGCCATAATTAATCTACCAGCAACATTACGAGGAACGTCCCGTAATTAATCAACCAACAATATTAAATCTTACAAGGGACGCTCCATAAATTCCCCGATTCTGAAATTTGCAGGCTCTCACGACAGCTTCACCTCGGCTATAACGTCGGATTCGGAGTTGGCGCCCGACGCCGAAAACGCCATCAGAAAGCTGAGCTTCCTGGGGCCGGTGCTCAAGTACTTCATGGTGAACTGGTCTCGAACGCAGTCCTACATGGCGCTCGACCAGCTCACCCGCGGCGTGCGCTACTTCGACCTGCGTATCGGCACCAGGTCGGGCACCGAGAACCTCTACGTGGTGCACGGCTTGTACTCCGTGGACGTGCGGAATTGTCTCGAGGAAGTCGCCGGCTTTCTGGACACTCACACGCAAGAGGTGATGGTACACATTCGAGTATTGTATAGGGTACTAAATAATTTGTATGCAGATCGTGATTTTGGACTTCCAACATTTCTACGGGTTTCGACAGGCTGACCACGACAAACTTATGCAGCTCATCGGCAAAATATTCGGAGCTAAATTGCTACCGTATTCGCAACACATGAGCTATGTTACTTTGAAGTACATGACCACACAATATCGTTATCAGGTAAAGAAATTGGACTAGGTTCAACAAATCAACCAGTAACAAGAAAATAACAAAGAATCTATGTTTAAAATATTATTAAAATTGAACTACATTTAAAAGAATCCTTTCCATATTGTCCTCTTATCTTGTTTGATTGGAATCTAAGTAACTGTTTGAGCTACTCTGTGTAACTGAAGAATATTTGGTGCATTTTTTTAGGTAATTTGCATCTACAGATCGGACGCTGCGCGTTTTGGTCAACCGTTGTTATGGCCTTCGATCAGTTTCCCCAACCCTTGGCCTAACACGGTGTCGAAGAGGTATTTGTTCGAATTCCTGCACAGAGGGCTCAGCAACAGGCCGGAGGGAGCGGCGTATGTTTCACAATGCGTCATGACCCCGCCGGCTTGGTTTATTTTCCAGAATTTGTACAGTAAGCGCTCGTTATTTTATAACATATACGGTCCTGGTTGTTTATACAGGGTGTCGCAAAATTGACGCCCAAATGTTTTTTGATCAATACGGGGTTATATGGGCGATGTGTTTTAGGTTCGTTGAAGAAGAAATGCGCCGTAAAATTGGAAGAGGCCAAGTCGAATTGGTTGGAAAATCAGCGGCCCGGTCCTGGCGGTTTGAACATCATCATAGCGGATTTCGTCGAATTGTCCGATTGCAGATACATCAAGGAAGTGATTGAATTGAACCAAAAACTCTTATCCGACAATAAAATGTAATAAATATATTAGTACCATTACTTGTTCTATTATTTTCGTTTCAAAAAATCCAACCCCATTTAGGGGTGCATAGAAAAAATAGCCATCATTTTCATCCCTTGTAAGTTCTACACATCATAACAAAACACACCGTATAAAATTAGTACTTAACAACCTTGGATAAAGTACGCTTGACCGCATTTATACTTCCACACGATTTTTTTAAATTATTTTTCCAATCGATTATTGTTTATGCTTGATTAGTTAATTATATATCTAGAAAACAACTTCTAATCTACCGGGTAATGGTTTATAAATAACAAACTCCCACAAAGCGCTATTCACCACAACAATTACCCAGGCAGTTAACGTGTTAACAACACCGAAAAAAATTATTAAATGCTGAATGAAAATCATAACCTCCTAGCTGGAAATCTCCGACGATATTCGGGGGTCCCCTCTCAGAAAAGCATTGACTAAGTGCTAACTGGCCTCGACTGTAGGTGCACCTAGAACCGGTAGCGACTCGCTAGTTGTGATATTTTACTATCGAATCGGCTGAGACTTTAGTGCGCTGAAAACGCCAGAAAGCGATCGGCAGGAAAATGTGGAGGAGCTGGTTCGTGTTCGTTCTTTTGGTGGAAAGCGGCCTGATGGAAATGGAGAGCCCATCGCCCAATATCATCGTGATTATGGCCGACGATATGGTAAGGAGAACGTCCTTCGGCGGTTTATTTTTAGAATTTTAAATGGAAATGATCGAATTTATTTGAATATCTGCTAATACAACTAAAATTAAAAGGTCAGCTCCGTGTACTAGTTGAAGGCATTTATTTCAATAAAGGTTTTTTCATGTTTATGAACTAGTTTCATGAAGGTTTATGTGTGCGTTTAGTTAGCTAAAAATTGAATTTATTTTGTTTGTAGAAAAATATAAATTTATATGTGTATAGGTGCTTAATAAATAATTTTTCAGCTATATTTTATAGTCCTCTAAGTTTTATTACAACTACACCCTCAGTAAAAATCAACTGAACTGTTGTATTCTACACAATTATTTTTTTTGCAACTTTTACATTTTCAGCACTCACTTCCCCATACACCCAGGAAAAAGGAATTAATATTTACTTATACACACCCAACATCCGAAATTTTCCACCTGTTTATCACTCTTCATTAATTTATATTAAACGCATCTACATCTACTTTTAAAGGGTTTTAACGACGTCAGTTTCCACGGCAGCAGTGAAATTCCCACACCAAACATCGATGCCCTGGCGTACAACGGGGTCATCCTAAACAGCCACTACACGCAATCCTTATGCACCCCCTCGAGGTCTACTTTCCTCACCGGAAAATACCCCATACACACAGGTAGAGGCACTTAACAAATATTAAAGCACTTTAGTTATTAGATACATTATTGCGGTAATGATATAAAATGTGTGGGACACAAATAATAATATCCTATGTGAAACTTAAGATATAAGAGATTTTAAAGATTTTATAAATAGGGATATATTTCTGTTTCCAGGTATGCAACATTCAGTTATACTGGAGACAGAGCCTTGGGGACTTCCCCTAAACGAGACACTTCTTCCGGAGCTATTGAAAAATAAAGGTTACGCCACTCATGCCATAGGAAAATGGCATTTGGGCTTCTTTAAAAAGGATTATACTCCAACTTTCAGAGGATTCGACAGCCATTTTGGCTACTGGCAGGGCTACCAAGATTACTACTCTCACATGACCAAAGCTACCGTAAGTATTGATAACTATATAGGCCTGAAATAAACATTATAATTCTCCTGACCTCATTCACATATAATATAAGTACTAACAATAGTCTTGATCAAATTGCAGTACAGTGGTGAAATAGGCTACGACATGCGAAGAAACCTCGAGGTAGATTACGAAGCAAAAGGCAAATACAGCACCACATTGTTCACTGAAGAAGCCGTTAAATTGATTCGACAACACAACACCTCCAAACCGATGTTCCTGTACATGGCCCACCTGGCTCCGCACGCGGGGCTTCCCTCAGAACCCTTGCAGGCACCCGACGAGGAAGTGTACAAATTCGCGCACATATTGGACCCGGAACGGCGCGTTTACGCCGGTAAATAAGCGCTTTTGGTTCGGAATTGAGTCAGTTTTTTTTCATTTAATTTTTTCCAGCGATGGTTTCGATGCTGGATAAGAGCGTGGGGGACGTGGTGAAAGCGCTGAGGGACAGGCGAATGCTGCAGAACTCGGTGATTCTTTTCCTGTCGGACAACGGGGCGGCGCCGACAGGGGTCCACGCGAACCGGGGCTCGAATTATCCGTTTCGAGGGGTGAGTTCTGACGGTCCCCCATCGGTTCTTTTATACACCTGCACGTACGCGCGATCGTAAACCACACGGCTTTATGCATATAAATTAGTTCGTTTTCTTCGATTGTAAAGCATTTCTGAATAATTTCGCGTTTTTTTATGGTTTTATGGTCGTTGAAATTCCGATTAAAATTTTTTAGATGAAGCACTCCGCTTGGGAAGGAGGAACGAGGAATATCGCGGCGATTTGGTCGCCTCTAATTAAAAAACCACGAAGAGTTTCTAACCATTTGATGCACATATCCGATTGGCTGCCAACGTTCTCTTCGATTGCTGGTATATTCGCGAGATAATCGATGAAAACTTGCACCATAATCGGCATTTTTCAGGCTTGGACTCGTCCAAAACTCCCAAAATCGACGGTCTGGACATGTGGAAGTCCATTTCCGAGGACGAAAGCAGTCCCAGAACGGAGATTCTCTACAACATCGACGACACGGGGCGATGGGGAGGCGTTAGACAAGGCGAATGGAAATATGTCTACGGTTCCACTAGCAACGGCGTAAAAGACATATGGTACCCAAGCAACGTGATCCGATCATACGACGTCGATCAAGTTCTATCATCGAAAACCGCCATTACCTTAGCGGGATTGATAACCCAGCAAAACATTAAAAACAAGCACTCCGACAGCCCGAACGAGGATCTCAGAATTATCAACAAACGCGACGTGGAAGACCTGCGGGCCAAGGCTACGATTTTTTGCGACGACGTCGAGGATCAACTCGATGAAAACAAATGCGATTTACTGAAGTCTCCTTGCTTGTTCAACATATACGACGATCCCTGCGAGAGTGTCAACCTGGCTAAGCGTCGACCAAACATCGTCCACAACCTGGAACAACTGTTGCTCGAGTACAGGAAGGACATGGTACCGGCGCTGAATCAACCGGCAGATCCGGCAGCCGATCCGGTCTTATGGAACAACACATGGAGCAGCTGGCGGGACTGCAAGAACGTGGTGAAGCAGAAGATCAACGGCAGCTTCTCATCGGTGAGCGCCATGAACTTGGGGCTGATCGCGTGCTCGTGCGTGGTGGTGCTCCTCATGGTCCTGGGCCTGTCCAATCTGGCCAATAAGGAGCGGTTGAAAGAGGAGCAGCGCAAGGCGCAGAGCTTGTTAAGTGAGAATACCGTTTGCTGAATACGCGATGGTGAGAGGTAAAGGGTCCTATTCACGTTGTGATCGGTATCGATACCTGGCGCAAGTATCAGTATCTCGATGGTAGATGGTTTAGCTAGTATAGATGAATCCATCTTATTATTCTCATTAAACATCTCAGTGTAGGAACAGTTATTGTGCAGATACAAACTTCAGATACTTGTATCGCCATTTTTTGTAGTGATACACGTATCGATACCGATTTCAACGTGAATGGGGGGCCCCTATAATGAATGAGTTTTAGATATCTTGGATGTCACTGTTCTTATTATTAAAGAATTGTGTAACTCTCCCCATTAGGCTAGTTGAACTATTGTGTTTTTATCTTGTAAAAACAATTCTTAGTTCATAATTTTTTGTAAAAACTTGTAAATAAAATACTTACTTAAGCCTTCTTTTTCTTATTCTAGGTGGTGAAACTTGAACTTTCTACGTAAAGTTCGTACGTTTTAAAGTGACAATGACGTTATTTTTAGTAATTTCCACGCAGTTCGAAATTTCCCTAGGGCCAATGTTAATTCTGCCATTTGGCTAGGGGAATTTTATGGCCCCGGGTTGAAATGCCATTGCATTGTTGCCAAAATTCTGTTATTTATAGTTGACACGTTTTGACTACAATTTGTTGTTTTTGTGACTCCCAGCGATTTTTGTCTTTTTCTGGAGCGTTCTAGATTTTTCTAGAGTTATAAATGATTCTGGAGCGTTCTAAATAGTTATAGAAAAATTATAGTTGTAAATGATTCTAGACAGTTCTAATTGATTATCATTTTTCACGTGTGGTAAGAAGTGGCCTTTTCCTGTAAAGCTTTATAGAAATTATTAGTTGCCCTTATTCAGGTTTATTCACTCTGATACCTACGCATGCTTTGGATTAAAACGCAATTGTATTTTTTTGGAATTTTATTCAACTATATTCAACAATATACAAGACATTAATGATGAATTATAAGAATGCGTCTAAACAACCACAAAAGAAAACTGCTTGCAAGAACTCTGATCGTACCCTTAATACTAACTTGGAATATACATTTTTAATATTAAAAAATTTCTACACAAAACCCGGCCTATTTCAAACCGGTTCCATGTAGAATTAGTTTTTTAATAATATCAACTAAATTTTTTGCCATATAATTTTTTATTCATATGTACATTATGCGTAATATCTTTAAATACCTATGAGTGTAACGATTTGCTTTCTTGCTGATTTAGAAGAGGAGATCCTCGTCTCCTTCGTCCAATAAATTGCTGGTTTCTTCGGCTTCTCTCAGAAGTCCGGCCTCCAAGAGGGCTTGCTTTTCCTTCTCCTTTTTGGCCCTGTGGGCTTTCTTTTTGTCTTGGATCTTCTTCAACCTGTAGAATTCCTCTCTTTCCAGTTCGTCCAGCTCGGAAATGATGTAGGCCAGCGTACGTTCGATTCTCGGAATGATTACTAAAAACAAATCAATAGCTATGTAGCTGTTTATACGATAGGTGCGTTTATGTACCGTGCTCGATAGCATTCACTCTTCTATTGGTGATTTTGATGACTTCGTCCAAAGTTACGAATGAAGTTTGCAGAGAAGCCAATTCTACTAAGAGCTTGACAGCGCTTTGATAGTTCTTCTTCAACTTCGCTAGCTGCTGACCACCTCGGGCTAGACCGGCTAATTCGTATGTGTCGGTACCGTCCTGGTAGCATTCAAATACGGGCAGGGTGACACCTTAAAATTATCAATAATTAGGGGTGAGGAGTGGTTAAGGGTTGGGATTTTACCGGCGACGTTGTCTTTTTTAGTTCGTATTTTGATTTGGGCCTTGGTTACGTTTTGGAGGACTACCTGGTTGAAATCTCCTGTAGCAAACTTGGCCTCGGCTAATGAGAATGCAGCTTCCTTCATGACCTCGCCCATAAGAGTTTTGGTCTAAAATGCAAGTTATTACTATCTAGTTTACCGATATATTCGGATTACAATGGAATAATCTCACCTCGATAATCTTGTTTAAAATCATCCTGAAACGCATCTGTAGAGCATCAGCCTTTTTCTTTAGTAAACTGTGCCCCTTCTGGGCCCCCTTCAGCCTGCTCTTCATCAACATTTGGGCCCTGAAACAAATTACACGTATGAAATATGGGTAACACCCTTAACTTGAATCACAAAATAATCGGCCATTATTTGCGAATTTTCACGAAGATTATCAAGAACTTACCCTCTAGACGGAAATATCGCCAATCTCTCCTTCGTAGACATCTTTTTAGATCAAAAAGGTCGAATTTTAACAAAACTTGAACAAGACGAAAGGCAAAAAGTCAGCTGACACCAGCCAACCAAAGCACCTGACACTGACAGTTAATTTCTTCCTCTTTTAAATGAGACTCAACATTTTGACATTTGAAAAGACACTTAATAACACAAGAAACGAAGGCCATGATTTCAAATAGGAAACGAAGGACACGTCAACACGTAATGTCAACTGTCAATTTACTTGTCATTTGAAGTATCGACTCGAGTGGGTGATGTGTCTACATTTCCAATAGTAATTTCGTAAAAATGATAATATTAAACACGTTTTTACTGCTTTTGGCGACTGCATTCGCCGCAGAAGAAGTAAACACCTATTTAATTTTCAAAAATGTGGATAGATCAATTGATTTGACGTCGCAATTGGTGAAAATCACCAGTACAATCACCCTGGAAAACGCCGGTAAAGATGCTATTAAAAATTTTCTGGTAGTAGACGAGCCGAAAGCGAACGGTAAAGTCGCTTACCGAGGCGTTAAAGACTCCGCTAAGCAAGATTTAAACCTTCTGCCCGTTCAAGTAGAAGGAAACGACCAGAAAAAATACCACAAGGTGATACTGAGACAGAACTTAGAACCAGGCCGGACCGCAACGGTGGTACTTGAGGAAATATTGGCCAGAGCATTGGAGCCTTATCCAAGCAGCATCGCCCAAAAAGAGAAACAATTAGTGAGGTACTTCGGTAACCATTACATGTACTCGCCTTACACGGTGGCAAAACAGAAGACTGAAGTTGTTTTGAGTTTAAGAAGCGTAGAAAATTACACCAAACTGAAACCTGTGACCCAGTCAGATAATGTAATAACCTACGGGCCATACACAGACGTTAAACCTTATACAGAAGATCAATTAATTGTGCACTACGAAAACAACGCCCCCTTCTTAACAGTCACCAATTTACATAGATTAATAGAGGTTTCCCACTGGGGCAACATCGCTATCGAAGAAGAAATCGAAATTAAACACACCGGGGCTAAATTGAAGGGACCGTTTTCCAGATATGATTACCAAAGAGACACGGTCAACTCGCAGCACAGCATCAAATCGTACGTTACTGTTTTACCCGCCACAGCACACAGTATTTACTACAGAGACAGCAACGGTAATATTTCAACATCGGCCGTTAAGCACAGGAAGGACTGGATCGAATTGGAACTGCGGCCCAGATTCCCTCTCTTCGGAGGATGGCAAAGCTCCTACACACTCGGCTACAGCGTTCCCAGTTATCAGTACCTCTACAGAACAGCAGAAGGCCAAAATGTACTGACCATGAGGTTCATCGATCACGTATTCGACGACATGTACGTCGAGGATGTTACTACATCGATAGTCCTGCCAGTCGGTGTGTCCGATGTTAAATTGGTAACTCCTTACCAAGTGGAAAGGTTGAGGGATGACGTTAAGTACAAATATTTGGATAACATGGGCCGGCAGGTTTTGAGACTGAGAAGGAAGGATTTGGTCGAGCATCACATACAAGATTTCGAGATTACTTATTCCTGGCAACCGCAGTTGTTGTTGCACGAGCCGCTGATGTTATCTTTGGCGCTATTTATTGTATTCCTAGCTGTAATAGTTTGGGTTAGATTAGATTTCTCGCTTGGGGTTCCCGAACATAGTAAAAAAGAGTAGAGTTTTTTGTACTGTTTTTTGTTGAATAAAACCAACATATTATAACAATGTTCTTTTTATCCCTAGTTAATACGCGTATATTTCATTCGATACAACTAATATTCGATTTTTGTTTGCTAAAATATCGATTGAAATCCAATTGGGATAGCAACTGCAAAACATGTTGCCCGCTGGCTTTTTCGTGCAATTTCTGCAGTAACATCAATAATGACTTTATGATTAAGTTGCATCGGTCCTCTAGCACTTCTAATTGTTCGAGTTGCTCTGCAATCACCAATGAACCCCATGCATTGGCATAGAAGCAAAATTTATCGCACAATTCCAATAATTCGAATATCACAATATACACCTGCAAGTTTTTAAATACTTCAAAATCCAACTAGACAATAATAAAAATAAAAATATATGACCAGGAAGCTTTCGAGCCTACAGGAAGAGTATATACAGAAGCCTTACCTGGCTAGGTTCTTCACAATGTACAGCTGGCATTTGATACAATTTCTGTGTTTTGTTACATGCATAAGCCTGAAATAATCAAATTTGTATTAAAAAATTCGTTTCAACTTAATTAACACCTACTTCATCGAATGTGGAAACGAACGTCTTGGCTAATACATTGGATATGAACTCGTGATGTACTTTAATAATATCTTCTAAACCATTGGCGTTTTCCACAGCCTTCATGAGCAAAGAAAACTGGGCTTCGATGACGTCCACTTGCAAATAATAGTACAAATTGCTCACCAAAAACATCAAATTCTGCCGTAACGTTCCGACTCTTATATTTCTACAAACATTAAATTAAACCCAAAAACTTCAAGTAAAATAAATATTACATTTCCCGTTTGCTGGAAACTTGATCGGCCCAAAGCTTATGCAAATCTATTTGGGTTTTTCTCAATCTTAGCAAGTAGCAAAACAGCTTGTTGTAGAGCTCAATTACTTTGGGATGGAAGACGATGTGAAGCGGCCAATCCATATCCAAATTCAACTGCAATTTCGACCAAGGATCTTTACCTAAAAGATCACATAAATTATTTGTTGGAAATATTTCAGGCAAATTTCAACTCACAGTTATTCATTTCGGTTATCGAGGATAGCTCAAACTTCAAATAAGTCTTGTCGTTATCGCTATATATTTTCCTTGCTATTTCAAGGAATATGAAATTCAAATTTTCCACTAGTAATTCGGAAGAAGGGTCATTCAAATGCTCTTTGGCCACTCTGATGAACTGTTGAAATAACTCGCCTCTACCCAACAAGTAATAATCTCTTATTAAGTGTAAATGAGATATCAAGTTACCCTCATCTAACATAATAGACCATAAATACTAAAATGAATTAAAAGTGTAAGGGCGAGGTAAAGGCGCAATGTAAAGGGAATAACAATTAAAATTTGTCCATAATTTAGCTGAAATATTGAAGATGGTGTCCTTACTTTTGTTAATTTAACTTTGCATTCTTCAATAGTTTTTTGAAATGCTATATTGTTGAAAGCTTTGGATTCCAAAGTTTGAATTTTCATGTAATACTTGTTATCTTTGCCTTCCCAAATTTCTCTCTTATTCTCCACCTGGTAGTTTTCCTCTTTACATTTGCTCGGATCGTTTCTGATTATCCAAACAATCCTCCCCATGAACAAAATGGTTTCTACTAAATCTTCACTCATAAATGAAGGAACCATGTCCCAGTTGATGTAGAAATTTTGGACTATCGGGGGCCTCCTTATTTTTCTTTTCTTGAATAGTTATTAATTATTAATCATACTCTCGGTTAGTTCAAGACTTACTTGTGAACTAGTAAGAGATTCGTTTGACATTTCCAAAAGTTGTTCAGGATACAAAAAGTTTTCGTCCGCACATTTACCATCTTTTATAAAAAATTCATCATAGGTATCAATCAAATCTCCATTAATTATCCAATTGCCCAAATGCTTATAGAAAACTGTGTTAATCGATTTAACTATGCTAAAATATTCGCAGACATTACAAAGTAATTTATGTAATAAAGTAATGTAATACTAACGTATATGCTGATTTACTAATTTGATCTACTCCACATATGGCGTATTTGTGTAACCTTCCGATTATAAGACAACCCTTTATGCTTTCGTTTCGAATTGTATTAATCATGGAGAGCAAAGCTTGAAATAAAATCCGGTATTTTTCCAGTTTGCACAAGATGAAGGTTAATGAAAGTTGGGGATTCTGTAGAAAAATTCCTTCTAATTCGATTACCTCAGTGCGATATGCATCTAAAACATTATGCACACCAGAGCAAAAAGCTGTTATATAAGAGCCGAATTGTTGGTCTTCTGTATCTAATTTTTGTGAAACGCTAGAAGTATCTGTAACGGCTAAAAAGGATTTAATTTTACCACAAATTTATTATTTTCTTACATGTTTACCTTCAAAATTTAATGTCTGATTTAAAACCTTTTTATTAAATATGTTGATTTGGTGATAATCTTTCGCTATTTCGGCTATGGTTTCTAAAAGCTTTTTCTCACCTGGATGTAAAAATTCTTTAAGTTCACATAGTCTAGCCCACTAAAAAATAATAAATTGAAAGAAAAGTTTTTGGTGTAACTAAACACTTACATTTTCTGATTCCAGTAAATTTTCTTCGCTTGGAGTATTAAACAACATAAACAAACATTCGTGTATCATTTTTCACAAGTTTTCACATTAAAATTGAACTAATTTTGCTCTAATTATATTATTTTCCGGTTGATAATTTTAAATATTGTTTAGACTTCTTCTTCTTGCTCTTAAAAAAAGATATTTGGCATATGTTGGTACTAGACAGGTTCGACAACTTTAGAGAAACACCCAGTTTCTAGTTGTAAAAACTTTTGACGTGACTTCATCGTTACCAGGTAAAATTATCAATCTTTGTCAATTGTCGAAGGTATTTCTTTTAACTAAAATTAATCTTCCTGCACAGAATATAAAGATGGATTTAAATTTAGGTAACTAATCTTTTTCATTAAATTTTCACGAAAATATGAAAATCGTTTTAGGGACTTTTATCAAATAGTTGGCAGCTCTGACCCGACCCACCTAACCTAAATCTCTTCACTTTGGCTGTTTGTTGTAAATTGGGAAGTCGGATTCGGCCGAGAGAAAAATGTCTACGAATTCATTGGAAAATGAGGTAATTTAACTTTAAAATTCATCAACTTCGCAAATTCCACGTGCCGAAATTACATCCGATTCGGTTACTAAGGCAACGACATAAATTTCAAAAAGAGAACTGCCATATTGTCTCTCGAATCGGTTCTAAAAAATTCTTGGAAATAAAAAAAAAATCCGAATAGTTAGCTGTGAGGCATTAGATACTTAAGTTGATTTAACAAATGATTTTATTTTAGATCGAAAAGAACGAGCAGAAAAACGAAAACGAATTAGAGATCCCCATGGACTTTTCCATTAAACATCCCTTACAGAGCGCTTGGACTTTGTGGTATTTCGAAAATGATAGATCGCAGTCGTGGGAAAAGAACCAAAAGGAAATTTCCTCCTTCCAGACGGTAGAAGATTTTTGGAGGTGGGTAATCTTGAAATATGTCACCCGTGCGATGGCACGAACGTCAAATAAAATTCTCAAATTCTTACTAAATGATGGTAGTATTAATTATAAATTCATGCTTAAAAACTATTTCATATATACATAATGGTTTTCTATTACATTGATAATGCGAATTTATTGAGTAATATACTTCACTTTATCTAAGTGCATAGTACAGGTGAATTAAGCTTGTTACGCTATCACTACCCTATTGTGCTAATGTTAATGTTTATCTATTTTGTTTTTAGTTTGTATAATCATATCAAACCTGCGAGTGAATTGAGGCAAGGATCTGATTATTCTCTCTTCAAGAAAGGGATAATGCCTATGTGGGAGGATAAGGCTAATAAAAGAGGTGGCAGGTGGTTGTTAAGCTTGGAAAAAAAACAAAGGTCTCCCGATTTAGACCGCTACTGGTTGGATATAGTAAGTCTTACTGTACTAGCGTTTGATGAGGATATTAATGGTGTCTTTTAGATCCTGTGTCTTGTTGGTGAGGCTTTTGAAAATTCCGATGAAGTTTGCGGGGCTGTTGTAAACGTTAGGCAAAAAGGGGACAAAATAGGTAATACATTTTTGTCAATTTACGATTAACGAGTTAATAATTTTTTGTGTGTTTAGCCGTTTGGACAGCTGATAGTCAAAATAGCAGTGCAGTCTTGGAAATTGGAAGAAAATTAAAGGACAGACTCCACATACCTGCTAGAGTAGTATTGGGTTATCAATTACATAAAGATACTATTGAGAAAACCGGATCAGTTACCAAATATTCGTATACTGTATAATTATAATATGGAGCAGATTTCACAAATAGAAAACTTGATTGTTGCGACAATTCCCATTCACTAAAAAAATGATCGAAATTTTGTTGATGGACTATAGAAGTTATATTCCAAATAAAACGTAATGTAGTTTGAATAATCAAAACCTAAAAATTAGAAAGAATGTGGACTTGTTAAATATATTGTAAATTTTTTCGATTCGTTTCAGTAAAACTGGTTTTTTCTTGAAACTGCCTTGATGTTAAATACAATGGTTTTTCACACATGGACTTATTTTTTGGTTTGTTGTTTTAATATTGGAAAAATTGATTCATTTCGATTTGATTAAATTTAAGAGATTTAAAATTTTAACACAACGCAACTGTCGCACATCAAGTTTTGGAACTGTGTTTTCAAATTATAATTAATTAATGTTAACATTCATAGTTTATTTTGGAATTGTAACTTTTTTTTAGAGTACTCATTAATAATTTTTAGTTGAATGGTTTTGATTCTTATTACATTAGTCTTTGGAATAACTTGCTTGTTTTTTTATTACAATTTGGTTTATATGAATGTTCTGGATTTTTTTTATTTATGTTTATCTAAGCAAAGAACTGAGTTTCTTTTGTGTATTTATTAAAAAATATGTTTAATTAAATTATGATAATCATTTAATAATATATTTGATTGTGTCCAAAAATAATTTTGAATCCTTTTGGCCTATTATACAGTGCAACAAAGACCATTTCTATTAGTCTCATAAAGGAAAAAGAAAGTGATAGTGTGGAATTGCAACTTTCTGTATTAAACTGCTAATGCTTTTTATCAAAAACATTTATTAAATAGAAATATAACTGGTTAACATTATAGAACAATTTTTATCTGAATCCAATCACATCATTTTATTTCGAATAAAAATGTCTTGAATTTGATAACACAAATCTCTTCGTCTTGATTCAGTTAAAGCATTGCAAAACCCGATTTTCCAATCAGATTGGTGAATTTCTCGATAATGTTTTAATATTTCCCTTACGCTTTCTTCAAGTCTTCCAGGATGCCTGTTATCAAATGCGTCAATTTCGCCTTCTGATATTTTTAATTTCCTTGCTAGCAACTTCCATTTTAAGCCGATTTCTCTAGCAATCACACTATCAACTTGCTCCACTGGATCATCAGGTACCTCTGGTAAAACTGCAAATGATAGATTAGAAATATATAATCTACAATGATTAATTAAATGTACATACCTCTTTGATTATTATATGCTGGATTGATGTTTCTGAAGCTTTCGTTATTGTTGCTTTGGTTTTCATTTAAAACACGTTCTAGTTCCGATATGCAATTGCGCTTCCTTAGTACAGCTTTGAGGTCAGCTAATGAGGTAATTTTTTCAAAGACTCGTTTTGAATCTATAATTTCTCTGAAGTGTTCTTTCAATTCCATTAATCGTCCCCTTGAAAGTAGATGATTATCCGAAACGTTCCCGATGCATCCCATTGTATCTGAAATATTGTTTCGAGGAAAACGTTAGCGATTAAAAAAAGCTTTTTAAAACAAATAATGAGTCACACACAATATAAAATATCTAAATTTGCAGAATGCAAATCTAAGCAAATCTCAAATCTCAAATATGATTTATTTTTATTATGACATTGACGTTTATTTAAAAGTGAAGAATTTTATGATCTCTTACTACGCTACTTTACAGTTATAGGTAATTGCAAATTCAAAAAAAAAAAAATTTAAATTCAATATTTGTGCTTTTTGTAATGAAATCATTTATAAATTGTTAATTTGTTATTTATAATACACTATTTAGGATTCCATGGTCCAGGATTTTTAGTATACAGGTAGATACAAAATTGTTTGCGATATACCCAGGCTATGGGTGCAGCAAAGACAACTTCCATTTGTCTCATATAAAGGGAAAAGAAAGAGTGATAATGTGAAAATTCAACTTTCTCACTCTAACCACTGTTATTTTATTAATCTCTCTGTTCAACTAGAAATAACCATATTGCAAACATATTTGGTCTCTAAATATTTTAACAAGAACAAGAATCACACCCTCTGTAATTGTAATCGATATGTTTACAATTTTAAATCTACCGGTCTTAGAATTCAGTTCAGCGCATACACCATCCTTCTATCGATTTTCTCTGACAAGAGCCCGCAACATGAGCCTATTAATAACAATCCCGTTCTTCAAACACACACTCACGCTTATTAAATCCAGATAAAAATCCTGATAATGATAATTTCATATGTTCCCAATACCCCACTGGCAAAACCCGGGCGATTTTCCAAATAGCAAAAATGGTGGCGATTTCTGTGAAATACCTAGAATGCCTCCGTTGGTCCTACACGGTGCCGATACTCTGCTACATCGCCTTCTTCCTCATGATATGGATGCTGGCGGTGCCTCTCAAGCAAAACATAAAGATCGTCAAGAAACTGAACATCGACGCCGAGGATTCGTTCGAAATTCGCATAAAAAACAGCAACTTCAACACCGACAAGAAGCCGATCAGCGAGGACATCGACCAGAAGAACGAATATCTGGTCAACACAGACGACGAGGAGTATTTGAATAAAGACAGCACTCGAATACTAACGGAAGTGTTCGTAAAGTAAGTTGCATGATACCATTTATCCAAAGGTATTTATGGTGCATTTGGAATTTAGGGCAGACATTAACAAAGACAGAAAACTCGACTCCAAGGAACTGGCCCAATGGATACGGCACAAGATAGTGGAGCACATCACCACGGCCGTGGGAGGCAACTTGGAATTGTTCAATCTCATCGACAAGAACCCCAAGAACGGTGTCGTTACGTGGAAGGAATACCACACTTACTTCCTGAAGAAGCGCGGCTTCAGCGACAAGTACGTCGACGATCACGACGAGCGCAGGCACAAAGGCCTGCAGAGATCGCTCAAAGGTACACCTCTACCTCTATCGATTCCCTAGGAAATAATCAATTCGTTCATTAACCAGAAAAGATCATGAGAGACAAGGCTTCGTGGATGGAAGCCGCCCGGTCGAACCCGGACTCGCTCACGCTCGACGAATTCCTGGCCTTCACCCATCCGGAATCCAGCGTCACCAACCAGCTGGTGCTGGTCGACGAGCTCTTCGACAAATTCGACAGAGACGGCGATGAACTGTTGACCGAAAACGAATTCGCCATTATGCAAACCGAAGGTAAATATCACGATTCACTATTACAAAACCCCCTCTAACTAGTCCAATGTAGCCACAGGTATTCCCGTAAATACTCTCTTTGTGATCCAGTACTTGTAGAGTTATTAAGGTGGGTTTACTTCTTCTCTTTTAGTTGATGCGTGCTACAGAATTGTTTTTTTTTTTGGTTTCTGGGGAGCACCAAATTCATCCAGATTGTATCCATGTTATGCTCTGGTATCCCCATACTCTCCAATCATTTTAATGGTACACAATCCTATCTAAGACTATAAAATCTCAGACTATATCTTAGGTTATATCTATGCCAGCATATCACATACTATATTGTATAAATTGTCAAGATTCACTGCAACCTGTTGCAGCCCTATTTAGCTTGTCCAATTATGTAGCCTCAGGAATTCCTAAGTACTTAATCAAGTAGGTACTTGGAGTGTTTAAATAGATCTTTAAATCTTCTAGTTCATTTGTATCAGTTCTCTTATTCTCTCTTTTATCAGTACTTAGACTTGTGTACTAATGCTCCAAAAATTATGTTTTTCTGCTTCCTGCATATCGCCAATTTCGTCCAGAATGGATTGATTTGGGAAAGAGTGTGGGGATAAGTATCCCTAAGTATCCCTAAGTATATCTAACCCCACACTCTTTTTAAAGGTACACAGTTATAATTGTAAGACTTCATCTAAACATTTATCTATTCAAAATGAATGATGGCTGTTGGTTTAGGTAACGGGGACGAGACGCTGGTGGTGCGCCAAGATGAGAACGAGCGCCGGGCCGAGTTCAGGAACACCATAGACCTGAATGGGGACGGTAAGGCGGATCGCAGGGAGCTCCTGAGGTACATCGCGCCCCAGAGCCCCAGGCATAGCGAGCACGAGGCGGAGGCGCTGGTGGCTCTGGCGGACAACGATCGCGATGGGGCCTTGTCGATGGACGAAATTCTCGCCCGTCCGGATCTGTTTTTGAAGTCGAAAATGGTGGATACCGCTAGGAGTTTCCACGATGAATTTTGAATTATTTTCGCGAGGTAACTAAAAAATTCAAAATCGATTCTTTAGCGTTGCTTGTGGGAAGTTTCCTGTGAGTAATTAGTGATTTTTTTCATGTAAGAATCCGTTGTTTGTTAGTTTTTATCTAATGTTAATATTGGATAATTGAACATTGTGATAATTGAAACGGTTTTAAATTCCATTAATAAATATATTTCCATTTGTTGGAGTTATCAATTTTATTTTATTTATTCCCAAACTATTTTTTTACCTCTCGAGTTTTTTTGTGCAATTTTTTATCCTATAAATCTTCCTTTACATACATACATACTTCTCAAATTCATGAAACCAATACAAGTAGAAGAGTATAAAATAATAAATAATAATAAAAATCTAGCATATTAACTATAGATTATAAAAATAATTTAGCAATAATTTAGTTCAACGAACGCAAACACGCTTGATAATTTTTTTATAACATTACTAATATCAATTTGTTGAAAATATCCTTCGTTTGGTCTGCGACAAACTTATCTCTAAGTTTTATCTATTTTGCATTGGAACTGATGAAACTTTCCATTTTTGCTTCGAAATATGTACATGGAATTTTATTTCTACGAAAAGTTCAATTAAAGATTAGTATATTAAAAATGTATTTAGGAAAATCCGATGGGAACGTGAACATTGCACTCATTTTAAATGGTACCCTATTTTTTATTTACTTTCATTTCATTATTAAATCTTAAATATTTCATAAAATATCCTTTGTAAAAGTTCATTTTTGTTTTCTTATTTTTAACAAGCAGTAATTATCCAATACCAAATAGTATAGTCAAGTGCAATTAACCCGCACCCAATAAACAAATAAAAACAATTATTTAAAACAAATATTTTGTATCAAAGACAAACTTTGTATTTTCGATTAACAGTCTTTGCGATTTCTTCCGTTGGTTCGGTTGGTGCTTCTTCGATCCCGATTCTTTTTTTCTAAATGTCGTTTCTTATCGTTCAGATATAAATAGTTTTATTGAACACTGTCAGTCGTACTTAGTAAATGCTTCGAGATGGAGGACGATAGGGGATTGTTCAGTGGCACAAAGACCCAATTAGTTGCTGCAACTTTTGGTAAATAATATTTTTTTATTCATTATGTGACTGCATCTTGAGAACTCCCAGTAATTGTTTTAACAATATTTTAAAGTAACCGCTTTAAGCTGGTTAATGCAGGGGGAAGTATACCTATCACCTATTATACGAATTTTTAATTTGTGGAAAACATTTTTTTCATTATGGATAATTCGTTTTAAATTGAATAAATTGCTAGAATTGATGATTTATTATAATTATTTAGTTTTTTTAAGAAATATGTTTTATAAGGACATTGATCATCGTTAAATACGCACAAAGCATTTTTATTTTAAATTATCAGTTGAGTAGATACTCATATTTTTATTTAAATATAATAGATTTTTATAATTTCAACGGAGCAAGAAACAAATTAAATTATCCGGATTTTTATTTTAATAGATTTTTCACATTTTTAGTAATAATATGATACACAAAGATTTTTTCAACTATAACGCAAACGTATATTTTGAAATTGATGAATGGGCCAATACATTATAATGAATAGATTTTATTTAAATTATGAAATTATTCAATTTAGTAAATTATTATTCTATAAATTAGCGCTCTTAAACAATAACGTGTTTGTTGTCCTACTTGTCCCATACTCTTTATCATTATTTAATGGGTCATGTACACAGGATGTCCCATAACTAAACCTACAAACTAAAAAAAAGTTCATGTCTATCTGTAGTATTTTAAAGAGAACCTTTTTAGCATAACGTTAAATAATTCAGAATTTTTTCAGGGGTATAATAATTAATGAGTTAGTTTATAGTAAAGAATTAACTTTAAGATATCTTCCAGATACTTTATCTCAGAGATGATGAATTTTACTGGGAATATTTTCTTAATTTTATGATTTCTCTAAGTATAGTAGTTCGAGTTCGATGTATCTACAGAACTCCCTGAGTATCTTTTCAGTAGATATTTACTTAACAATGAACTTAAGATATACGAATAGTTATAGTAACCGAATAATTACAGTGTTTACTATTAGATACTACACATTTTATTTCCTCATGTTGTGTAAAAACAAACAAACAAATGTTATGTCAAAGATCATGTTTGCTATTTATAAAACTCCAATGTGTGTAATGCATCCTGATTAGTCTAAGATAATCTACACAACAAGAAATGACCTACTGTATTTCCATGAACTATTTAAAACCTTTTTTTTTATTTGCTCGCTTAAATCGTAGAAGTACTGAATGGAAAGATAATATAATTAATTTCCAGATTATTCTCCATTAATTAATCGATGCATTTTTGCAGGTACTTTATTCGCAATATCCGATGGAATGTCGTACGGCTGGACCGCTCCGATGGTGCCCTACCTCATCAGCGAGAAGAGCCACATCCAAACCACCAAATTCGAGGCCGAATGGCTGGAGTCCTGCCTGATGATCGGCTCCTTCCTCGGCTTGCCCTTCACCATCTACCTAGTCGACAAGATCGGCAGGAAGCGCTCGCTCCTGCTGGCCGCCGTGCTCTCGCTCATATCCTGGATAGTGGTCGCCAGCTGCAACAGCATGGTGTGGCTGTTCGTGGCGCGCTTCTCCTTCGGCGTCACCGCCAACACCTCCTTCGTCGCGGCGCCGATTTACGTCGCCGAAATCGCCGATCACAAGATCAGGGGGTTCCTCTCCAGCGTCATCTACATCAACATGCTGCTGGGGTTGATCATCGTCTACAGCGTGGGCCCCTACCTGCCCTTCTACGTGTCCCCCCTAGTGGGAATCGCGGTGCTCAGCTGCGAGCTGATCGTGTTCCCGTTCATGCCTGAAACCCCTTACTATTTGCTGTGCAAAGGCAAGTACGAGGAAGCCAAAAGGTCCTTGAAGTACTTCAGGCCGAACAAAGACATCACCGACGAGCTCAAAGATATCGCCAAGGCGGTAGCTAGGCAAAAGACTGAAACCAGCAGGTTCAGGGATTTGTTCCTGATTAAAGGTAACCGTAAGGCCATACTGATAATGGCGATTTTGGACGCGGGGCAGCATCTCTGCGCTCTGAGCGTTATTCTCATGAACCTGCACGGCATCCTCGACGCGGCGGGTTCCATCTACATGGATTCCTCCAAGGCGGCCATCGTGTTCGCTGTCATCATGTTCTGCGCGGCTTATTTATCGAGCTTGGTGGTGGATCAGTTCGGCAGGAGGGCCCTTCTTATCGTATCGTTGTTGACTACAGGCATTTGCTTGGGCACCATCGCCATCTACTTCAATCTGAAGCTGAATGGTTACGACATACAGAGCGTCAGCTGGATACCCATAGTAGCCGTGATGTTCTACGCGGCTTGCTTTAAAATCGGAATCGGCATCGTTCCCATTGTTCTTACTGCGGAGATATTCTCGACGAACATGAAGGCTTTGGGTATGGCTACCTCCGATCTCATGTACGTGCTGGGCTCGATCATCAGTCTGCAGATATACCAGTGGTTGGCTTATTCGTATGGGTTGCATTTGCCTTTCTACTTATTCTCCCTGTCCAGTTTTGTTATTGCGATTTTCACGTATTTGTACATACCAGAGACTAAGGGTAAGACGCTTGAGGAGATCCAGTATTTGATGAAGGGCGAGATACCCAAGTCGAGCTCCTTGCTCAATCTAATCTCGAGCAAGTCTTATAATACGTTTTACGAGTCGTAAGGGACGTGCGTTAGGAGTTGTTTAATTTATTTATGCTTTTATAATTTATTTTTTTATCAAATTTGTGGTTGTGTTATCCTTTATTTACACATAGATTGTGTGACGGAATGAAGAATAAAACTGCTACTTTTGGTACGCGAGTCTGTAAAAACTTGTAGATAATTATTAAAATTGCAATAGAATAATTTTTTTAGTTTTTTAGGTACTTTTAAAATGTTTTTAAGTATATAGGTATAAATAATTAGGTCTTGTTTTCTTTTAGTTATCATTTTATAATCATACGTCTTGGATTTATAATGTATCCCCTATGTCAAAGGTTTATTGTAATCCATCAATGTTTTCTTACATTAATTGACAAACAATAATATAAATATTTTGTGATTGTAAATAATTCGTAGATAATTTATTTTTGTTTTTCGCAGTTTTGCATTTTATGACTGAAATAAAAGATTGTGCGCTTATTTACGCGTGTTCATTTTGTTTGCATTTTTACTATTTTTGTTTTACAATCATTAAACAAGAAGTGATTAGTGAAAATTTGAATGTTAAATTGATATAATTAAAAAGTGCATGTATTTAATCAATTAATTATCATAAAAACAAACTTTTCAAAAAAAATATTATTTTTAAAATAAGTGAAGGGAAAATAATTTTCCAAATGTTGGCAATGCGGTCACAGTCACTGTCAGTTGTCACTTCGCCCTTCCCATCTCTACTCTACTGTTCTAGACGTTCTATGATCTATTCTATGTTTTGTATGCAAGTAAAAAAAATAAAAATGCAAAAAAGAAACGGATGAATGAAAGATTTTCGCTCCGTCTGTTCGAGTTTCTATTAATACGAAAATAATTTTCCCGTTTTCATGTGAAACGGAAGTTCTCGCAAGTGTTTGTAAATAGCGATAGCCGGGTATTCGTTTAGTTCTAGTGAATATGGTTATTTGCGAGTAAACAAGTGCACGGTTATTTTCGTTCGTGTGAGATGGCTTCTCTGTCTCTGCCTCGAGTCCTCAACCCAAGGAAAACCAGCTTGGAAATAGAACGAGAAAATTTCGAAAAGACACAAGTGAGTTTCCTAAATTGTAAAACGCAGAATGCTGAATATTTAAAGCCTCAAACAGCAATGTAGACTAGACATCAAGCAATTAATATCATTAATCATACCCACGAAAAAAAGGATGTTCTAGTTTAAAATTTAAAAGTTTATTTATGTAGTAATAGCAAGTTTAGTGCATAAATTAGGCTAAAAAATACCGTACCTACGTCATAATAATTTGTAATGTATATTTTCTTAGAACAAGTCGGCGTTTTTAATTCATTGCTGGTATGAAATCATTTTCGCAATAAACGTTTATAGTTCACATGATTTCTACGTTTGAATACGTACTGTAATTAGTGTAATTAGTATTTTAGCAACGTGTGTACATTGAACTTTCCTTTGTATGATTTTTGAATTACAATGCTGTATGATGTAGTAGCGGTCAATTAAAGTCAATTTAAAATGTGAAATATGGGTATTTTCATTACATTAACTCGCAGATTAATGTTTTTCCTGTAAATTTATCGGGAGACTTATTTATTCGATCAGTAGTTTAGAAATTATTGAAGGAAAATCGGTACATATGTATTTATGGATAGGCTCCTTATTTAGGATGTTCTCCTTAGTTAGGATGTGCTCATTACAAAGCTGTCTTCACTATTAAATCACAAACTGTTTTGGATTTATACAAAAATGTAGAAAATGCAGGAACTTGATGAAAGTCTCGTTTATTCTTAATATCCCACCTTTATTGATATTTATCTGATCTGAGATCAATTTTTTATTGTTGAGTTTAATGATTGATCTCTGGAAAGTTAATAAACGTATTATCAATATTTTACTGTTCTATTACTTTAACTCCGGTCCTTGAAAAAATTAGCTATTTGTAATTCAAATACATACACTCATATTTGGCTTGAAAAATTGCTTTCACAACTATATTGTGCTATAATTTATTTAGAAACAAAAAGAATTATTTTCCCTTATACATATCAAGATAATGCACTTATTTATCTAATTTGATTACTTACTTACCTATTTTTAGCTCTAACGAATTGATTACAAGTAACAATCTAAAATAATAGAATTCGAACGATTAGCAATAATACTAATCACGTGATCCTGAATTTTATTCAAGCTTTAAATCAACCGTAACATACCAAAATATTATTAGTTCGGTCATTGAAATTCTTCGAATATCCAAGTGTAATTTGTCACAAATATTATGTAAAATATATGTAAAAAAATTAGTTGGTAAATTTATAGAATCCACTCCTGCATCTCCTTATCATTTATCAGGTAGACGACTTGTTTAGTACTTGAATCTAATGATCCAGTCAAACGATTTTATTTTCAGATTATGCATGCCTATTGATACATATTATTTTTTCTAACGTAAGTTTTCGCTGCATGTTGTTTAAAAAATAAAAGCAGTATAGAAGGAATCTATAGTCTGAGTCAGAAATAATGGCGAAAGAATACAGCCCGAGGGATTTAGAGAAATACGTGAGTAAAAAAAGGTGTTTTTTTCGTTCGATATCGGGCCGTGTTTGTTTTGTAATATCTAAATTTGCTTTGTTTTATTCTAGCTCGAATTTATCACGTTCGTGTAAACTTTGCTGTTGCTAACGTGTGGGTGTACGTACACTTATTGAGCTTTGGTAACGTTTAACAGGTCTGCTTTTTAATCAAAATACGCCTTTTTAATATGGGTTCAGGATGTTGTAGATAGATTTTTAGTTAGTTTAAGCGCTGATTTGTTATCTGGTGTTCACATTTTTACCAATTGATAAACGATTTTGAAACGGCACGATTTTAAATTTGCACTCTAATAGCAGGAAAACGTGCAAGTTCCACGAATACACTGACACAACGGAATTTTATGTACCACTAAAACATCACTTATGTTAATTGCTTAATCTTTGTGTTTAATTATTGTACCTGACGCCTTGTTTCTATGAAATCAAATCGAACGATACACTTATCCAGGCATCAAAGAAACATACTGGTAGATTATTAATCTAGAGTTTTTTTGTAAGCAGTATATCTCTTTCGTAGGCTCAAGCTCTTCAGAAGGCTATAAACAGCAACGAAACGCCGGTGAAACAGAAACATGTCCGGTCAGCGATCATCGGTACTTTCCACACGCAAAGCGCGAAGATTTTTTGGGCCTACGCCCTCCGTCTTCCCGCCATGGACGACAGAATCGTGGCGTGGAAGCTGTGCCATGTGGTGCACAAAGTAATAACACCATTAACCGCCTCTTAAATAATTTTTCAACCGATTTATTTCGTTGCAGGTGCTAAGAGAAGGCCATCCACTGTGTTTAGTGGACAGCCAGAGGCACAAGAACGACTTGGATGAAATTGGGAAATTGTGGGGACATTTGAAGGAGGGCTACGGGAAGATGATTAGATTGTACACGACTTTGTTGATTTACAAGTTGGATTTCCACAGGAGGAATCCGAGGTTTCCTGGCCATCTTGGCGTTACGGCCGAAGAACTGGAATCGATTGCAGGGAATGATATCAATAATTAGTGAGTGTTCAATTTAATGCTGGTAATTAATTTTATTTAGTGCTTTAGTAACTTGTTAAATTAGTTTTCAGATGACCGTTGAAATGTTTGATTACTTGGATCACGTTTTGGATTTACAAGAAGCAGGTAAAGTAACATTTTTAACAAGTTTTAAATTATACTGCACTTATTCGTTGTACTTTTGCTCTTAAGTAACAACAGTAAAGATATTTCATACAGGGTATCCAAAAAATTAGTAGGATGAAACCCTAGTTAAAAAAGTTTATAAGATCCCTTTCTCTAAAAATTGTTTAAATATTCTGGAAAGCCAATATAGTACACATACTAAATGCTTAATAATAACACTAGTTTACAAATTTTTGTGCAAAGAACTTAGGATATTGGATAAATGCTGAGCATAAATTTTTTATTTTTTTGTATGATTTTGGGTCGGTTTCGCGTACTAATGTCCAACAATAGTGTCCTAGCACACCATTTAGAACTATATACAACGCTCCAGAACCATTTAGAACTGTCTAGAATCGTTTAGAATGCTCCAGAATCATTTAGAACGCTTCGAAATCATTTAGAACTGTTTAGATTCATTTAGAATGCTTAAGAATAATTTAGAACAGACGTTGGAAAATTAAAGACACTAGAGGTCATATTAGGTATAAACACTCCAAATTAATATTAAAAAAAGTGGAAAATGTGTGAGCTACTGTAATTAATGGACATTTATTTTTGTTACAGTTTTTGGTTCATTGAACATGGCGAGATCGAATTCGATGACGATGGCCGGTCAATGCCGGCTGGCGCCCTTGATAGCGTGCATTCAGGACGCGTCGAAGCTGTACGATTACTGCGTGAAGATCATGTTCAAGTTGCACATGACGCTGCCTCCGGACATCCTCTCAGGGCACCGGGAGCGCTTCCTGAAGCAGTTCAGGGTGTTGAAGAAGTTCTACGAGAGCACCAGCAATCTGCAGTACTTCAAGGATCTGATCGCCATTCCGCCTTTGCCCGAGGTAATGGACTTGGAGGAGGATTTGATAAAGTGTATATCGTTGAAAGAGGTGGAAATGGAGAACGAATGTTCTAATGAAAGTGGTATTGGTGATTCGGAGACGACGACGTCTCCGGACGAAAATGTCGGGGTTTTGATCGATTTAAGTTAGGTTGTTGTTTTTATGATAAAAAGGGGAGCTTGTACTTTTACTTGGTATGATTTGGAGTTGAAATGTAGGAAGTTATTTGTTATTTGATCGATTGCTTACTTTGAAATATGATTCTCCATCGTGCTGCTTATATCTTAATGCTTGTTTTAAAAAATGCCCTACATGAAGATTTTTGGGTAGGACTATTCTTTTAATGTAGGTAATGTGATATTATATTGTGCAATAAAGGTTTGATTTTAATGCATGCGTTTTTTAAATTTAAAAATTAAATAAATCGCAATAATAACATTATCCATAACTAATCTCACCATATTTAATTTTCCTACATTTTATTATTTGCGCTATTTATTTCGAACGTTTCTTAGGTTTAAAAAATACAAAGAGAGATATATTTTATTCCATAATAACTTAGAATTAAATACATAAATCACTTCACAGTACAAATGACATTTTATTAACAAATTTAATAATATAATTATCCACACGTTATTAACAACACACTATTTAATGATGCTACAAGCACGAAAACTTTAACCAGACTATATCAACTATTCTTTAACCACTTTAACCACACAAACAGCATTATCAAATAATTAATATCTTAATGCTCTTATAGATAACAAAATCTACATAATATAAACCCTCACGTCACGAATTACCATACTTACTCACACAAATATTTGTATTTGTTTACCATAATAAAATTCACCAGATAAAAACTTCGAAATGCCTTGCTAATTAGTCGGCCTTCATGTTTCAGAATCCGCCCAATTTCCTGATAATGGGCGATTTTCGAACGTACGTCACCCAAGAGGTGATCGTGCCGCAGGAGCCCGAGCACGAGGAGGAGCCCATCGTAGAAGGGAACCTCATCGACACCACCGAAGAAGCTCCAGTCCACGACACCTATAACGAAACCATGCTGATCGCAGCCCAAGAGGAGCTGATCAAAGAGAGGGAATTCCTCAGATCCCAGTGCGAAAAATTCAGGTAAATAGAAATTATATTTTGCCCCTTTAAGGCCGCCAAAGCATGCCCCCAAATTCGTAATTCTTGGAGTAATTCCTAAATGTATACAATTTTGATAAATTTCTTCCACTATAGATGGGATGAGACTAGTAGATTTTTCGTGTTTGATTACACTTGACATAAAATCGAACGTACAACAATGTAAAACAAGAAATCCTTTTCAGAATTTTCCAAACTCAATTCTTTCCCTGCAATTTTAAAAGATAAAAGTAGGGTCTTACAAATAACCTTATAGTGCTCGTAAAATATCTGGCGCACTGAAAATACCTTATTTCATCTTACTTGCCCTTTAAAACATAGAAAATAATTGTTATTCAAAAAGTATTTGAAAAACGGAGACCACTGGCAACGCTGTTGCTAGTCAAATTTCAAAATTGTTCTGCGATTTGCAACTCCATAATTTTACAGTAATTTATCATCATCAATATTTGCTAAATACCTTAATTAGTTTTTTTTTAATTTAATACAGCTTGTGGATAAATATAAACTAGGAGACATCGTTCTGTAATAAGTATTCTTCATCCTAACAAAATTATTCACACATTTGTTCGATGAAACTCGAGTTTTACTTGAATTATGTTTAGCCATTTAAAAAGCATTGCAAATAAATTGCAGTTTTTGATTTCAATTTTCTTAAATATATAATGAAGTTGATGAGATTAAAAATAGAAGATATCATTGCTTATAGTCTCTATTTTAAGTGGCGCCTGATAATACTGTGTGTTGTTTCAAATTGAATAAATAGCCTGTAAAGGTAATGCTCATAAACTTAATTCAAAGTTTTCTTCTTTTTATAAAACATTTACGCTTCGCGTTCGTTTGTTCGCTTGTTTGCGATTCGACACATGTCACTTTAGGGCATTCATTCGACTGATTTAATTATGTTTAGGCACGAAATAAACGCCGTGATGAGAAAAAACGAGAAGGACGTTACCAAATTGCGCGATAAAATCGGACATTTAGAGACGGAACTTGCTACCAAAGAGAGCGAACTGATCCAGGAGCGGCAGGTGAAAGAGGACCTGCTGAGCCAATCCTTCGCCGTTGCCCAATCGCAGGATTCCGAACGTAAGTCTCCGGCTTACTCTCGAGATTGTGTCGATTCGATTATTTGTTTACAGAGAAAGTTAAGAACGAGAAGTTCGATAAGCTGAAGGAGCTGTACGTGAAGTTGAGGAACGAGCACATTCAGAAAATACGCGAAGTAAGTAGGTATTTACGATCGCTATATTAGAGGTAATTTTAATTTTTTTGGATAGACTAAAATGTATTTGTTTTATAAAGAAAGCTGAAGTGGAGAAAAAATTAAGCGGAGCCCTACAAACGATCCAACAATTATCCGAATTGGAGAAGGAAAACGACAGATTAGTGGAGGAAGAAAAGCAAAAATACGCCGAACTATCCGCATTGCAGAAAGATAAGGAGTTATTCAACATGGAAACAGAAGTACACAAACTTTAACTGTATTTTTAACCAGTTTTAACTTCAAATCTTTTCCAGATTCTCAAGAAAAGCGTTATGGACGCGTGCCGAGAAAAGGACAATTTAAAATCCGAAGTGGCGACGTTGCTTCAAGAAAAAGAGGACATCAAAAAATCATCCGAAGAGCTGTCGTACAAACTTTTAGACATCGAAAGGCAATTAGACCGAGGTTAACACAACCACTAAAATAAACCCATTTCGACAATAATACAATAACTTTATTCAGCTCAAAGAGACATGCAGAACCAGCTCAAGGAAATGGTGATCAAATGCGTCGAAAGCAGCGAGAATATCTTGAAGCACGCCATCGAAGAAGTCGACAATCCCGCTCTCACGGCTCTCACTTGCTCGCCCGATTACCTCAGAAGCCTAACCAATGGTTGCAAGGAATCCCTGCACGAATCTACCAATGTTTCCAGCACGAACTACTCCGATATCGTCACCGTAGCCAATCGGCTCGCCCACAGACACGCCACCTACATCCTGCAAGGACGGGCCACTTGCAACACGAGCCCCGATATATCCTTCGGAGAAAGTAGGTATTTTATTTGCGCTCGAAATTGTGTTATTAATCATAGATGTCCTGTTACTGTATCCTCTTAGATATAATCTCTGTATCCTTGTAAGAGGGTAGGGTCTGAATCAATTAGAGGGGCTTTAGAGATCATTTAGAGAGGTTTTAGAATTGTCTATAACAATATAGAACGCTCCAGAATCATTTAGAACTGCCTAGAACCATTTAGAACGCTCCGTAGTCATTTGGACCGCTTCAGGATCAATTGGAACTGTCTAAACCCATTGAGAACGCTACAAAAGAACCATTTAAAACTGTCTGGAACCATTCAGAACGCTCCAGAATCAGTTATAACTGTCTACAACCATTTAGAACGCTTCTGAATCATGCAACTGTCTACATCCATTTAGAACGCTCCATAGTCATTTAGAAATCAATTAGAACTGTCTAAAACCATTGAGAACGTTTCAGAACCATTTAAAATACTCCAGAATCGTTTAGAACTGTCTCGAACTAATGATTTCGACTTAATAAAGAAGAATAATGTAATTTTTCAACTGAAAATCTCGGCATTTCCTTGTCAGACCGAGAACTTTTCAACTTACCCTTTTATATCTTCGGATACTTTGGATCCTCTTAGACACCTATTACTTATACATTGTAAATTTGTGTTTCTTTTTCCTTTTAGAAGTGGCCGAGGCGTGTAAGGTGCTGGGTAAAATCGTCCTCAAGCTGTTGAGCTCTCTGAAACGCGGAGAAAACGTGGAGGAATTGGCGAAGGAAGCTAAAGAAAAGCTGGAGGAACTGGCCACTCTGGCGGATGGTATAAGCGCATCTCTGTTGGGCGAAAACGCGGAAACTCTGGCCGATATGTTGGATAACGAAATGTCCGCGATGGACAAGGCCATCGAAGAAGCAGCTAATAGGATACAGGTAATTATTTCCAAAGAATAATATGTCATCATGAAATTGTTAAGGGGGTCTATAACGAGCACTAATGTTCTGTTTTTAATACTTGTGTCTTCATTCCTAGTGAACTATATTAATCTTGGGAACTATACTATAGTCATACTATAGTAAAAGGTCTAGTAATTTAAATAATTTGTTTGTAGGATATGTTAACGAGATCACGAGCGGCCGATTCTGGAATAAAATTAGAAGTGAACGAAAAAATCTTGGATTCTTGTACGACTCTAATGCAGGCTATTAGATTGCTGGTGCAAAAGTCGAAGTTCTTGCAAGCCGAAATTGTCGCTCAGGGCCGGGTAAGTGCATTTTATTATAAACTCTCCTTATGATAATAATTTGTATGGGTTTTATTTGCAGGGTTCGGCCAGTACAAAGGAATTTTACAAGAGAAACCACCAATGGGCGGACGGTTTCATATCGGCCGCCAAAGCCGTGGCGGTGGCTGCTAAATTTCTATTGTAAGTTGAAGGAAAAGTACCCTGTGACAAAAAAGTATCCGGAATTTCTGATTTCATTTACCTGCACTTAATATTTTTAACTATTTCAAGTTTCTGTATGTAACACTGTTCTTAATTAGCATGTAAAAAATTAGAGAGATTTCTCAGTCAGTTTGGGTGTAGCAGCTGATTGAATCAGTTCATCGGACAAAACTAAGGAACAAAGAGTTTGTCTCATATTTTGGGTTTTGAATGGAATTTCGTGGGCCGAATCGATGCCACTTCGGGAATCCCGTTTTGACTGGATAAATGCTCAAAGAAAATTCGCACAAGGAGGTAAAAGCCGTACCAAAAAGGGCCTATACAAATGCTTCGATGATTGGAAAAGGTGTCTGACGTGTATCGCTTCAAAAGGACTCAAAAGGAGCATATTTTGAAGGAGATTCAAGAAAAATTAAAAACGATTAATAAATTTGTGTTTAATTCCAATTTTCCGGGTACATTTTTTGTCACTGTGTTGTATATGTTACCCGCTCAAAGTGTATCATTATCGTTTGGTGTGTATTGCAGATCCGCCGCCGACAAGGTGGTGATAAACAACGGCAAATTGGAGCAACTGGTGGCGGCTGCGCAGGAAATAGCGGCCTCTACGGCTCAATTAGTGGTGGCCAGTCGCGTGAAAGCCGACAGGAACAGCGTCAATTTGCAGCAATTGACACAGGCCTCGAAAGGGGTTACAACGGCTACCGGTACGGTGGTCGCCACCGTGAAGGATTGCAGCGAACTCATTGATGAATCCGGTAATATAAATTGAACCCATGTACAGGGGGTTTTTTAATAACATGCTAATACTGAAGTGGGTGTACATGTACAAATTTACCACACTCTATCTCTAAAGTTAAGACGTTTAGGACATAGGTTCATATGAAGTTTTTTTTCTTAAAATGGGGCACAAGAATCATCCCCTTCAGTATTAGCATGTTATTAAAAACACCTTCTATAATACATCTACCCAATTTTTAAACTATTGGCTCTTGAAATTATTGTGATTGTTTTGTTATTTGCAGAGGAGCTGGACGTTTCGAATTTGTCCCTTCATCAAGCGAAACGTTTGGAGATGGATTCGCAAGTGCGAGTGCTCGAATTGGAAAAGGAACTCGAACAAGAAAGGTACAGACTCGCCAAGCTCAGAAAACACCATTACCAATTAGCGGGAGAAAATGAGACTTGAATTACGTAAATTTAATATATTAAAGTTATGTAATAATTTATTAACGTAGATAGGTCATTGATTGGTAAAGAGGGGGTTCCGACGTAAAAGGAATTCTTCTCGACAATTGTTAGATTGACATATTGTATACAATTGTTGTTTATATAAATTATTTTTACCATTAATATATTTCATATGTTTATAACGATTGATTTTTATCCTAATATTTACATTATTAAATATTAAATTGTTTATATAGATAATTACATAAAGCAAGAGTTTTTATTTATGATACATATTCAATACTTTTGTATTTGAATTCTGCATTAGTGAAAAAATGCAAAAATAAAATAAGTTTTATCAAATTCCTCTTCACGATTTAACTGAGACTTTGTCGTAATTTAATGTGGAAGTACAATATTTAATTTCAATAAATTTTACTACTTATTCAACTTTTAATATTTCTTTTTGGTATGACAATGGTTTTTTGTCCCTAATAGATTTCCAAGTTACATATACGGGGTGAATCGTACCGCCTTTAGTGAATATCAAAAGAGCAATAAAGGCTGCAACCACCTTTTTTGAGACCATACAGGGTGATGTATGACATACGAATTTATTTTTATCATAGATAAAGAGAAGTTTTATTTTCAATAACCTTCACGGTTGTGATTTCGATTTGGTTAATTTTTTGGCAAAAGTATACATTTTGAACCAGCACCACACTGCTATATTAAGAATTTTAAAAATCCAGGACCGTCTTAAAAAAAGGTAAATTCATTTTTATTAATTCATTATTTCATTAATTCATTTTTATTAAAAGGTCCTAAAATTACAAAAATAATAAAAATATTCTGGATTGCGCAGGATTTGACGCATCATGTGATTCCATCTAGTGCCATTTTCTTTTACTAAAATGTAAGTTGGTAACTTAAACGTGGTATGTAAATCGGGAAAATTTAATATCAACGGGTTTTGAATTAAATTACAAACTCCATTAAAATTCATTATTGCAAGTTCTTACGCTTCCCATCATTCAATTATATGATATTTAAGAAGAAATAAAAGAAAAAATATATGTCAAAGTCAAACGTCATAAACGTCTACTGAATCGATACAAAAACAAAGTACACCATGAACAGGAAAACGATTAAAAATTTAAAAGTGAAGGTTAATTAATAATTTATAAATAACTAAACTACGTTGTGAGTGGTGTGATGTTGGAGGTGTGGTTATTGCGTCGACGTAATGTTGTTTACGACACACAGCCGAGGGGCTACGCAATATCTTCCGATCTAACTGAAATGTAAATTTAGGTATAATGTGGGTATAATCTATTCGAGATCCTGATAAACAATAACAAACACTACACGTGTCGAGTGTTTTTGACTTTTACTTTCCAGGTATTTTGTTTATTCACTTGCCAACAAGTGTATCGAACGTTTATTATCTTGCTAATTCATGTTTGCAGTTGAAAATTATTTTTTTGTTTCGCAGTTTCGTTGTTCGCGTGTACGTAATCAGCTGATAGGTACTGTATCATATATAAAAATAAATATTTCGCACTTACTGATGCAGTAATACTTCAAGTGTTTTACGAGAAACTTGCTTCAATTTTATTTATAACTTATTTAATCGCAGCCTACGTGATACGTGACCCTTTGTTATAATCAATAAATTGTTAATTTAATTTTAGTGTTTGTGGTTGATAAACTTTAAGAAAAGGTTTTATTTGTGATTGTGATACAAATTATAAAATGTCGTCTTTACCCAGATGTGCTAGAGTTGGAATTTCAACTCATAGGTAAGCCTATGCAATAATAAAATTTATTCACAATTAATTACTAATTACACACAGTAGGCGTATAAAACTGTCACATATAAGCCACTGCTATTTATTTGCTCCATATGACATACATCAATCTAAAAACTTATATCTTTTTAATTTCTGTTTGTATGCTATCAAAATCAGCTGTTCACCCACCAAAACACTACCAGTTCTTTTACATTGCGGAACATTAAACCAAAAAAATGACCAGCACGTATTTCACCACATCTCTTAAAATTAATTTTCAGGCAGATTAGTTCCGGACCGTCGAATTTAGATTCAGCCAAAATGCACGTCAAAAATATGGTCCTCACTCAATGGAAATTGATAAACGGCTTAAAATTTTACCTACTGAAATTGACCAACGACAAAACGCTGGAGAACGCCCTGAACACCGAATTCGCGCAGTTTCTGCAGAAGATAAACTTCAAGATACCCAAGAAGGAGATGTTGCAGTACTTCGCCTCGGACAAGGACAAAGACAAAGACGATTCCAGCAAAGCACCCCCTGCAGACGCCAAGGATAAAAAGGGCCAGAGCATCCAGAGTCGACTGCAGAACATACCTGGCATGTTCAGTTCGCTTAACATAGGCATGAAAACCGCTGAAGAGAAGAAGAAGGAGAGTATGCCTAATTGGAAATGTGCCCCGAAACCAGTCATATCAAAAGTAAACTACCATTTAATAACATTAGTAACTAACATGAAAGTAAACATGTTCCTTTGTAAATTTTAGGAATCGATAGCCTCACGAACCTGCCAAGTAATTACCTCTATAAAACTAGCCGAAAGTGACCACTTGAAAATGAAGAGAATAGAAGATTTGGTAGCTCATTTAGAACGATATCCTCTGGCTAAACATCACGCTGTTAAGGTAATTATTCAGTACATACGAGTATGCGGGTAAGTGCAGGTTTGTTTGCAATTCTATCAGTTGAACAAAGAAAGATTATTAAAATAACATTGGTTAAAGTGAGGAAGTTGCAATCCCACAATAACACTCTTTATTTTACTTTTATATGATACTAACGGAAGTTGTCTTTGTTGCACCATATTGTTTACATACTTGCACTTGTGTATAGTATTTTTATTGTAGTTCTAAGAGTAATTATAAATCTAATATATTCTTTAGGACGGTGCCATCAGGGCGCTATTACGGATCAGAGAAGGCACCAAAGAACCAAACATACAAGGCTCCGCGAATTTGGCCTTAGCTTTATTAGGTCACACGGACATCGTTCCGGGCGCAGGCCTGCGAATCCTCTCCATCGACGGCGGTGGCACGAGGGGCATACTAGTAATCGAAATGCTTAAAAAACTAGAAGAGTTCACGAAGAAACCAGTACACGAAATGTTCGATTTTATATGCGGCGTCAGCACGGGGGCGATACTCGCCTGTCTCATAGGATTAAAACACAAAACGTTAGATGAAGTATCCGATATTTATAAAAATATTAGCACGCAGATATTCACCCAGTCAGCCCTGGCCGGTACGAGTAATTTGGTGTGGAGTCACTCGTATTACGATACAGCTTTGTGGGAGAAGTTACTGAAAGACCAGTGGCAGGATCAGATATTAATACACACTAGAAAGGATCCAAGAACTCCCAAGGTATGCTCCAGTGTACTAAATACACTATTAGAGTAATAAAAAAAGTGTTTGTTTTAGTTTTGCGCAGTGTCCGCGGTGGTAAATCATTCCAGATTAACAGCGTATGTATTTAGGAATTACTCGTTACCAGTGAAAGTACAATCTCAGTATTGCGGTAATTACAATCATTACGTATGGGAAGCCATCAGGGCTTCAGCTGCGGCCCCTACTTACTTCGAAGAATGCAAAATCGATAACATGCTCCATCAGGTATATGAGTAGCTGGTGATTTATTGGCTCGATTTGTAATTTATTTATTTTTTATAGGATGGAGGTATTTTAGTGAATAATCCAACAGCTGTAGCGATACACGAAGCGAGGTTATTGTGGCCGCGCGCGCCTATACAATGCGTAATATCATTTGGAACCGGAAGAACGGCTCCTAATCCGATGATGGGAATCGATGGGTACACTTGTTCCTCTTGGAAAACGAAATTTTTGGCTATACTCGACAGTGCTACCGATACTGAAGGTACATCTCATTCAAAGATCATGTGATAGAACCTCTATTATTGATAATGATGAGTTTTATCATGTGGTAACATGTTCAATGTATTCAATAGTGTTTATTTGGTTGTAGGTGTGCACACGATGCTCTCGGATCTTCTGCCTACGAACGTGTATTTCCGCTTCAATCCCTACCTGACGGAAATGTTGAATATAGCCGAGATTCACCCGCAAAAATTGGAGCAGCTCAAGCGAGACGCGCTCATGTATTTGAGGAGAAACGAGGATAAGTTTCAGAACGCCGCTGAGGCTCTTAGTCGGAAGAAAGGCATCGGCCAGAAGGGGGTCGACTGGATAAGTAAAAAAAGGGAAATGTACGGATTTTAATTGCAGAGCGAACCTGAAACTATGTGGAAATATAGGCTAATGTAAACAATTTGCCGGTCAAATGAAATTTACTTTGGAAGCAAAGTTGCTGGATTTACTACACACTTAATGCAGGATACATTTTAATCTTCAAATAAGTTTTATTGGGCTCGTAAATTGTTTATGACATTGGCCCCTTAAAATGGGTAATAACGTAAAAGTTAATTGGAATTGTGATATGTACTCGACTCGGAATTATTGGAATATTTCAGTAGATTTAGTGATTTGTAAGTTTTCCTGTACCAAAGATTTTATATAAAAGTACCAACATGTGAACAACCAGTTTTTCTCTACCAAGACAAATAACAATTTCATTACACCATTGAAAGTAAAAATATTTTAATCATTTCTGTAACAATAAAGTGTATAAGAAAACTTAATCAAAAACTCGAAAAATTTCGCCTCGAAAAAGCAAAATATCTAAAGCTCGAATTTTTCTATTAACCTATCGACGTCTTCCTTCTCCTTCTCGTTGGTTTCTTTAATGTAATCTAACAATTTCCACAAGTTACTCTTATCGTCGCCGCTCATAAACATAACGATAGCTCCGAATCTCTTCACTTGCGTCAAATGAGCTAATACCTCATAAACTTCATCCCTGTTTGCTATAAAATCATTCACCAGTAGTTCCAATATACCGCTGAAAATATTACTATCCATCGAATGCAAAAATAATTTCGGCAGATCTTGCGGTTTTATCATTTTAAAGTACTTGTATCTCTCCGAGTTGGAGCTCAAATTTTTCCAACACGTCTGGAATTGCACTGAATTGTTGGGGTAAACCATTTTAACTTCGCTATCGATCGTTTCTGTGAGTTTTTTGTTATCGTTAACTGTATTTTTAATATCTTTAGGAGTCGTTGATGAATCGATTCTTTCCAGAACTTTGAGAGCTTCGGTTCTAAGACAGGATAAGTCGCTTCCGGGTTGCGGTAAAGAAGTGGACGAAACGGGTTCTTCCGGGACAGTTTTGTTGCATTTTTGTTTCTTGAAAGCTGATATCGGTTTATTAGATTCTAGTGAATTTTCTTTCATCGGCTGTTGGGGAATTTCTTTTATCAGCTGTTCAGAATTTTCTTTGATTTCTATGGTCTCCTCGCGCTTTTCTACAACATGCTTCTTGACAGGTTTTTCGTTAGTTTCGAACCCGTCAATTTCGGTAATTTTAATGCGCTTAAGGGGCTCTTTGGAACGCATATGGGGTGGTTTTTTAATTGGCATCACTTCGATTAAATCATCGCTTTTAAGCCACTGTGGTACTGATTTACTGTTGTCTATTTGCTTGTCAGACACTTTGATTTGCTTCTGTACAAGATCATCTTTCGAGAAGTTACTGAAATTGTTCGAATGCAATTTATTTCTAGATGCCGTGAATTTCGATACGGCTCGTTGTTTATCCTACAAAAAATTACAATTAGAATACTAAAGTTAAGTAATTATAAACTTGTTATTACTTTGTCTCGTTCCCTATTCAAAGTGACTGATAATTTCAACAGTTCGCTTTTTGATTCTTTGTTATTAGGTTCAATAATCAAGACTTTCTGTAGATCAACTTCGGCGTGTTCGAGCTTGTTAAGCTTCATTCTAGCAGCAGCTCTTCTTTGATATGCTTTCACATAAGTATCATCTAGCTTTATGGAAAGGTTGCAATCATTTTCAGCTTCTTCGTATCTACAAAATCGAATCAATTAAATATTTAACGTAAATTACTTGTAAAATACTTACTTTTCGAGTTTCAAATAACACAAAGCACGGTTGGCGTAAAATATGGGATCGTACGAATAATGTCCGATGGCTTTAGTGTAGCATTCTGCAGCTCGCGCCCATTCTTGAGATTTCACGAATTTATTACCCTGAAAATATAAGTGGTTTGTATACAAACAATCGTGTCTATTGATACCAATGTTTGATCAATAAGTGTTTTCTCGAGTAGCAAAATTACCTTTTCTTTTTCAATAATGGCTTCATCGTACTTTTCTTCATTACATTCGTCTGTTAGGTCAGAATCGTCACCATCGCCTTCTAATTTATTCAGTTCCGCATCGACATCGAATTTGTCCCAAGCCGCGTAATCGGTGCCACCGATTTTTGTCGCAGGACTTTTGCCTTTATCCGACCGGCTTGATTTTCTCTTTTTATGCCCCTTAGGGCCCTTCTTTTGATCAAACGTATCCTGTTACAGTAATAAATTAGTGCTAACTAGCGTGGTAAATCAAGTTTGATCACCTTACCTGCATGTCTTTTTTGAACGATTCCTCCTTGCGTTTCATCTCTTCGCCCCATTTTTTCAGATCCTTGGAGAATTCGAAAATGTCGTTGGTGTTTTCTCTAAGCGCTTTTTGGAGTAAAATTGGGTCGGTCATTTTTTGATCGCTACGATGTTATTTTACGAATTCGTTTGATTTGACATTTCTCTGACAGTTGAATCAATAAGAGTGAAGTTTGCGCCGTATCCAAGGTAAAAGTAAGTACTACCAACTGCAGAAAATTTACGAAACTTGCGACATCTATGAATAAATTTGTTAAACAATTTGACGTGTGGTAATTTAATTTTTAGACAAGTATTTTGACGTTTTAAACAATGGCCGCGTATTGAATGAACCGACTATTGATTTGAAGTGAGTGTTGGTGTTTTTTTACGTTTTATCATGTAATTTTTCAAACTTTCTGCTAAAAATGTGGATTCCTACGAAAACAAAGAAGTACGGTGTCGGTAAGTTGTCCAAATAAAATTGTCATTATTGATTTGTTGTGAATTAAACATATTTTATGGAATAATGTAATTAGAATAAAATTGTTATTGTTATTCGATTACATTTCTACTTAATAGTTTAAATTTTGCTAGGCCCATGAGATAATGTTTGTGTAACAAATAGTAATCTCGATAAACTATACATACAAGAGTATTGACAGTACAATAAATTTAATATACTTATCTCTATAAACAATCAACTCGTTGCGAATTATTGTTTAAATTTTTGCTGTAATACCTTGATATTCTCCTGAATTGCAATGTTGTTATTTATGTTTATTATCGAGTTTAATGGTCTGCTATACCAACACCGCAATTCCTATTAGTTATTTGATTTACTCTGCAGACTTCAGCTTCCTGTCCTGTCCTTACCACTCAATATTTAAAACTGCTGTTTCCTCTTTGTGCCTGTTTGGAATGTATAATTAGAAAACATGTGTGATAACTTGAAGAAATCGCTTTGCTTTTCTTTACTCTCGTACTTGAAAGTCTGCTTCAATATATTTTTTTCATTTATTCCTAGCATTCTCGCCATTTATTTTATTCTCAATGATTAATTTGATAAATTTCCAAAAATAAATGGCGTATCGGTATGCTAATTATTGGTTATATTAGTTTTGCATTAGTATTTAATTTTCGTTAAAAATATTTTAACTAGCTAATAAGTGAATATGTACTGTTAAATTTGCTAAGCAAGCAAAGGCATAATAGCAAAAAATATTTCGTGTTTATGTTTAAAGTGTAATTAAAAACCAATTATTCAGTTATCAATAAAAATATAATGTCAATGACATTGAAAATGGGTATAAAAGATAAATAAATGGGGTCTTGGTCGAATTTATCTCTATATAACCACAGGAGTACTAGCTGGTTTTGTGGTTGAGAATATTAGGATACGTGTTTATTCTAATAAATTAAAAACCTTATAGGAACAATCCTTGATATAAATACATTTAAATGGAATTTTATATGTTAAATCTAAATATAGCAATTGTTAAGGTTATTAAGTTGTTACTTAAGTGTTAATTAAATGTTTATTAAATGAGCTGTTCTGATAAGTTTTACAAAGCTATAATTAAGTGAGAACATACAATTAACTTGCAAATAAGTAACAAATAAAATAATAAAAAAACCTTGAAATAGCATAAAAAATTAAAAAGATCCAAAATTAGGTATATTATATAATTATCTCAGAACATAAAATATATTTGCCTGGTTTACCTAATTTCCAGCCATCTACAATTGGAGAGGCGACACGAAATTCGGCCTACCGTTAGAAATCGGCGATACGGTACAAATATTAGAAGAATGCCAAGGCTGGTACCGAGGATTTTCGTCGAAGAACCGCTCCCACAAAGGCATCTTCCCCCAAACGTACGTGCACCTCAAACCCTGCAAAGTCGACAACGAAGGCCTGTTCGAAAGCATAGTGCCCCTCGAAGATCCCGTAGTTAGAGAAGTCACGTTGGTGTTGAGAGAATGGGGGCGAATTTGGAAAGGAATTTTCGTTGTAAGTATTTTCTGGATAATTTAATTGTATAAATTATCTAAGAGGAAGAGGCTTTTGGTTAAATGTTTTTTTTTAATATATTGTAGGAACGAAATCATTACAAATTCGAGACGGTGGGTAAAGTTATGAGGGATCTTTTAGAATGGAGGCGGCAACTGGTGTTGGGGACTTTAACGCACGATCAGACAACGGATCTCAAACTGAAAATAATACAGAAAATAGACTGGGGAAATAGGTAAGTTTGTAGATATAAAAACGTTTTAAATTTCAGTATCTTTATAATTATTACAAAAGTATATAAACCTTAAAAATACTTAATAAAAATTGGTCCCTAAAATAAAGGCCTTACAATATTAGGCAGTTTCCATTCGTGCTGCTACGGCCCAAATGCATCAAAATTTTGTTTAAAAAATATAGGAGATCTATCTATAACCTATGCATATGGCGTTGTAAATAATAAAATAACTTACAAAAAATATAATTAATCGAGTCTACGAGATAAATGCGAACAGTTCTCGCGATATCGTTGTAAAAAAAGCTACAAATTATACTGAAAATGCAATCGAAAATCAAGCGTCAGTTTCCTTAAATTTCTCGATTTCCGGATAAATCGGGCTGATCTCCAGCGTGCTCGGAGCCGACGGTAAATTACTATTGCTATTACCGAAATTCAATCGCCTCACGAATTCGTCCAATATTTCGCTGAATACCAGCTGGTTCGTATTTTGGCCCAGCAAATGGATCAGCAAAAAATCGCCCACCTAAAAATCAATCAATTATGAATAATCACATCTCGATGATTTGCCATAATTATATCTTTAGATAAGATTTGTATAACTATTAACAGCATTAGATATACATATAGTTTTATTTAATATTTAATAGCGTTTTATTCAGAGCGTTATCTGTAAGCCTTATGAATATTGAACTTAGGATCGAATTATTGCAATTTTATCAACATAGCAATTATAAGTACGTCAGATATTTTACCTGCGTCTTTCTAATGATCGTCTCCACCGCATTGGGCACCCCGAATCTGAACCTCCTCTTCAGGATGGTCTCCCTGGTGCTGGGCAACAGCACCACCGCGGCCGAATAGACTATAGCCAGGCCGCTGAGTACCGCCAGAATGATGAACCAGAACCACAGGAAGATGTAGATCTTCTCGTTGAGGATGTTCAGTGCGAGGATGCAGAGCGCGTCGTGCGTTTGTATGGTGCCAGATGGACCGAACTTGTGGAACGTGCACTTGGTCACGCGCGGGAACACCTGCACCATCGGATCGGTGCGGTTCTCCTGGTTCATGTTGGAGAAGGCGACGACGTCGGTGCCGTAGGTGAGGAACGCGCCGCCCAGGAACTTGTCCGTCATGAATATATTCACCATCTACGGGGAGAGAAAGATAAATTGGCTTGTATACAGGATGTTTCTTATTAGGAGTTACAGAGAAAGCTTATCGGTAGAGGAGTGTAACGAGGAAAACTTACCACATTAACGAAATTAAGAGCTTCGCAAAAGAAGTAACCGAAGGCGTAGGATGTGTGCATGTGCAATGTTTCCATTAGATATTGCACCAGTCTGTATTGTCTATGTTCTCTCTCCTGTTTCTCGCCCACTCCGACCATGGAACCTCGCATTCCTTCCGTTATCATGCGTATTTTGCCGTTTTCCCAATTCTTCCATATCCAATGTGGCACGTAAAACATGACGCCCTAAAAAGAAGGAGTTTTTAAAAACCTGATCTACATCAAAATTTAGCTTCCACAGTACTCTAAGACACGGAGGATACATGAAATAACAACCACAGAACACAGAAAGATGAGAGGAAGTCTTACACTTTTTCCTCTAAGACAAGAAGATTAAAAAGAAGAAAGAAGTGGAGGAGGTACTCGCCTAGCTAAGCATGTCTTGGATAATCCAAGAAGACCTGTATTTGGAAAGTTGGCTTAAGTACCTACTGCAAGACATAGAGGATAAATAAAATAACAAAGATGAATAAGGTGATGATGATAGGAATAAAATGAATAATATCATGATGATGATTAAAAGACAAGAGAGGAAAAAAAGGACTTAAAAATAGATGAAAAAAGCATATTTAAAGACACGACTAAAGAAGAACAAAGTGGACTCGTCTTGGTCAGAATATCTTAGAATAACCCAAATATAAGTTTACTGACAAACATACTTCAATAACATGAAACCTCAAAAATTAACAAGGTATTTTCTAATAGTTATACTAAAGAGAAATCAAACAAGGAGAAAAAACCTATTGAAAAACCTGAAGGTATTAAATTCAATCTGTAGTCTTCAAGAACCACCAGACAGAGAAGATAATTAATAGTAAAAATAGATTTTTGTACCTGGAAAAACAGGACGAAGGGCACCCACTGATAATAACTGTGGTAAGTCTTTTCTTGGTTTTCATTTCCTAGTCCTGGATGGGCGACTTCGGTACCGACGCGTTTTCCTTGCTCGTGGGGTAACGTAAACGTATACGTTATCCAACAATAAGTATTTATAACGTGACCTGGAACTCCTCTGTCGTTTATGCATTGAATAGGATCACCTAAAAATGATAAATAGTTTATAAACAAGAGCGCTAATAAATTAACCTGAATGAATTTATTTACAATAAAATATAGAGGCTTATTATTCGATTGGATAGATTCGTATTAAAGATTTGCTGGTTTGTAAGTTGTCTGTATTACGCGATTGTTCCTAACGAGTTTATAGCCAATTGAACTTAATAACCTTGGCATAAACGAAACGTGTCAACACTTTATAGTTTTTTTTAAATTTTATAGCAATATAATAGCTTTATTGTGATTATGATGCAACTTTTCGCAAAGTCAGCGTTGAAGGGTTGGAATTAAATTTCTTTATGTTAGTATGTTTATAATTTCAAACATATTTAAAAGTCATATCAGTTTGTTTTCTTTATGTATATCTACATATGAATGTACACAAGATATTCCTTTTTGTTTTGTCCATTGTTTATTCAAAGTTTTGACACAGTTAGCAGACTTACCTATTAGATTATTCGCCGTAACAATAATGCAACATAGGAACAAAATGGCAGACGTGACTCTGTAATGCGCTCTAAATACCATATTATCTATTAGGGCTTTATCCACAAGGTAGCGGACTTTTATGAAGCCCGCTACCGACGATACCATACCGAACACAGACATTGTGGATTAGTTAAAGTTGCACTGAAACAAAAAAAAATGTATGAATTGTCGTAAATAAATTGGCTAAAGAAATCTGACTTTCGTGTTGAATCGATCTACCATGCCAAACGAATTTATTCTTACAAAATTCCCATTCGAAACGGTTTAGAACGAGAGAAAATAGTAAGTCACGGTCGTTACGCACGTACTAGTTAAAGACTATTTAACAATTTACATTGGTTTCAATTAACAGTCGTCGAGGAACGTATGTGTGTACGTATTTGTGTCTTGTAAAACACATGAAGAGGTTAATTTTAATTATATTACGCTAATAAATATTGGAAAAACACAAACAAAATAATTGGAAAAATGTGTCACCTGGTTTTATGGAAATTTTATTTGCAATCCACTCGTAAATATAAATTGAAACTGCCGCATACTATGAGAAGTAATTTCTTTTATTGAAGTTAAAGCATTTACCTCAAATTTTGAATCGCTTCAATGAACAACAATGAAAATCAAAGTCCATCACTTACTAAACCGTCAATTATTAAATATTTTTTACAAGGTTTGATAAAATTCAGCCTACACCGAGTCAAAATTGTTTTAAACAAAGATGTTTTAGTACCACGATTTGAGCCTGATTATTGCTGAGTTCTATCCAAATCAGTGACAAATTTTGCATTTAATTTTTTTATTCCTTATCTGTTTTTTTTATTTAGAGAAAATTAAATGTGTTAAATTAATTTGTGCTAAATTTATAAGCTATCATAAAGATAAAAAGATTAGTCAAGTCGGTCATTAATTGACTCATGGGAATTTAAGAAATTCCCCTCAAAAGGAAATACTTACAAATGAAGTTCTTAAGAATTATGTAAATATATTTGCAGGTTTTGTTTATCGATATGTTTAACGCCTTCATCCTATTATATGTTGATTAATTCGCAAATTAGTCAATATTTGAATATGATTATAATAGTTCAAGGTTTATTTTTGTTTGATGTGCATAAAATCAGTTTGTCGCAAATTTGATTTTCTTCCTCACATCCGATTAGGTTCATTTCAAAATTTCCTAGTTGTACAAACATTTTCAAATTTTTCATAATGCTATTATTTATTAGAACTCGATTCGCCATTTATATTTTAAGGTGTAAAGATAGCATTGTACATGCATAAACAAATAAGTAACTTTATGAACGGATAACTGGTGTTAACGGTACAATTAAGCGACCGTAAAAATACAAATAAACACGGGCGTTAAAACCATTAAAAATAAATATTTTGATTTGATATATCGCTGGGACGTGTTAAAAAGTTTCGTTGTCTTTACATATGTGTTACATGTATGTTTTGTCTAAAAAAACGATTTTAAAAGAGGAAACAATTGTATTGTGAGTGAAGGAATTTATAATTCTTTGGCATTTTGGACCAAATTTTGATGTTAGTTTGAAAAATATAGTTTTTAGATGAATGTTATCGAATCGTTAAAATTTAGTACGATATTAATAATGAATTTATCATTGCACTTAATTATATTTGTGTCATTCAAGATAACACTAATGGTGAAATTTGAAAAATATTCGGAGTTATTTTGTTTTGTATTTCGTAGCAAATACGAAATATTTACGCTCCATGTTTATTCGAGGAATTTCTTTTTGTTCGTTTTAGTATGCACCCAAAGCGAAATTAAAATGCTATTTCACAAGAATACAACAATACTACTAATAAACATTTGTTATTACAAGTGTATTACCATTAAGAAATATTGTAAAATTAGCCACGTGGTAATGAAACAAGTCTATTAAGTAAAATGCAAGTTTTGTATTCCATTTTAGGAAGGATACTTAAAAACTTTATCTGTAGTAAAAAAATATTCGTGAAACCGTGCATTATCTGCAAGAGTTTAAAAGTTCATTCACCCATCGAGGAGGTAGCGTTTCTTTTTTGTCTCCTCTTCCAAGAAATACCTGCATTAGTCACAATTTCGATGAATACCTTTTAAGAAAATCGTTCTACTAAAATTACGAAAACGTTCGTTGTCGAAGAGGTCAAAGCGATTTGAATTCATATGGAACACGAACATACGCCTATTTTGCATCGCAATTTAAACAAATTTACCGAATTTAACAACTAATTTACCTTTTTATTCGTGAAAGTAAGTAGATTTCGTGCTGTTGTCAATTAACGCGCATCACTAAATCCGAATCGAACCCAGTTATCACTGAAAAAAAGTCGTACGGCAACAGCGAATATTACACCAGACGCATTCCGTACTCTTTGTGAAATGCCACTAAGAGCGTTCGAGTTCGAGTAAACTGTAAACCGGTATTCGTTCAATTACAAAAGCCGAAGCGCCCGTAGACTGTGCTACGGAATAGACCAGACCTCAGCTCGTGGAAGTGGCGTACGTCCTCTCTCCTTCTCGCCGCATTGTCGGTCCGTAAACTCCGTCCTTATCTACGATTTTATGGCACGAAAGGCCGATAAAAAGGCACAGCTTGCGCTCGAGGATGCCGCATTTTGTTCCTTATCTAACAGGAATTTAAGGGCGAATTCGAAAGGTGCACTTTTGTTAACGTGCATTAAAATTACCTGTGCAATTGAATTTTTTTTGTCGGGTACCTTTACCTAAAATTATTCCTACAATAATATTTACAACACTTCTAATAACACCAGGTGTTTGAATTACTTTTGTAAAAAACTACTCTATACAACCGTGTATAAATCCTCCTGAAATACAGAAACCTTGACTGTACAAATACAGTGATACTTTCGCTAAATCTCATCACTATGATGCTATCTTATAAACGCATTTAATGTAATTGTAGAAGCATTTATAACAACGTTTTTCTTGGTAAATGAAATATTAGTATGCAAGTGTACGCCTGTTACAACAACAATGCGACCGGTTATCAGCCGGGCAGGTAGTATAGGTAAACCCGGGAATTCATCTTGTGGAATTTTTCACCTCGACAAAATTGATTAATTGAGCTTAATTGACCGATTGTTGATTAGCATTTCTTATGCAAATGATCGATTTTTTGATGAATAAATTACGTCCTCGCTTATTGATTGCGTAATAAAATTGTAGGAAATTTCTTAATAAGTGAGATAATTAACTCATGCTGAAGATGAGTAATTTTTTCCCGGTGTTTAGCGTCCCCCTTCTGTTGTTCCCGACCTAATTTTACCGACCTATTTATAGATAATGCACCTACAACAACATATGCAAAAAAACGTTGTTGTTGTCAATTTAATTAACTAATTACCCACCTTGGCAAAAACGAATCTAATTAGATTATTTTTCTATAGGAAATTAGGTTTGGACTTGGTGCCCAGGATGGGCGCTAATATGGTGGAGCCCGAGTCGATGTCCGTCGTTGAATTGTATCACGTCCACGTCTCCAGCGCCGAAAATATACAAGGGGTCTCGGTTAGCACGCTCTAATTGGTTATTACAAAATATATTCCTAATTTTTTAACATATTCTAGGCGAGAGGAACGATCAAGAGGAAAGAGCAGAAGAAAACGCTGACGCACCATTTGTACTTTTGCATGAGGGATTTCGGCCACCACATCGGCGAAGATACCGAGATTTATTTTTCCCTCTACGACGCCGCCAAACAGAAATACATTACCGAACGGTTCCTAGTCAAAATTTCCAAAGAAGGGTTTTCCAATTACGTGGAGAAACTGCACAGCAATTGCACCGTTTTTACCGTAAGTATCACTGTGTCCACACAAAAAGGTTTGACTTATTATTAAGTCTTATTATATAATAGTATAATTTTTTTATTATATTATAGTCGAATTATTATTCTATGAGAAGTGGCGCACCGTGTTTTTACCGCACAAGTTTTCGAAATGAAATTATTCTGCTTCAATTTCATGAAAGGTCATTTCATAGTAAGTTCAAGAAATGTAAACTTACGAAATTTTCTTTAAATTTCGGATATTTTCCAATACGTACCTGCCATTACCATGCAGGTGTCAAAAAATAATAAATAATTAATGACAAAAAATTAATTTTTCGATTGTTGAATTGAAAATGGCTCATTTTTATACAAATAATGAATTGGTGGACATGCTGAGTGTTTCCAAAGCGTTTCCAATCAAAATGGCGACAATTTTGAGCAGTTTCTTTAACTTTTAATGTACAGGGCCGTGTATTAAATATTTTTTAAAAATTAAAATTAAAAAAAATGCTCTCTTATTCTCCAGAATATTAAAAAAAATACTCGAAAAAATTGCTTAGAATTAAAAGATCTACACGCAGTTAAAAAAAAGTATCAACTTATGAGACACCCTGTATCTGTGCACTAGACCTAGTATTATCTTACATTTATCCTTAATCCTCATCCTACGTTATGTAAAATTAATTACCTACTCACTAGGAGACGCCCTTTATTATTGTTTTTTTTGAAGGATTTGGGAAACGCCGAACTGAGCAAAGATATCTACATAGTGGCGCACGTGATGAGAATCGGGCGTATGTTGTATTCGGACAGTTCGAAACGTACGGACAAAATGCCCGCCCAGCAAATATTCAAAAGACCGCACGGAGTGGCTGTGCAAAATCTGGGCGAATCCTTGACCAGCAAGGAGAGCGACACCGAAGAAAAAGAATTCAACATGAAGGTAAATCTAGTCGCCGAGTAAATTTGACATTTGACATATATCGTTGTTTTTGTTTGGCACAAAAAGACTAATCTACACTGTGATTCATTCCAGATCGCAACATATCGGCTATAAGTGCGATAAAGAAAACTTTCATTAGACACTTATAAAAGATAAAGAGTGACATTTGTATCATTGCAACTTTTCACTCTGACAACTGTCATTTTATTAATCTTTCTTTGTTCAACTCATAGAAACGACCATGTTGCGGTCTGAATTGAAGCAATCGGGATAGTCAAAGAATATGTAATTGTTGAAAGTGATGTCACTGAGTCTAGTAAATCAAAGTGCTCTAATGTCACACAATCTGCCAATGACAGTTCTCGCTGAGTAGTGACGTCACTGACAAGAATTCTAGCGGTTTGGTATAAAATCACAGGCTGCTCTTCAATTTGTACCACAGAAAATGGAACATCAAATTTGTTTTATTGTTTACTAAAATCGATACATCAAATTTCAGTATTACACATTTTAATATCCTTAGGTCTACCAAGCCGAAGAGAAGGACTTCCACCAACTGCACGAGTTCATCATCAAGCAGTCGGGCAGGTACAGCGCCCTATCGGGTCACATCAACTACGGCATCATGATCAGCGTGAAGATGCTGCACGGCGAATTGAGAACGATCAAAGAGGAGAACGCGCTGCTGTTCAAGAACGTGTGCCTGACCAACAAGCTCGGCTTTCCGGACGTCATTATGCCCGGAGACGTGCGCAACGATCTCTACCTGTACCTGGACCGAGGGGAATTCGAGAGAGGCGGCAAATCCACCGGGAAAAACATCGAACTCAGCGTCGTGGTTTTGGACAGCGAGAAAAAATTAATCAAAGTAGGTTTTGTATATTGAACACGACTCGTCCAATTTCGTCCATTCGCTCCAGTAGTTGATATGAAATCGTATTGTTTTGTTCTAGAATTGTTTGTGGGGCGCTTCGGGTATGGAACCTACATCAGAATACAACTCGATGGTTATTTACCATCACAACTCGCCAATTTGGGCGGAAAACATCCGATTAACTTTACCTATAGATAAATTCGCCGGAGCGCACGTTCGTCTCGAATATCGGCATTGCTCTAGTAAGTCGATCGTTCCATCTACACAACCTCAATAACTACATTTATAAATTACAGCCAAAGAAAAGAACGACAAAAAACTGTTCGGTTTCTCGTTCCTGCGGCTGATGGACAAGGAGGGCGCCGCCGTCCAGGACGGTCAGCACGATTTGTACATCTACAAGTGCGAGGACCTGCCGAAATTGGAGAATTGCGGTTACCTATCCATGCCGGCCTTTCTCAAAGACCTGGAAGGAAATCACGAAGCGAGCGGGCAATTTTCCAGGAGTCACAAGGAAATCGTATCGGTCAAAACGTTGCTGTGCTCCACGAAACTCACACAAAACGGTATGTACAGTTTGTCTCAAGATGGTTATCGGATTTATGAGTTTATGACTTATTAGCCGATCAAAGTAACTGATGCGTAAACTAAGCTGTATTTTAACTAGCATCCATTTTTTATTCTTCCGCGAAGTAAAAAATTCCTAAATGTTTCCTAAAATTCTGTAAGTCCTTGCCTAGAAATGTAAATACTGTATTCTACATTATCCAACTACATGCTTAAAAGTACCATTGTATTGGGAATTGTTAAAAACTTGCCCAATTGTTATAATCTTTAATCTACCGACCCTTTCTTTCTTAAATATACTGCTCCACAAAAGTTAAGGAAGTTCACAAATATTGAGATTAATTTAAAACTTGCAGGTTTTTTAATCGCCAAATTTAGTATGAGTTGTAGAGGAAGGAGCAAAAAATCCACTCAGATATGAGAGGAAACATTTAATTTCGCACATTTGAAAATTTGGTGATCAAAAAGTCTGTAACTTTGAAAATAATCGCAAAAACTTCCTTAACTTGTGGAGCAGTTTACTTTGAGACAAATTCTACATCATATGATAGATTTTTCTACGCATGATCTGCCGTTATAACTCCCTATTGTTATTCTATAATTCTATAGTAATTTTCTTGACTTACAAAGTAAACTATGTGCTTAGTAGAGTTCTGTATTTTCAGTTGATTTACTGGCATTGCTGAGATGGAAATCGCACCCGGAAAGAATCCCGGAGTCCCTACACAGGGTGCTGAATTTGGGCGACGAGGAATTCATTAAGTTTCTGCAAGACGTTTTGGATGCGCTGTTCGCTCTGTTTTCCACGGAAGACGGGAATTCGACGGCGCACAGCGGTCCTGTGTTCCACGTATTGGTCTCCATATTCAATCTACTCGACGGTTCGAAATACCAATATTTCAAACCCGTGTTGGACGCGTACATCAAGAATCACTTTTCTGCCGCGCTCGTTTACAAGTAGGTGTTTATAAAACGAGCAATGCATTTGAAATTAAATTTCGTTTCGTGTGTATGTTAGGGGTTTATTGACGAGCGTTCAACATTGCGCCGATTGGGTGACGTCCTTCGAGAAACAGGAACCGATGCAAAAGTGCTTCAAAAGTTTGGAATACATTTTCAAGCTCATTATACAGAGTCGTTTGTTGTTCTCTCGAGCTACAGGCGGTGATTTCGAGGACAGCTTTCGACGAGACCTCTTCAGCGTATTCGCCTCATTGAACAAAATGCTCATGATAAGCGATAGTCACATTATAAATACTCAGGTATGTCGTTTATGAACCTATTATTTAGTCACCTACTGAATTTTATTGTGTTATTATTTCGGTAATCCATAGGTGGCTCTATTGATAACCATCAGCGCGGTGTACGAGCAACTCCTGGACGTCATTCCTGCTGCTGAAGTCACTAAACTGGCCTCGACTATGCTGGATTCGCTGCCCAGGGACTTACCTGCCTTGCTCATTCAAGCGAAGTTATCGTGCATCAAAAACATCGTGACGGGGAAATTGTTTCAAGACGACGGTATTATAATCGAATAAAATCGCAAACAACACCGCTAATTTTGGAATAATTTTAGAATCTCGGAACGTGTTTCTCACTACAACGTGCAAGCACTTGCGTTGTCACCTTATTAAAAGAGAGGAGCTTCGATTGTGTACGGAAATACTCGGAGAAATTTTGGGTTATTTGTTCAAACAGAGGAAACTTAGCGACGAGCAAGGGAAAGTCAATAATTGCATTCATCACGATGTTGATACCTTGTGTTTGGCCATTTTGGAGGTACTCATACAAACTATTCTGACGATCATCGATAAAGATGTGAAAGTATTTGTAAGTATAGTGATCTAATTTTACATATCAATGAGATAGTGGCATCAAAAGTGTTCTCAGAAACTTACAAAATTCAATATTTTAGGGTTGTTTGGTGGCCTGTTTAATAGGCCTGCTGCAGCTTTTGGACGAGTTTCATTACAAGCGGCTGTGGGAAGTAGTGATGGGGTCTCATCAGGATCGTAAACCGTTGAAAGATTTCCTGCTTAGGGCGTTTTTGGTGTTCAGAAATCTCGTCAGAATGGAGGTGTTTCCTCCGGATTGGTTGGTTATTAAGATGCTAACGAATAACGTAATATTGAAGGCTCTGCAGGAGTTCGCTCAACCGCTGGCGTTCAAGTTTTTAGACAGCAGAGCAGGGTACTTCGACAAAGAGGTGAGTTTGAGTTGACTTGAGTTTTCGGGTTTTTTATAAAGTTTGTGTTTCTAGCTGTGGACAAACTATTTCAACCTCAGCGTGGATTACTTGACGCAAGACTCGTTGCAGTTAGAGCAATTTTCTGACGTTAAACGGGAAAAAATCATCGAAAAGTACGGCGACATGAGAGTTTTGATGGGCTTTCAAATTCTATCCATGTGGTCTCAATTAGGTAAACAAACAATAACCCGTCATTATTAATTTTATAATAAAAATATTTATGTTTCAAGGCGAATGTAAATTGCACTTCATACCTTCGATGGTCGGTCCGTTCCTCGAAGTGACCCTAGTGCCGGAAATCGAACTTAGAAAAGCCACGTTGCACATTTTCTTCGATATGATGGAATGCGAACAAAGAGCGCGAGGCAATTTCAAGCAAGTGGAATGCGAATTGATCGACAAACTAGATATTTTAATATCGGAAAATAAAGGTGACGACGAGTATCGAAGACTATTTAACACAATGTAAGTATACGCTATTTAATGAGCTCATCACTAGTACTCATTATTAATTTATCGATTATTATTGTTCGTGCTAACAAAAGGGAGCATTTAAGCGCAGTGTAAGTATAGGTGTTTCAATTTCGCATTTTTTTAACATTGTTTTATTCGCACTTTTTTAACATTGTTTTAGGCATTATTAGGAAATAAATAACTATTTGTAATTTTCAGATTGTTAGATAGAGTTCAATCGGAGGAGCCAGTGTGGAAGGAAAGCGGCGTCGCTTTTATCAGTTCGATAACACGACTGTTAGAACGGCTTCTGGACTATCGAAACGTGATACAGGGCGATAAGAATCGCGATAAGAGAATGTCTTGCACTTTTAATTTATTGGTGAGTTTAATTGTTTATTCGCTTTAAAAATACAGTAATAATTGCCGTACGATGTTCAAGTCGATTGCCTTATACGAACTGTCGCTATTGAAAATATTTCAGAATTTCTACAAAAACGAGATCAACAGGAAGGAGATGTACTTGAGGTACATACACAAACTCCACGATTTACACTTGTCGGCCGAAAATTACACCGAAGCGGCTTTTACGTTAAAATTGTACGCCGATCAACTAACATGGAACAACAATCAAGTTTCTGATCCTAATTATCCCGGACATTCCGAATGCCAAGTGAAAGAGTTGCTATACAGGCAGATCATTAACTATTTCGATAAGGGAAAGGTAATTGTTGTATATTGATTTTTTTAGAGGAGTACTTACATGGAAATTTTAGTGTTGGGAGAAAGGTATTCCTTTGCTCAAGGAATTGGCGAATTTATATGAAACGATATTCTTCGACTATAAGCTACTCAGTGATATATTAAGATACCAAGCCAAGTTTTACGACAACATTTTAACGCAACTCCGTCCCGAGCCTGAATACTTTCGCGTGGGTTTCTACGGTTTGAGCTTTCCATTATTCGTTAGAGTAAGTCTATGCATTTTTTATTGTTAACATACGTTATTTAATCAAATTTTTCTATTTAGAATAAGCTATTTGTATATAGAGGATTGGAATACGAAAGAATCGGTGCCTTTACCCAAAGATTGCAAACGGAATTTCCCGCTGCTCAGATTTTAATGAAAAACACCCCGCCGGACGATGCTATCATTAATTCAGATGCCCAGTGTATCCTTTTTTTCTAAGTCGAATCGTTTTTAATTAAAGCAATAAGAGTATGATTATTTTCCTTAGCGTTTCTGACAGTTATTCAAATTTGCAACGTGAAACCTATACCCGAACAAAACGCCATAACTTTAGCAACGGATATTCCGGAAAAAATATCGCGATTTTACTACTACAACGACGTGAGGAGATTCCAATGCGACCGTCCAGTGCACAAAGGCATCATCGACAAAGATAACGAAATCAAAGTACGTACTCTATTAGATAAATTGCAATGTAAATTTCAATTCAACGAACTGCGGTTTTTAGACGATGTGGATCGAACGAACAACGTTAGAAATCAACAACTCCCTTCCGGGCATACTCAGATGGTTCGAGGTGATAAATCGGCACAGCGAAGAAATACCGCCGGTCCAGTACGCGTGCGAGACGATGCGCAACGTGGAAAACGAACTGAGGCAATTGATAACGATCCATTCGTCGGATCCGAAGCGGAATTTGAACCCTTTCACGATGAGACTGCAGGGTATAATAGACGCTAACGTTCAAGGCGGCATCAGCAAGTACCAACAGGCGTTTTTCACCAAGGAATTCGCCAAGTTGTATCCGGAGCACAAGATGTACGCTGAGAATTTGAGGGAGCTCATCATAAACGCCACGAGGGTGAGCGAATTTCCGTTTCGTGTACGCTAGAAACGATATCTAACGGGTGTTGCGTTTAAGGTGATCGAGGAGGGTTTGTTTCTTCACGGGAAACTGGCGCCCGCTAGCGTTCAACCGCTTCACCAAAGACTTTTGGAAAGGTTCGTCCAGCTCAAGGAGAGTTTGGGAGCTTTCAATCAACAACCAGTCAATAGTATCATAAAGTAATGTATACAGCACAGGGGAAAATGCAAGTTACGTTTAAATACGATTTAATTCCAGTACTCCGCTTCCTCCAGTGCCTACCGATAAGCGATTAATCATGGAGAATTGTAGTAATCGCTCGTCAGGATCCAGCGGAAACTACGGTTATCTAGTAGAGCATCACACCTCGGATTATGATAATATTTATACAAAACCTGCTGTAAGTACGGAATTATTTGATAAATTGCTCAGATTAGTTTAAATGTTCAATTACTGTTAAATTACGCATGTTTTAGGATGGCGAAAGACCGACTCTGCACAGGGAAAACCTTTCACTACCTATGCCTATAAACAACATTGCTCCCCCTATACCCCAAAGAGAGATGAGACCTCGATCTCAGGGATTCAATAATTCCAATTTCGCGGAATTGAGAACTCCCACCAGAGGTCCGTTGGAATACAACAGCGCCAGTTTACCGCTGATGAAGTGCAGGTAGTTCATTTCTTCTAACTATTTTTTTTTATTAAAATAATTGATTGGAACTGTTTTAGGGAGGCCGATTCCAGCGATATACCTTTACCTCCGAAACCCACGCATACTAGGGAACGATCTCTAACCAAACCCCCGTCACCTAGGTTATTGAGACACGCCATGTCGATGACTCCCACCGACAACAATCCGCATTCGAGAAACTCCTGGCCGGAAAGGGGAGGTATGGAAGAAGCGCCACCATTACCGCCCAGATCTCACAGTAAGCATCACAAAATATCTTCCTATCTAGTAAAACCTATTGCACAGTAACCATACCCTTTCATCCTATGGCCTAGTAAAGCCTATCACCTTAGTAAGCAGACCCTAGTAAACAGTTTCTGATCGTTGTAAAGCGCATGGTCCTAGTAAAACCTAGTAAACGGATCTTATGGCGCAGTAAATCTAGTAAACAGACTCTGCTGCTAGTAGCAGACTAGTAAAACCTATGGCCTTATGACCATAGTAAACAGATTCACTGACGTAGTAAACCTATCAAACAGTTTCTGACCCTTGTAAAGCCTATGACCCTAGTACTCAGTAAAACTTAGGATTCAGACTAGTAAAATCTATGGCCTTATGACCCTGGTGAACACAGTAAATGAGGTCTATTATAACCTATGGTCTTGGTAAACCTAGTTAATAGATTCTATGACCTAGTAAAGGGATTCTATGGCACAGTAAACCTAGTAAACAGGCTGACCCATTAAACCTATTATCTTGACCTGACCTATTAAACCCAATGATCTTAGTAACCAGACTACACCTTTTCCAGTTGTATTTCAGAAATCGTCAATTGAATTTAAGAATAGTCACTTATATTTCGGAAAGTATATGTTGTATTTCAAAATTCAGAATAGTCGATTTGATTTCATGCAGAATGCAGAAATCATATGACAATTATTAACAAAGTAGAAAAACTCAGTACACTCCACAATTTATATTATTTTTTCGAACTTGAAACAAGTTCTCTCCGGAATTAAAATATTTTTTTCCGAAATTGAGATTGAAAAGCTATAGATATTGAGAAATTCCGAAATACAAATGATGGTTTCTGAAATAAATTTGACTATTTTGAAATTCAAATGATCGTTTCCGAAATCGAACCGACTATTCTGAAATACAACTGATGGTTTCTGAAATCAAATTTATATTATTCTGAAATACAATTGATGCTTTCTGAAATCGAAATGACTTTTCTGGAATACAATTGATACTTTCCGAAATATAATTGAATATTCTGAAATTCAATTGACGCATTCTTAAATAAACCTGACGCTTTCTGAAATACAGTTGGAAATGGTGTAGTAAAACCCATTAAAGAGACCCCATGGCCTTAATAAACTTAGTAAAATTCGAATATTACCTTAGCCCCGGACAAAAGGGCGCAAAGCCTGACGACGGACGCGCCTCCGAACATCCCGAAGCGCGGCCAAAAGAAGTCCAATCCGTCCGTTTGCAGCGTGGATTATCTACCGCTGGACGAGCCCTGTCAAGAGGGCAACGTAGGGGCATCGACGACGGGCCTGTCGGTCACGCACCTCGACGGCAACGATCTCAGAGACTCGGGCATCAGCATGTCGGAGCCGCAGCTGAACAACTTCAACAACGCCAATTTCGAGGAGTTCGACTATCGGGCGAATCAGTCGGAGATGAACATCAACAACAGTCCCAGTCCGAAGGCGGAGAACAGGGAGAATCCGCCGCCGATACCGCCCAAGTCGTCGTTGGGCTCGTTGAATTCGAGCTTCGACTTGGCGGGGAGCTTGGAGAGGCCGAAGCGAAGGGGCGACGGCTCGGAGTTGATGAGCCCCGTGGAGAGTTATTCGTGTCCTATAACGCGCAAGGAGAACGGCAACGCTACCATCGAGAAGAGTTCAGACTGTTGAATTGTGTGTAAATATTTTAAAATTAGTTCGTTCGCTTAGGCAACTGATAACTAAATTTTAAACTATTGAATCTATACTGAACGAACGAGCTAGTTGTAAATGTGAAATGAGATTTCATTATTGTTTTTTTTTGTGGTAATTGCTATGTTACTGTGATTTTGTTTTTATTCAGTTTAGCTCTGTAAGAATTTTTCAAAATGATATCATTTAATTCGGTATTTGCACACAAACACATATTCTCAGAGTGTGTTGGACAATCGGTAAAATTATTACAGAGGCTAAATTGTAATGTGTTTTTGAATTTTATTTTTACTTTACCGATATTTAACCATTCCCAAAAATATTCCTATATTTACTGATATTGTATTGTCGAACTTATCAAAAATATATTTTAATTCTATTTTCATATTGTAAGTAAAATATTTTAGGAACGTAGTATTGTGTATTATAAACAATGGTAGTCATAAAGGCAGAGTTGTGGCACTTACAATTTTATCTACAGTTATATTATAATGCGTCAATTATAGTTTTTCTACCGTTTCATAACAATCGTAAACGGTTTTTATGAAATAAAAAATATGAAAAAAATTGAATCTTTTTAACTTATCACTGACAATTCTGCCTACAAGTACATTTAACTTGAACGTGCCAATTTTGTAAGAGGTGAATACCACTTTTATTTTTAAAATTTTATATGCATTTGGGTAAAAGCGGTATTTTCCTATAATTGCGTCAAAATAATCGAATGAGTGAACAGAATTCTTGTATCTCGAAAGAGATCAGTTTTCTGATTAGACTGAGAATGGATACTTGGAATACAGAAAAATTCCGAAACGTTAGGTAAATAACATACATAATAGCACCTCTAGATAAGAAAGGAGAAACCTGGAAATGTGATAAACTAGAAAAGATGAAAAAAAGCCAAACCAGTAGCGTAACAAAAAATATAAAAGGATGGGAAATTTGAAGATAATTCATTGGTTTTACCTAAGAACTTTTTTCTATACTCGGCTGTTTCCTGTAGCTTTTAAGTCTTCCTTTCTCATATCTTCCAATGAATTTTCATGTTTCGACAGTCTTTACGTTTTTTATACTGTTTTAGTAAGTTTACAACAACATAATTTACACACATTTGCTCCCATTATGCTTCTATTTATTCTCTGTCGAATTCCAGATATAGGATTTGGTCTATTTGATATAAATGACTACAAATCAATGAAATCAAAGTGTTTATGTACATTATTTAGAGTAAGTATGTAGCTATAATGGTAGATCACGCTGTTGGACCAAAGAATTTTAACTGTATCAACCAAGTAAATTACAAGTAAGAATTTATGTATCTAAAGTGTCTATTTTGAAAATGATTCTGCCATACAATTACAATAAAAATGTAAAAATTACTATTGTCGTATTTTCTACTATAACAAAATAGCATGCTGAAAAATCCCAAACGAAATTTTATTAGTACAAAATCATTATTTTTTTAATGGTAAATTCTCGATTCAATCTTCAGTATTATCCTTGTTTGTAAAATTTCTCTCTTTTGCTACGTTGTTATAAGGAAAATAATATTCAATAGCCAACTTTCATTTATAGACTGAAACATCGAAACGCTTTGTATAATTTAAAAACTGGTGCTATTTTCAACATTACCCAAAACTACTGTTGTTTTATAACAAATTATGTATTCAAACAATCGTTTGTCTGATGTAGTCTAGTCTGGTTTAATATAGATAGTTTTAGTGCATTGCTCTAATTTAATAATAATAAAATAATATGTAGCTAAAAAGTTATTTTATTAGACCAATGTACTTCAATGATATTGTAATAAATTTCTAGTAATAAATTTTTTTTATTATTATTGACTTTTAATTTAATCGTTTTTTAATGTACATTTAATGTATGTAGTTTACTATAAATCGATTAAAGACCCAATTCCCATCGAAACGTAAACTAAAATTATGCGGTCTCAGACTTAAAATTCTCAAATTAATTCAACATTTTACGTATACAAATTTTCTGATAACAAACTTTCGATGCAAATACATCACCACAATATTTAAAGTACATAATTACATTAGCAAATTATTAAACGATAATAATTTCGCACCGAAAACAATTCGCGATGACCGTCAGTTCAAAATCAAACGCACGCTATTAAGTATTTAAATTCGGATCAAAGTTTAAGTATATCGCTAGTACTACCGCCAATTTTTCGAAGATTAGCTTGAATACCAATGAGTCGATAAACTTTGGTAAATTAACATTATTCGTTTTTTAAAAAATGATAGATTACGTGTTGCCTCGTGGTCTCTCGTTTATTTCGATCTGTCGCATCCCGAATTAATCTCTTTTATCGACTCATCATCGATTGTTCGGTAGTTTAATGGTTATTTGCTGTTGAATTATTTTGCAGTTTGCGATACATTGTGTGGACATTTTTGTTGGTTTTGTTATCGAGTTATGAGTAAGCGGGATGGACGATTGGCACAGTTTCGAGCAGCCTTGGCAGGTGCGTACGATAAAATTAAATTTTTAGGTTCGAAATGTATAGTTTGTATAGTACGTTCACAATTCTCATTTTATTTTTATGCCAGGAGAATTAAAGTAGTAAAAATGTTGTTTATGGAAGTTTGAAATGCATGGAAGCGAACATTTGACTCAAATCAAGGTATTTCATTAAAGGTTAGAAGAAAAACATATTTTTTTTCATGAAGGTATAACCTAAAAATTGTAGGCTTTCTATAAGGGACAAAAGTTTTATCAATATTGTCAATAATAATTTATTATAATTTTTCCTAAGTCGCTAAAATAACTCATTTACTAATTTTTTTCTTTTTTGGTCCTTCTAAATGTTGAAGAAACAAAGAAATTAAAAAGTATAAATTTCGAAAAAAATTCCTTTACTGTTGAAATAATATGTATTCTTGATTAGAAAGTTTGTGCAATTTTTAATTGATATTGCCAATTTATTAATATTGCCATGAACAGAGTGTTTCCAAGTTAAGAATAATATTTATTTCTTAATTCATTTAAAACATTAGGTCGAATTAAAACTTTTTAAAACAGGTTCAAGTTAAAAAAATAATAATTACTAATAATTAGTATATGGAATTTTAAACAATATTTTTGTCTTTGAAAGTAGTAAAAAATATTATTCATTAATCTTATGTAAAAATAAAAAAAAATCGTATCAAGCTATTCGAAAATTATCAGGCATGAAACCAATCAAAAAAACTGATAAAACCTTATACTATCGGTTATAAAAAGAGACATTTATAGGTTATTCAGAATAGTATAAAAGATCTTTCGCTTAGTTATTAAGCCACTTAACCATACCAAATTACCATCGAGATGGACTTTTAGGAATCCACTCTGTACAACACTTTATTGCAATTAAGTAACATTATATGGATTATGAAACGACAGCGTATCTGTGTGTAACTGATTGAGTTGGCAAATAATAACAAGTTCAAGTACACAGCACGACTAAGCACTATCTATAGAAATTAAAACAAAATAATACGTAACGAATAAAATTATACGCGAGATTATCTAATAATGATCATGAAGTGTACGTATAGTAACTATTATCTAAATTTCAACTCGAATTAAACAATTATTATAGTGAAAGAAACGAAAGCCAGTTAAAATGTATCAATTTCGATGAGCAAATTAAATTTTATCAAGATTAAACTTTATGTAACCCTGTTAGTTTAATGTAAGAATTGTCGTAATCAAGAATTTGCCAGAATTTGATATAACATTAAGTTATTAGAGTTAATATTTTTATTACTCACACTAATAACACATTCATCTTTTATCTTGTTTTTTTGCGAATAATTGAGTAACTTTGGTAAATAATCGACAATAAAAGTAAGTCTATACACTCCTCGACAAAGAAAACGAAGTTACAATTATTACTTATTATTCGTATTAGTATTAATTTGTTTTCTTAGAATGATGACAAAAAAATCCAATATCGACATTGGAACTTCTTTCGAAAGAAGTATTTTGAAATGCAGTTACGGGTTACGGAATTACTAAAATAAACTCAGCAGATTTAATCATGAAGCTTCCTATTTTCTCTAACGCTGAGTGTATGTATGTGTAATAAAAAAAATTTGCGTCTTAATAACAATATGCACAATCCAACCTCTAGGCAATGTTTGAATAAGAATGCTTAGGTATAATTAATTAAAACAAGAAAAACAGCATTCAGCTCTCAGTACCTAGCAACATGACTTCCGACGCTAAAGACACAGCTGCTAAGTTTTTGAAAAACTATTTTAGACAAATATTGGCAGCAATTGCAGGTCAGTAAGTAGAATCCTATCGTTGCTTTTTGGGTAGTAAATTTCATATGCTACCAATATACAAAGCGATGTAACATTCCGGTAATTATTTAGTTTAATTAATATCTAGTATTGCTTTAATAATATTGCATAAGTTAATGCTGTATACACCTTTTAAATTAAGTGCACAGAATGCACCTTTCGAATTACTAGAATTTTTTATGTGAGATTTTCAATAGGTAAGAGTGTTACTTAAAAATATGGGTTTATTCATGGTACTTGATATTTAAAGTACTTTAGCAATAGACTTTATCCAATATGACTGAAAATCATAAAGTGTCTCTAAAATCGAGATAATTATCATGTAAGATTAAAGGATTATATTTTTCAAGATGTTTGTTTTTCAAGACGTTTGATAAGTAGTCGTACATTTATTTACAATCGTATAGAAATTTATTTTTTGATTGCTAAGGGATAGTTCCTACATGACATTTTCAAGATATTAAACTAAAATTATCGTTTCAAAGATTTTTGAAAATCAAAGTTTTAGCATTTAAAACTAGTTTAAAAATTTTAAAGATTTTAGTAAAGAACTTCTCTTTGAATTTTGAAAAAGAAGTTATTTGAGTTTATTGTTAATTCACTATTTACATCTAGCTTATTAATGGTTGATTTAGAAGTGATTTCTTGATTCGTATATTCTTGTTTCGTACCCTGTTTAATTAAGGTAATTAATCATTAATTGTTTAGGATAATTAACCAGTTTAAACAATTTTTCAGTTCTTGTTTCGTACCCTGTTAGTAGAGGAGATTAGTTCTTAGATAGCTCTGAACTGTTTCAAATGGTCCTAATTCTGGACAATTCTAAATAGTTTAAAATGATACAGCACAATCCTAAATAATTTTCAACAGACCCAAAGTTAAAACAGTACCTAATAATTAAATAAAAATAAAAATATAGTAAAAATATAAAAATAAAGTAAAAATAATTAAAAAATATGATAATTAAGTAAGATTAAATACTATGTTACTGACGTACGAAACAAAAATAAATATTGCCATTAAACAAAGTATAATAAGTCTAGGGTACGAAACAGAACAAATCGATTTAGAACGTTTCTCATGCTTTCTTTCATCCCTTCGGAACCTCTAAATAAATGTGACTTTAATAATCAATATAGTATCGATAATGTAATAACATTTCAAATGATCAAAATTGTATAAATATTGCATACAGAATAATTAACTGAGTATTTATCTCAAATTCCAGGGACGCTATTCGCCGTGTCAGATGGCATGACCTATGGCTGGACATCGCCTATGATCCCTTATCTCACCGGTCCGCACAGTCACATACAGACCACCAAACACGAAGCGGAATGGCTCGAAACCGCCCTTCTATGCGGCTCCTTTGCCGGATTACCTCTAACGATTTACTCCGTAGACAAATTCGGCAGGAAAAAATCCCTGCTGTTCGCCTCCGTCGCCATATTAATTGGATGGACTCTGATAGCGCTCGGAAATCAAATGGCTTATTTATTCGCCGGAAGGTACGCCAGATACACACCTTCATTTATCTTCCAGATGAAAATTATAATATCTTGTTTGCAGGTTCCTGTGCGGCATGGCCGGAGACATGGCCTTCGTGGCCTGCCCAATGTACATGGCGGAAATATCCGATCAAAAAATCCGAGGTCTCCTCTCGGGTATCATCTACATAATGGTCCACATCGGCACGTTGCTGGTCTACTGCATAGGCCCCTTTACGCCCTACTACGTCACGCCGCTCGTCGGCTCCGGCATGGTGGTCGCGGAACTGGCCGTGTTCTACTTCATGCCCGAATCACCGCACTATCTCCTCGCCAACAACAAAGAAAAACAAGCCAGGAAAGCCTTGGAATTCTTCAAGCCCTACGCCGACGTCGACGAGCAAGTCAACGAGATATCCGCCATGCTGGAGAAGAGCAGGCAGGACAAAGTCCGGCCGCTGGATTTGATATTAGTGAAGAGCAATCGGAAAGCCATCACCATAATGGCGGTACTAAACAGCGGCCAACACCTGTGCGCGTACACGGTGATCCTGATGAATTTGCACACGATCCTCGAAGAGGCCGGTTCGGTTTTCCTCGATAAAAACCACGCCTCGATCATCTTCGCTGGAATCATGCTGATAGCGGCGGGTTTCGCGTCGGTGCGCGTGGATAAATACGGTCGCAGGGTGCTGCTGATGGTGTCCGCGTTGGCCTCCGGCCTGTGCGTGCTCTCCTTAGCCGTGTACTTCCACGTGAAGGCCGTCGGCGTCGACGTGACCTCGGTCAGTTGGATACCGACGGCGTCGGTGATGGTGTACGCGTGCTTCTTCAAGCTGGGCGTCGGCATGGTGCCCATCATCGTTACCGCGGAGATATTCCCCACCAATATGAAAGCCATAGGCATGACCATGGCGGACGCGATGTTCATTTTGGGCGGAATAATCGCCATACAGGTCTATCAGATACTCACGAGACAGGTGGGTCTGTACGCGCCGTTCTATTTCTTCGGTGCGTTCGCGTTTTTCGTGGCGTTTTTCACGTACTTTTTCATACCGGAAACGAAGGGAAGGTCGCTGGAGGAAATTCAGTGCATTTTGAAAGGGGAACGCTTGGAAATGACCAAGAAGGAGCGGGACAATAAAATGGAGAAAATCGAAATCTGATTAAATGTTACACTGGGATCTCCCGTAAGGTACAAAAATTTCGTTGGTAATATATCTACTTAATTGTTATCATGTGATATTTTATGTTGATTTGTAAGACATACTGGGTGTTTAAATAATGATATTCTTGGCGAATTCTTGGATCGTTCGAAGAAAATATTAGTGGAGAATTTTTTTTCTCAGAATAAGCCAAGCATTTACAGCCAAGTTTTAAAACACCCAACACAAGTTAAACTTTTGTTATCTTTGAATATTTTTTTCAATTATATAAAATACAAAATTATCTATAACATAAACGATCTTATGTATGTTTTATTTACATAAATTAACAAAAAAAATTGACCTAATTAAAATAATTTACAACATAATCGATACATCGATCCACCTTTTAGTATCGACATATCGAATAATCGATTTACCTTTAATTCCTCCTCTTTTTCTTGTCCTTCTCCGGCGCAACGCCCGTCGACTTCTCGTACTCCGCGATGAGTTTCTCCTGCACGGCGGGCAAGCAGGGCGAATACCGGCTGTACTCCATCGTAAACTCGCCCTTGCCCTGCGTGCTCGACCGCAATTCGCCGGCGTAACCGAACATTTCGTTCAACGGCACCTCCGCGTAGATCGTGAACCAACCCTCCGTGCCTTCGGTGCTGTTGATGATGCCCTGTCTCTTGTTCAATTGGGCGATGACGGCGCCTTGGAACTCCTCGGGCGCCGTCACTTCCACGGACATAATGGGTTCTAATATATGCCACGAACCGTTCTCGAACGCTGCACATACAAAAATATTTTAGTTTTTAAATGAATTTTCACGCACTCTTGGATCGAGTAAAGAGAAAAGTTTTTAATGACATTACGTCAAAATGGCTTTTTAATTGACAGTTTTAAAAGGTAAATTTCTATTGGTCAAAAATTCGGTCAAATTTTAGTATATCTACGGTGTGTAGATTTTGTTCCACATTTTCAAATTTTTCTCTTATGTGAACACTTGAACGGACATAATAGGTTCTATTATTTACCACGAACTGTTCTTAAAAGCTGCACATAAGAGTACAATGCAAATATTTTAGTTTTAAATGATTTTTTAACAGACAGAGAAGTTTTTCAATGACATATGTCAAAGTGAGTTTTAAAATGACAGTTTTTAAAGGTAAATTTGCATATGTAGAATGTAATGAAAAGAGGAACGTATGCGGTGTTTCTATTGGTCAGCATCTGTCAAAATTTATTATGTCCAAGGTGAGTAGGTTTTATTGCACATTTTACCAATTTTTCTCTATCTGCACCGGCTAAAATGGAAACTAGGTTGGTTTGTAAACTTACCAGCTAATTTACGAATTGACCAAATGCGCGGTTAAAACGAAGAAATTAGCTTTTTAAGAAATTAATAAACAAATTTAATATCACAAAAAACTAAACTACATTCTATTCATATTTCAAATACGGACGAAGTTAACAAAACCTAGCGCGTGATCAGTGCATTCGAAAGATTCATCCAATAGCGTTGCGAGAATTGCCAAACACGTGATCGAATAAGCACCAATCAAGCGCTTATCGTAGTTTACATCGCCCGAATTTGATATATGAATAGAGTTTAGAACCAACATCTAAATTATCCTAACCCAAACTCTGTGATAATTGAGTAAACCACGTACTTTGTTTAATAGCGCCTTGGGCAGCGAGGAAGAAAGCCAATTCGCTGGAATCGACGATATGATGAGCACCGTCTATCAATCTCATTTTGAGACCGGCCAACTTCTGACCGGCGAGTAAACCTTTCTCTGCCATCGCCAGATAACCCCTTTTAACGCCGGGCACGAACTGTTTCGGCACGTTCGTACCGACTGTTTCGTCCGAAAATTCCAACGTCGTATTTTTATTAGCAGGCAAAGGCTCCAGAACGCCGATCACTTTGGCGTATTGACCGGCACCTCCCGATTGCTTCTTATGGAGATAATCGAACTCACACGGAGACACTAATGTTTCTCTGAAAGCCACCTTCGGTTTTCCTAAAGTTACCTGCAAATAAACGATTCCAATAAATAATTACATGGGTAAGGGCAAATGTGTTTGCAATATGGTCGATTCTATGAGTTGAACAAAAAAAGATTATTAAAATAACAGTGGTTGGAGCGAGACAGTTGCCATCCCACAGTATCACTCTTTCTTTTTCACTTATATGAGACTAATATAAACTCTCTTTGTTGCACCCATAGACTATATTGCGTCCTATGGCAGTGATTAATAACGTTAAATAGCACTATTCTGTAACATATTTTTTACGTACTGGACAACCATATTCCCTCTCCATCCTTTGAGCGTAAATTTCCAAATGCAATTCTCCCATACCAGACACCACCGTCTCTTTGCTATCGTCGTCGAAGAAAAATCGAAACGTGGGATCCTCCTTGGTGAATCTGGCCACGGCTTTCGAGAAATTGTCCCTGTCTTTGGGGTTGGTGGGATTGATGGCCATCGATACGACCGGCTCGGGCACGAAAATCGATTCCAACGAGAGATCGAGCTTGAGGTCCGTGGTGAAGGTGTCACCACTGGCGCAATCGACGCCGAACAGGGCGAATATGTCGCCGGCGTACACTTCGTTCACGTCCTCCATGTTGTTGGAGTGCAAACGTATCAATCGGGCGATTCTCACCTTTTTCTGCGTTCGCATGTTGAATATACTATCGCCTGTAATAAATCGATTTGTATCAATTCATAGGAAACTCTAACGGTGTAGTTACCTTTACGCAACATCCCTTGGTAGCATCTCATGTAAGTTAACTGACCAAATCTGCCGGCTTCTAATTTAAACGCCAAAGAAACAAAAGGTTTTTCCCCGCTTCTCGTTGGATCTAAATTAATTTTTTGTGGTTCCTCTCCTTCTTTTTCCTTCAAAGCGAAATTCGTGACTTCTCCGGGATTAGGTAGGTAATCCAGCACGCCGTCAAGTAGAGGCTGCACGCCTTTGTTTTTTAGAGCTGTCCCTACAAATACAGGTGTAAAGGCTCTTTTGAGGCACGATCTTCGTATGGCTGCCTTGATGTCGCTATCGGAAATGGGTTTTTCTTCCAAGTATAATTCCCCGATAGTATCGTCGCAATTGGATAGATGCTCGATGAGCTCGTGCCGCCTTTCGTCGCTTTCTGTTCTCATGTCTTTTGGAATGTCGTCATATCTTAATTCTTCGCCGAAGGAGCCGTCGAAGTAGATAGATTTTTGGGCGACCAAGTCAATGATGCCTTTACAATTCGATTCGACGCCTATTGGCAGTTGCACAAAGGCTGCGTGATGGTTCATTTTGGATCTCATCTGCGACAAAACGCGATTGGGATTCGCTCCTAATCTGTCTAATTTGTTGATAAAAGCTAAACACGGGACGTTGTATCTCTTCATTTGACGATTTACTGTTAATGACTGGCTTTGAACTCCGCCCACGGCGCATAAAACTGTAAATGTTCAGATTTTAGCGATGTAATTGATTTGTAAATAAGAGATTACCTAAAACAGCTCCGTCTAAAACTCGTAGAGCTCTTTCGACTTCAACAGTAAAATCTACATGACCAGGTGTGTCGATAATATTAATATTATGGTCTTTCCATATAGTATAAGTTGCAGCAGACTGTATAGTGATACCACGTTGTCTCTCCAATTCCATAGAATCCATTGTAGCTCCTACGTTGTCTTTACCTTTGACTTCATGCATAGCTTCTATTCGTCCAGTATAATAAAGTATTCTTTCTGTTAAGGTCGTTTTACCGGAGTCAATGTGAGCTGAGATTCCGATATTCCTGATCTTGCTTATATCTTTATGTTCAGCGTATTTTGCAAAATTGGACATGCATTTATACTTAAACTGAAATCAAATTGTAGGTTAAGTTAAAGAGAAGCTTAATATTTGTGTTTGTATTACCGAAGTTGTTTTGGAGAGACTTTCGTATATGTGCTTGCTATGTAGACGAAACATTTTTTTAAGATTCTAGAAAACTTAAAAGTATTTAAAGTATTAAATCTTTACAATTCCAGTCAAGAAATTGTAACTTTTTAGGTTAACTTTTTCTTCTTCTTTTTATGAATTCATCAGTTCATAAGATAACTGTAGTAATTGACAGTAAGGGGACGATTTTCGTTTGTTAAACTGTCATTGGTCACTTTCAAACGCGTCAATTTTAAATTTGAATTGTTGTAAACTAATCTTAGGAGTCAGTGTAAAGTTAAATTTTCTCAAAATGGAGTCAAGAAATAAAGTTCATGAAATAAACCAAAATGAAAATCAATCAAATGAAGCTGTTGGTAAATTTATTTTACTACTAATGAGCGTATTTAAATACATACGAAATCGTGAAGGCGGTTGTGTAATTTACTCCAATTAGGCTTTAAATTACTAAACGGCTGGTTTCTTTACCTTATCTTTGAAGTAAAACACTTATTATATCAAATCTAGTTTTTGTCAAATTATAAAAGCAACCCTAAAACTAATTAAAATGCATGTATAAATATAGCAATACACCGTACTCATTTTAACTGCAAGAGGTTTAGTTAATGTAATAATATATAGTTAATGCAACAAGTCAAAAAGTATATGGGTAAATGCAAATGTGCTTGCAAATGGTCAGTTCTATGAGTTTAACAAAGAAAGATTATTAGAATAACAGCATACAACTTTGCAGTTACCTGTATAATGCATTTAACGGAGTAAAATAAAAACAAATTTCTTTTATAGGAATGGTTCAAGGTATACTCGAGTTGGTAGAAACTCGTCAACAAGAATTGAACGTTTTAAAACAACAACTTGAAGAAAACAAAATTGTTTTCGAAGAAAAACAAACCCGTAATCACGCAATGAAAATCTACGTTAAAGAGAAACTAGCCAAGGAGGAACTGCTTAAAAATATGACTACTACATCGAAGAGTTTAAACACAAAAATACTTTGTAAGGCCCGCGACGTGTACACTGATACAGTCAAATATTCCAATCTCTTGGTTATTGATGAGAAGAATTTGAAAAAATTAAAACAAGACTTCAACAACAAAGCAGGACTAATTGAAATAAGACAAAATAACCATGACAAGAAGTATAACGAACTGAAGAAGGAACTGGAAGACCTTACAAGGAATAACAGTGAAGCTGCGACGGAAAACGAATCAATGGCTCAAGAAAAGAATTCAATATATGAAGCGATAGCTGACATAGACCAAAAATTATCAATTCGAGAACGAAATGTTGTTTTTGAAGAAGAACACAAGACTAACATGGAATTGAATTGTCAATTGAAGAAAGAAATCGACACAATTGGTAACGATTACGAAGAAGCAGCTAAAAAACTAGTTATCTTAAAAGAAGATAACGATAAAAACCAGCAAAAGCATTTGTACGAGTTAGAAGAGTACGACAAAAAGATAAATGAAGTAAATGCTACATTAAATGACTTAACAACTCAATATCAAACAAACCAAAAGATTAACGAAGAAGAAACTTGTAAATTGGATTGCCAAATCAAAGAACTCGAAAACCGCATAGAAATCCAACTAAATCGAGCTAAAGAACTTACCAGAAAGGATGAAGAAATCGACTTAATAGTAAAATTCAACCAAAATTCCCTTAAATATCAAGAATATCTGCTGACCCAAACCAAAGAGTACGAAAAAGAAATCAACGAAATTGAACGTGTAAAGGATGAATTAAAAACTTTGGAATCAAACGCGGAACTTTGTGATAAAATTCTGCAAGCAACGTCAGATGACGAGGCGAGCTTGAACTGTATGGAAGAAAGGTGGCGTGAAATAAATTTAAAAAAAGAATTGTTAACAGAAGACTATCAAAAGGCGCTGATCAAAAAACAGGAACAGATTAATGAAGAATCCAAGCTTATGGAACGCGAGTGTAACGACATTTCTTCCGACATCACTTTATCGGATTTGGAAAATAATGGCATAAAACGGAAAATTGATGAACTGGAAAAAGAAAAAAATAAACTCAAAGACGTTTTAGAGGTAAGTTACTTTTACCATAAAGTGGTTATACAGATGTACTATATGTAGATGCAATATAGGCTATGTGGGTGTAACAAAGACAACTTCCATTAGACTTATATAAATAAGGAAAAAGAAGAAAGCTTATTATTGTGGGATTGCAACTTTCTCACTCTAACCACTATTATTTTAATAATCTCTCTTTGTTTAATTCTTAGATTTGACCATATTGCAAACAAATTTGCACTTATCTGTATACATGTACATATATTTACGTATTTCATGTTACAGACATTGGAGAAGCAATTGAAACTTAAGGAAGAAATGGAAAAGAAAAATAGTCACTGGGAAAGTGATTCTACTGCTTGTGATGAAATCGATACAGGTTTTTACGCAAGAGTCCAGAAGAAACTAAAAACGAATCATTGGTATAAATAAATAAAAGTATTACGTTAAATGGTTAAATTTAAAAATTTCATCTTAAGTTCCATCCTAAGTTATCGTTAGATTTTTATATAGATTTAGTTTTGTTACACATGCAAAAATTGTAATTTAATTTCTTAATAAAAACGTTCAATTTGTAAGGTGAAAATTAATATTGCATTAAAAAATCACCTACCAGGGTGGCACATTAGTATGGAAAAGCTCAAGTTAATGTAGAAGATAATCAAAAAAACTTCATTACAAATGTAAATCTTTTAAGCTGCATATTTTAAAATTAGTTACATTTATACAGAGTGTACCGTTTTTCCGTGGTAGACTAAGCTTTCACATTTTTAAATGGAAGAACCTGTTTTTTATTCAATAATTGAATTTAGCTCGTTTTCAGCTTTCCAAAAATATCATATTGTATAATGTTATACTAAGTTTAACCAGTCTCTATAGATTGAATATCATTGAATTAAAAATAAATTTCAGGTTTCACAGCATTGCAAATATCCTGAAAATGTACAAAATGATTAATTTTCGTAAATTTTAATCGTACTTCTTACAGGGTGGATGTAAACGAAAAAGTAACATTTTCTCAGTTTTTTTTAATGGATCATTTTGTATTTCATATCATTACCAGGAAGTATTTTTGAAGTACATACCATAGAGAAAGAAAGATGTTATATTTATATTTTGTCTATGGTACATACTTTCATTCTTATTAAATATTAAGTAGAATAGCATAGATCAGCAAAATAAATATATAAAACATTTTTACATACCTAGAATTAATTTATCGTTGATTTTTGGCCTCGCTAAAGACAGTAATTCAGTCACTTCTATAGTGGCTGAATAAATTACTCAGCCAACAGCACAGCACCACGACAACTGACACTGACAATTAACTAACCTTACTTTCCAACGTGTAAACTGCAAAGCAAAAGTGACCAAACTTATGGGAATTCGGAGCATACTATGGGCAAAAATCAAAACAAAAAGCCCGAGGAAGTATTTGAAGAATATTCAGACATGAATGACAACGACAGCGATAATGAAGACAGTGATACTTCCATGAGTACCTCTGGTTCAGATGCATCCGATGATGAAATCGAACATTTCGAAAGTTCAGCTGTAACTGAGGCAGAATCGGACGTGGACGAACCCGTTGAGGCCGAAGAGGAAGAGGAAGACGAGACTATCAAAGCTATTAGATTGGAATCCCAAAAAGAAAGAGATCACCCCCCTAGTATACAATGCGAGGACTTTATAACGGATATATCATTTCATCCCCATAACGATTTACTGGCTGTAGCTACTATAGTAGGAGACGTGCTGCTCTACAAATATTCCAACGATGAAAATACGCTGGAAAATACATTAGAATTACATACAAAAGCATGTAGAGATGTTGAATTCAGTCTAGATGGAAAAATATTATTTTCTACTTCTAAAGATAAATCTATCATGCTGAGCGATGTCGAAACAGGAAAATTGGTTAAATTCTATGAAGATTCTCATGATGTCCCTGTTTATTGCTTAACTGTTATCGATGAGAACTTATTTGCTACAGGTAAAATTATAACTAGCAAAATGATAGTGTAAAAATTATATCAATTTTTATTGCAGGCGATGATGATGGTACGATAAAATTATGGGATTTGAGAGAAAAAAGCGATAAACAAATATACAAAACCAGGAAAAATGAGGATTATATAAGCGATTTAGTTACAAACGATTCAAAAAAATACCTTGTCGGATCCAGTGGAGATGGATCCATTATCAGCATAAATCTCGAACAGAGGTTAGTAAGGCACTATTTCTCCTACACAGAAATATTTTCCATTGCGTTTTAGATGCGTTCACATGCAATCTGAAGAATACGACGAAGAACTAACTAGTATGGGAATATTCCGATCAGAAACTAAACTAGTAGCATCTTCATCTAAAGGAAGATTGTTCGTTTACAATTGGGACGAGTTCGGCCTTCACAGCGACATTTTTCCAGGCCCTAAAACCTCGATAAACGCATTGATGCCCATAACTGAGAATATCGTGGTAACTGCATGTGAAGACGGTAACTTACGAGCCTCTCACTTGTTCCCCCACAGACATCTGGGTATTGTGGGACAGCACAACATGCCCGTAGAAAACGTAGATATTTGCAATAGCGGTCAATTTTTAGCATCTAGTAGCCACAATAACGACATCAGATTTTGGAACATACAGTATTTCGAGGATTTCGAAAAAATGGATCAAAAGCACAAGAAACATAACAAAAAGAAGGAATTGAAGAATAATTTACCCTCGTCGAATGTCAAAAATGCTTCTGATTTTTTTAGTGGTTTGGTTTAAATTATGAAAATAAAGATAATGAAAGCGTATTTTTGTGATTTGTTTGGGTCTACTTTGATTAGTTGAACGCATTAGTAATAAGGTCAAAGACCAGTACCCAAATGTCAAAATTAACATTACATAAAAAAGTAGAAAAATTAAGGTTAGAAGTTCCGGGATATTTTTGTTATTTTCTATATTTTAATAATGCTTCCTACCTTAAGGCACTTATCTAGGTGCGTGAAAACAAGAACACTCTCATTATGTCCTTGCAAATATCCGGCTTTAACATTAAACAGAAGATATGAATCCAAGAAGGCAAATTCTGGGGAAGATAGTTCCAACTCGTTGGGCGCTATGAGTTCCAAGTATCAAGTGTACAAAGACGAAGATTCCGAAGTTATATTAGACGTTTTCGAGGAAAGATTGAAATATTCCGATCTTCAGGAGGAGGACGAAGAAAAAAAGGAGCGATTCGAAGGGCTGAACCTTAACCGTAAGTTTGAACATTTGCTGTTAGATAAAATTCTAATTGAGCGCGATCAGGTGGCGTAACGGGCGTATTCGATATAGAAGATTTAGTGGAAGTTCTCAAGCGAGAAAAATCCAAGAATATTTTCGTTGCTGCTGTACCAAAAGAAATGAATTATGTGGATTACATGTGCGTGGTTAGCGGAAGGTCTTCGAAACATATGCAAGCAATAGCCCAGTTTGTGAGAAAAGTGTACAAACAAAAAAGAGAAAGTCAAGACCGCATTCCTCTACTAGAAGGAGCAGAATCTAAAGATTGGATGGCATTAGATTTAGGTAAATACACATAGCATTATTTCTAACATCACTTATTTACTTATTTTAGGTAATATTGCTCTTCATATATTCTCTGATGAAGCAAGAAACATCTACGATTTAGAATCCCTTTGGTCCCTCGGAACACAATATGACGATGAATATAATAAGCCTGAACCGATATCGGAGATGTTAGAAAAACATTCAATTTATTTAACTGGTTTAGAACCAAAATCTTAAGTACTGTGGAAGTGAATGATAATGTAAAATTTTATGAAATAGCAAGAAATTGAGCATATTTTGTAGCAAATAATTTCGTTTCCGACTTAATTTTTTCAAAACCCTTAATACTACATTAATAAAAATAACCTGATTTAAAATAACAGATTATAAAATTTAATTTTGTTAATTGTTGCAACGATTACGTATATATGTATTATTGAACCTAATAACTACTATCAGTACTTTCTTTCCTTTTTTTTAATCTAGAGCATTTAGTGCAAGGAGAATTTCCCGGTCGCCAGCAGCCCACATGGTAACAACTACCACATTTATCACATCTAGACACAGTCCTCATTTGCCATGGGAATATCACTTCGTTAGCGTTACATATACCACAGAAGAATCCTCTAGCCAAACACAGCTAAAGCAATAATAAAATTACACGAAAGGCTACATTTAAAATTCAGTATTACCTTGCATTCAGACGTGTGTTTCAGGCAAATATCCACTAAACTTTTCAATTTCTTAATCATCTCTCCAGTTTTAACTTTAATCAAATCGTCGATGGAGTAAAAATCGGGCTGAGTTAGCGCAGATCCTAATTCTTCCAACTTTTCGGGGATACTAAAACTGTTATTTTTATATGTATAATAGAATTACGAAAGGTACAATTACTTACGATTCCGCGAATCTACACGTGAAAATAAAATCCTTCATGTAAAATAATACTAATCTCAGTTTCCTGCAAAGTTCAATCCCCTTCGAAATGCTTGGTATCTTTTTGTTTAACGAAAACACCCTAAACAGGGGATCCGGAAACATTTGTTCTAATAATTTATAGGAGAAAGTAGATACAGGGTACCTAAAAATTACACAATTAACAATAATTGGTATTAGTTTACTATCTCCTTACCTCTTAAAATCCCATTTTTGGAGTATCCGCCCAGGTATAAGCGCCAACTGATTCTTGTGGCATCCCGTACAAAAATACCTACCTAAATATTCGCAGTACCGAAATCGAGACGCGTATTTCGAAGCCACTTTCATACTACATCCCGCGCACCTATAATTCTGTTTCGCCATCAAATCCTTCCTTCTAAAAACGCAACATACACATAAATACACTATAGATTATAATCCCGCATTGATTACTTACACTGGACTCGGGTGTATGGTAAATATGATTTGAGCCCTAGGTGGTGCCCATTCTTGTGTGCCTCTTAACGGAGTGACATTCTCTTCGGCCGAGTCCGGACTGACTGGCCAACTCTTCGGTAGAGGCAGGAGAGCTTGCGGAGCGTCCTCCTCAGACACCAACCATTCCAAATCCGAAGCTCTATAATAATACACAATTTTATATAATTAAAATATGAAAAAAACCTTGTTTATAGTATTTATACACTACCATAAGGATTATCTGGTACTTACCGAGGTAACTGTTTATCGCTAAATTTACTAATTAGAGAGATTGCTACTCCTTCGGCTGAGAATATATCCGAAGCACCGTCGGGAGCACCGCGAGTATGTCTTTTCATAATGTCTGCTTCGGAGAAGAGAGACGCCATCGACATCGACAGGCCGGCGTTCTCCTCCAAATTCGAGGTTTCGTTGATTTCCAAATCTTCCACGTCGTCAGAACTCGAACCGTCCGAGGTGGTCGAACAGGGACTGACGGTTGTTGTTGCTGAAATAAACAATAAAACCGCTTATAGCATGTTCTCTTTTAACGAAGAGATGACGTCACAATCTGAATTATTGATTATATTATATGGTCCTAGGCGGACCTATCGATCACCTTGAATTCTCATTCCTTTTCTGGTACACCTCTCCACTCATATTGATAGTAAAGGAGCGATATGTAAGCCGAACAACGTACAATTGGGCTTGTTTTTAAAAGAGCGTATAATATGTAGTAGTAGTAGTAATTACTCTTGTAGTTTATTCAACAATTCATGTCGTTACGTCACCGCTTGTTTAAGTCGACTGTAGCATAGGAAAACATACTGTCGCTTTTGATGTCGCTCGTCATGCTCGATGACATGTGATTCTTCTGTTTCTCCAGCACCCTTTTGGTCCTTCTCAATCTGATTTTTTGTTTGAGCTCGACGATTTCTGGATCGCTGTCGTCGATATCATCGGTCAATTTGCCGCTTCTTTTGCACCGTATCTGCTCCATGGCGGATATGATGGCTTCGGATATGCTAAAGTGCGCGTTCTCCCTGTCCAATTCGGCGTTGGCCCTGCTGAATTGGCTCGACGTCAGAAACGATAGCAGGCTCTGACCTTTGGTGGGTTTCGGGAAATAGCCGGTGGCCATCGGCAGGACGCTCATTCCTCCGTCCTCTGGGAAATTCATGCGAATTTATAATCGAGTAATGCAGAATTATAATTATAACTATTATGAAATTCTTGTTATAATAACGTAGTTACGGTATCGAAAAGCCATCTAGATAACTCGAGAAGAGAATTATCGGTGCCGGTCTGGTATGCGGTCTACCAAAATATTTTAGATCCATCGTCCAATATTTTGACTATTTTGCAAAACTGAAACTGGTTGTCCTAAAATTTCAGATATCCCTGTACTAAACATCGATTTGGGTAGACCGCATACCAAAACAGATGCGGTAGCAAAAGTAACAAGTTATAACAAGGTACAAAACTTACATTATTTCAAAAACAACTGGATTTACCCATATGAATCAAAAGTGCTTAAAAATACCCATTGTTAAACGCCATAAAATAGGGGATGATCCATTTGAAATAACAAAGTTATGGCCATTTTAAGTTAGCAAAGTTATTCAGACAATTTTAAACATCCAGTATAGTTTCATTTAGTAGTGTGCCTGGACATTATCGATAGCAAATTTCAAACTTCTAGGTGCTCTATTAATTGAGATATCATAGAAAATACATTCAACAACTTTTCCAAAAAATTTCGAAAAAAAATTAAATAACATGAAAATAGTACATTTTTTGCATATGGTGCTATTATAAAAGTCTAGTTAAAAAGGTACACAGAATCCAAAAATGAAGTAAAAAAAGGTACTTTCCATTTGAAATAAAGAAGTCGACATCTACTTCCGCTATAACCGGATGTCACAGATGGTCGAAAATATTTTAGAAAAACCCACAACATTGGGTATACCTTACTCCTAAATATTCAAATTCCCAACTCATTAGGAACTCCTAAAAGTACTAATAAACTACTACCTTGAGAAACCCTGTATTATGTATAATTCAGTCTTACCTATAAAAGTTTTCTTCGGCATCTTCTTGTAATCCTTCTCGCCGGCCATCGGCAAAAACGAATCGACCACATTCAAAGGCGATTGGGATAATATATTGCTCGTTTTCGATTTAGTCTCGGGCATTGATATGGTAGATTGCATGAGTTCTTCGTTAACTATCGTACCGCTGCTCTGGGAGCTGCTCAGCGACGGCGTGTGCTCCACTATGTTGCAGTTGTCGATGATGATATGCTTCACACAGGTCGACTTGGCGTACGGCCGGTTTCGCTTGAGATTCAACTTCTTGGAGGCGGGCTGGAGGGTGCCATAATCGACCTGGAACAGGTAACGGGTGTGATTTACAACTAAGAATTTATACGCGACTATGTTGCAATGAAATTCGTGACATTTTCGAATGAAATAGTTCAAATGAATCGGCAAAAAAGAATTCTTGAAATGCTCCTAAACATCCTAAAGAGAAATCATTTTTTTACCATTACTCAATTTTTCGTAAAGCGTATAACAAGCTTATCTTCATTACTAAATTTTTGTTTAGTAAACATTAATTATTATAGTATTGTTACCTTACTATTTCTCAACTTATAAAATTTTATATCAAACATCGTTGAGGCAAATCCTGTTAGTAACAGAGAAAAAATAAGTAATCTCGAGTTCGATTACATTTTGATTAGAATACATTGCATTTACAGAAGATACTGCAATCAATTTCTTTGATAATTTTAATATTACAATTAATACGAATCAATAAATAATTCAGTATATTTAATTAAACCTTAAAATGATAATTCCTTGTACTATCAGAAGTTGCAAAAGTAAAGAAATTCCAATTTAACCACCTTTAAATTAATTTACCTACCTTAAGGGCAGTCGGTGATATTTTCTTCGTGTGCACCGGAGTCGTGGGGGTGGTTTTGCTCTCCGAACAAGGCCTTTTACTAATCTTAGATTGAACAGATAATAGAGAAGGCATGCTATTCCACGGTTTCAACTTCCCCTGTACATTTTGCTTAACTTTCTTTACAGCCTCTTTTCTTAATTCAGTTTGCACATTTTGCACCGTTCTTCTCCTGACATTAAACCTTTCAGCGTATATCTTTTGCATATGATGGTCGGGAAACGAGGAGCACCTTCTGTGAACTTTGAGAAAGTCGTTGGGTTTTTGGATGAATAAATAGGGGTTGATATCGGAAAGCAGGCTCGCTTGGTTTCTTTCCACCGCTCTTAAGCATATCAGAGTGGCTTCGGCGTATTTCTCTTGGCGAAGAAAGGCGTATTCTTGGTAACATTGAGATAGGTGGTTCTTGTCTGTAAGGAGCCAAGAGAGTTTCTGCGATAAAGAATGATTTTCCAAACTTCGGTATAGCCAAATAGCGGATTTGTCGGTTTTTAAATGGGACGGAATGTGCGGACGATATTCGCAGTCTATGGAGAAGTAGGATTTTGAGCTATCGGGCTGTAACCATTCCAATCCTTGTATGAAACTGTAATAAGCGGATTCCTAAAATTAAAGAAACAAAGCATGAGTGTGTTTCAAAAAATTCGCTACTCACATAAATATAAAGTAGGAATAACATATTCTAAATATTTAAATTGCAAATTTCACCTACCTTCAATGATCCTTTACATCCGTGTTTGAATATTTTATCAACTATGGCGTGGAATCTGTTTAGGCCACCAAAAATAGACCAAACGTTTGCCACTTGGGTCATCAACAATCCCTCCACAGTGCTCTTTAGGTCTCTAAGTAAGTGCTGGTACTTTAAGGTGTATTGAGATGATTCAGTCATGACCACCGCTTGTATATTTCCTATTGCCAATTAAAAAAACGATTTTCCGAAAAAAAATAAAACTTGGTTCTGGGCATTTTCTAAAAATCCTCCCATTTCCCATTTAAAAACTGTCAAATAAAAAAACAAAATGAATTAAACTGAAGTTAGTTCCACAAAATTGTCATAGCTGTCAATGTCAAAACTGTCAAGTTAAAATTTGAGAACTAATAACTACTAGAATAGAGGCGATGTTAGATAGAAAAAAGAAGTAAAAATTGTCAAAACCAGCTGCACTAGTTGTCATTTTTGACATTTCAAATTTTCCTTTTGTTTGTGCCAAAGAAATATAATAATTTGGGATATTTGATATGAAAAAACATTAATTTACTACCTATATCCTATTTTCTTCACCTAATATTTCAAGCAGTAATATGCCATTAAAAACGATCTTATTGTAACAAGTAGTCCTTATCGAAATAGTTTGTTAATAGAGTATGCATTCAGTTTTTAGCTGGTATGTTTGAACTCTAATTCGAAATGGAGTCACGAGAAACGTCCGAACTTCAGCAATTAGTGTCCAGTGACGCAGAAAACGAGGACAGTATCATTCAAGATGAAGCCGAAGGAAAAATAACGTCGCCAATTAAAAGCAATAAAGTGGTAATAAATAAAGAATTTGCACAGCCGATTCTTTATTTCAATGAGTCAATTAATCAACTGCGTTTTTAAACAACTTCAGGTATCTTCTTCTGGCAATACGAGCCGCAGTTCTATTATTCACGGTAGAAAAGGACAGACAGGAGTAGCCGGTTCCAAAATCACGTTTGTTAATGAACGAAAGATTAAAGATAGTAATAAAAACTCGACTATACGAGCGAGAAATCCACACAAAGGTACACTTACTTATATCATTTAATAGCCATTAAGTTAATCGTTTAGTTTGCTTGTTATATTTTTTTTATTTAGCAATTTTTTTTATTTTTGTTTTTTTTTTTATTTGCAATTCAGTAGACAATCCCGATAATACAGATACTAGACACCATTCTTTTATCTCCCAAGTTCCCGATGTTCGACATATGGAAAGGGCTCTGCTAGGACTGCTAGCCGATTTCCATTCCGGCAAACTGAGGGCCTTCGGCAGCGGCTGCACCATGGAACAGATGACGAATATCAGAGAGCAACAGGAGAAACTGGCCAAGCTGCATTTCGATCTAGCTTCAGCTACAGTGCCCAGCTTGAAGGAGGAAGATATTCAGAGTTCGCAGGATACCATGAACCAACTTATGCAGAGATTAGAACAGCTGAGCGTGTCTATCGAAGGATTGCACAATAATTCTAGTAAATAGATATTTAGATGAGGTGTATTGCTTGGATTATTAATGTTATGAGACAGTTTTGTTTTTCTAGTGTTTCTGTTGGTGGAAAGCTTGCCGAATATTTTAAATGCCTTCGTTATTGGCATTTATTATCGCTATAAATTTGTAATGTAGCCTAATTTTAGATTATTTAGAAATGGAAACTGTCGATATTAAAAAGAGAAACATTTCGTGTTTCTGCATTTTATTTTATCATTGATACTGGTTGAATGGTTTGTGTTTATTTATACTTATACTATTTTTGTTGGTAAATATAGAATTTTTGATTTTTGTACGTTATTGCATTATTATACAGTATGACAATATAATAACTTACAATGACTATATTTTCCAAACGAAACATGAAATCAAAAAATGCCTAAAACCGTTTCTATGATATGAAGGTGAACTATTCTAAATTGACATAAAAAAGAATTGACCCCCATCAACCCTCTATGCCCCACGTACCCCAATTATAGAAATTTAAATAGAAACCCCCAATTTGTGATACATCATTGAAAAACCTACAAAAAATACTATCCAATAATAAAACCAAAATTTAATGAAGTTTGGAAACATCATAAAACCATTAATTGTGCATAAATTAGAGAAATTGCAGACAATTTTGCACCTACGGGTATATTGAAACTTAAATGTTTCATACGTAATAATCTCTTCTGTGATCAAGCAAATCATTTTAAATAAAACACAATACTTTTACAAAATCCTATATCTTCAAAGAAAAAGAGAAGACGCATAAATCTTTATACGTACTGTTCAGGTATTAAGTATATAGAAATTTTAAATAAAAAATTATCTTCCTGATTTTTGGGGCCCCTGGTCTGTTTTACGTCGTTCTAAAAAACAATATATTAAGTACTTTGTGAAATTCCTGGTGTTAAAATAACGAGCTCAAACGGGTATAAAACGACTAATTTCCATGTCATGTAAGTACTCGTATATATAGTACTTCAGTTTTTAGCTTTGTATGTACTTACTTATTTTATTTTCTGCAGCATTAGAAGCAGAAACAAAAGTTCTTTGTAACTTAGTTTTCTTAACCTCTCTGTATTTCTTGGCTACATCCTTTGAAAGTTCTGCTATTCTAGCCATTACAGCTGGTGGATAACTATTGAAATTTACCGTATTTTAGTAAAAAAATGAATTAACTTAATAACACATGCTCACCTGCATCCCATAAACTCTATATTGGTAAAAGATCTAGCTAGGGCTACTAAGTAGTCTTCAGGGAAATTCCCTATGTGGGCTTCCATGAATTCTTTCCTTAATTCCCAGTGATGTTCTGGTTCGGTTTCATCTTTATATTGTTCAATATCCCAATCAGTTGGATAGTTTTTTGTCATTTTGTATTACAAATCAAAATTCAAACGAAAACAAATTTAAACGAATACAACATAACCTAAGTGTTAGAATTTTGACATTTACTTGACAACTTGACACCAATGCTGCCAATACGTCATTTTTTTTATAGAAAAAATTTCCAAACTATTACCAAATAACGAAATTAGTAATGGACTAGTAATGATAGTAATTAATGTAATTATTGAATATTTTATTTAGTATTTTCAAAAAAGGCGCATTTGCCAAACTTCTGCTTTATCAATTAGTGACATATGACATTTAGTATCGTGGCTAAAGTTTAGTTTACGGGTAAAAAACATGATAATTGTGACTTATTTTAAAACGAAATGAGTATATACTTTTTTTAATACCTTGTGTAAAACAATTGTATATTGACGCATTTTCTATTAGTTTTTATTATAATCCCTAAAGTTAAGATTCATCACCACAATTATTGTACCGGAGTCGCATTTGTAGACATTTTGTTTCGGCTTTCCAACTGTAGGTGTCAGCAGTATCAAAAAAATTATCGACTGATGACGTAAAGAAAAAATATTCTGATGACCTTGTAATGTTTGTAAATAACACAGACACGTTGAACTGTTTTTGTGTTGAGAGTGCTCTTTATTCGCAAGTTACCTAGCTTTTCGTTAAATAACAACGTCGAAAATGAATTTTGAAGAAATGACGGTGATCGAGGAACACAGTGTTTGCGTAAGTAGCCCATGACAATAATTCTTAAGGCTGTTATTAAGTAATCATTGTAGATCACATTCTCATGTAGTGATATCAGACATACTTGTACGTATAATTACATCAATTGTATCTTGAATATCGATGATAATTACTAGTTCAAACAGTTAATATTAATTAATCGAAGCTAATACAATTTTCGATTCAATAGGTTTCGCTAAAATAACAAATGTTTGGCAAATAAATTTAACATTTAGTGAGGCACTCTTTTAGGTAATGGCAGGACTGCGCAGGCGTTACATCTAATAGAAAATTTGAATGAATTACATTAAAAGATAACGATATAGTATTAAAGCAAGTTTACATTTTAATGTTTAATGTATCGATAAGAAATGGTTATATCGAACTGATAGACGACAAATAAGCTATAGAGCTCGTAAATCGAGCAAGTAAAATTTTTCAAATCGTTATTAATAATAAATTCATAAATTAAAAAAAAATGTAGTAATAAATTATTGGTTGTTGAATTAATTATTTACAGCCTTATTTTGTAGTGTGTGCACGAAAGGTTGACAATTATTGTGTAATCTTTTCTGTTTATTATTTTTTTTATTTGTTAGTGTTTTTCAAAAGAATAAAATTTAATATGATATATCTTCTGTAATTTGTTCGCACTATTTACGTAATTAAAGTAAACAAAAATAAGAGCGGTAGAGATGAGTATTTTTGGGAAGTGATTTGCAAAATAATTTCCTTATTTTTCAACAAGTCATTCAATATAATCTAATCAAAATTTATAATTTCCCAAGAATTTAATTATCATTCTATAAACTCTAATTAGGTATATTATTGGCAATATTTTTATTACATAAACCAGATTACCAAAACAATTAATTCTTGAGAATAATAAAGAATTACGATTAATAATAGTGTACGTATTTAATGAGCACATTTCTCATATAAATTAGCTTACATTATTATGTTATTTTTTGATAAATAATACGTTGTTGATTTGTAGAAATAAATTTTACTACATACAGGTAAGCTTTTTTATTTAATTTCCATATAACAATGGAATAAAATAAAAGCCAGGAGGTGGAAAATTTGCATTGGACCAAACACCTTTTCCCATTTGTCGAATACTGAATGGATTAAAATTAAGAAGCTGTTGCACTCGTAAAATAGTAAAACGCAATAAGCGAATCGTAAACGGCTTCTCCCGTGTAAACTCCTACGAAAACGGGACGTGAGGCGGTGGCACGGACGTAGATACTCTCGCACTGCGCAATACGCCTAAGCGACGTTGCCAAGCTTCCAATTCGAAAATCTTTCGTGGTTGAAAATACATCTATAAATTAATTTATTTTTTGAGTTTACTTTGAACTTCTTAGAGGATATACTGTATAATCATATTAATCATACGGTTTGATAAGCTATTTTATGGGTTGTGATTGATGTATGCCAAAGGAATCGATTTTTGGCAGGTTTAGAAAGGGCTTGCTGGTTTTGGTTTAATTACCACAATTTTATATCTACTGTAATTGTAGGTGCGATTTTTCATTGGAGATAGATGAATAAAAATTGGGTTTACTTCTTTACAATGTGTATTATAATTTCTACAATGCACAAATATTTTGTTTTTATTTATTGGTATGTAAATAATGTTATAGGGTTCAAATTATGAGAAAAATGTACTTACATATTATTTGTTTACTTCTGTCGATAATACGAAAAATCGATATTTTAACTCTTCACTAACAATTAAAAAATCGTTTTATAAAAAATTAATGTATAATGTATTATAGATAGTAGTAGAAAATGAGATTCTGTAAATAAAACTTTTTATGCACTTTGTTCTTTAATCAAACGATAAAAGTTGTCTGTATTATTGAATATAATGTTGAATAATTTAGTAATTAGAGCATTTATACGTACCTACATATGAAAAATTTAGTATTTTAGCAGGCACATAATAGAGATAAAAATAATATCTCCTGGTAAGTACCTTGTGTTTTGAACCATCGACCCAGTAAAACTTTAAATAATCTATAATAAAAATCTTAATGAATTAGTAATTTGGAGTTAAAAAGCAACAAATTTAGAAAAATATTGAATAACCTACTAAATCCAGCATACCTAAGTAGTGAAAAAACACACTAATATAACTTGTAAAACCATGAATAAAGTGTCTAATTGGTAGTAATAAATGAAACAAGGTTGTTTACTAGTAAAAATCTATAGTAATTCTGACATAAATTTCATGTTTTCAAGTACGTATAGTGTTAAAACATTTCTTAAAACTTCCCAAATAAAATTCAGAGTGCCACAATTTTCTCTCTACTTTTAATTCTCAATAGAGTAACCTATACTGTCATTTACTGTGTGTATCGACGATAAGGCCCATTCACAGTATACATATTATACATGAAATTTAAATTTTGAAAAGTTGTGTATAAGTAATTTTTGTTATGCTCGATTTAATGAAAATATTTGAAACTTGTTCTTACATCCGATTACACGAGACAATGAAAAATTGGAAGTATAGTTTTATATTTTTTCCATGCTTATAATAATGCTTCATTGTGGGATACCTACTGAAAGAAATGTGCCTGGTCTCTTAATTCCATTCCCTTGGGAACTCTATTTACTGAGTAATGTACTTTTTCCATCTACTTTCAATGGGCCGTCGTTAAGACACACACACATATTGGTCTTTATTCAGAGCCCCGTTTTAAAGCTAATCAATCGTTTAAAGTCTCTGTAAAGGAAACAATGTCCGTATAGTTACTTCATAACAACAATATACAACTGACAATCAAGTTAAACACGCGTCTTCTAATAAAAAAAAAACTGTAGGTGTTGGGGAATACGTTGTAGGTATATGAATGAATTTTATCGGTTAATTACGAGTTTAACGAGGCACATTGGCAATGCGGCGAGCGCGTTCGACAAGCGGTCTTTCGAATCTGATTTCCGATATTATGCCTATGCCACGGCGCGCCGGTCTCGGTTCTCTCGGTCTCCGCGTTTGTTTTTGTGACCGTGTAGCTTTCTAACTGCGTGCTCGCGCCGGCTGAACTACGCATTTGGATCGGTGAGCATTAAAATTTTTCGACTTTCATTAAGTTTTCTCGTCGATTTGCCGAACGGAAAATTCGTAAGATCGGTTCCTCCGCGCCCCGGCCGTCCTCTTTTCCGGCCGAGTCCGGGGCGACTCGGGGGTTGGTGCCGACTGTTTTCCGAATCTTCCGATTAGATGGTTTTTAACGGCGTTGCATCTACGCTCGGTGTTGTTACGGTAACGGGGATTTGTCGCGTGGAAATGAAAAATGCGGTGGGTTCGGTGAAAATGCGCCTACGAAGAAGCAACGCTTTTGTGTAATTGAATAACTGACCAAGGTTTCTAAAGTGAATGTTGAGATAAATGCGGTATACAACGCAAATCGCGATTGGTCTTATTTTTATGCGTTGTTTTTAATTCGGTAGATTAGGGAATTATGGGTGTATCCGTTAGTATGGTAACAAACCGTGTTAAATTGGGTTTTTTTTCAACAAATTTCTAATTAGCGCGTGTAATGCGATTAATTTTTTCAACGCACTTGGTTAGTTTTTTTTTTCGAGTTTTAATTGATGAAATTTAATTTCTAAATAAAATGCCGTAATTCTGGTTTATTAGTGTTTACAATTGCCACATGTGCAATAAATTAGTCAATTACCAGTGGGTACAGTGAAAAAAAGTGCACTATATTACGCGTAAAACAATCGGTGTAAAATTTTACTTGATATTTCTGTAATTCATCGAAAAGTTTGCTTTGAAATGCATTTGATTTGTGTAATAAAATTTTTCGGCGAATTTCAGAAAGTTTTTAAACGATTTCTATGCCAGTTTTTGCGTTGTTTCCAAATACAATTTTTTAATTAATTTTACCTATTTTCAAAATGAAATCAAGTCAAGTTCTATACAAATCTACCCTTAAATAAAAAATTCACAAATTTAACAACACATAAACTTACTTTATTTGTTGCTTTTTTTTTCCTATTATATCTATTATTTACGCTTCATTTTAATTGCTTTGTTCATTTGCAAGTAAGATTTATTTTTATTATTTAGGCAGGAACATAAATCAGTATTTGGTTTTTGCGCAACTTTTTCTTTGCCCATCCACGTGCATTAAAAGGGCAGTTATGCGTAGATACCTACACAGTTATCTACAAATTGAAACGATAACGATAAGCTTTGCCAATAATTAAAATTTCCATATACAGGATGTCCCGGAACACATTAGGAACCTACATGTATTTTTTAATAAAAATATTTAGTAGATACAATTTTACATCAAACGAGTTTTGGGACAATCCGTATAATTTCCTTTGCAGGTAGGTAAACCATCATGCAATTTCCTCCGTAATTAATTACGCACTAATAGGTACTATATAAAATTAAACCTGCCATAAAATGTGCTATAATAGAGAATGTGCAAATATAAATAAATAAAAGGGCGAGTGCGATGCTAAATTTATCTGCTATCGTAATTGTTACGATGAGTTTAGGAGACTTTCAAATTGTTATCTTAAAAATTTGTTTTTTTTTTCAACGCAGTTTTATTGCTTGTCAATTGCGGTTTTGGCATATTACCGCAATGAAAAGTTAAATAAACTCCCAATTAAACAAACTGAATTCAAATTCTAATTTTAACCTAACCACTCTAGGCAATTTAAAAAATAGGGTCCTTTTACGCATTTTCTAAAGAATTAACAAATTTAAATTTCATTACAAACAATCCAGATAATACTATCAATCGAACGAAGTAAGTACACCGATCAATTTTCAATAAATTACGTTTATTGAAATTATTATCTAATCATTATGCACACAAATTTAATGCAAATATTCCCCGAAACGCAATAATTTTAATTGCCTTATTCTGTCTTCCATTACTATCTTTAGGTACCTAATTTTCACTTCATAAATAGTTAATTTCGTTAACTTAAAACTTTTCTATTTCTACTATGAATAAATACATTTTTTTTGTGCGCAGAACAACGTTATAATAACATATTGCAGTTAAGTTGACTAACCATGAATCAGAATATTCATTTTACTGATAGTGATAATTACAGGCAAAGTGAGCGGTAGAGACAAGGATGAGTATACCTATAGGTAATACAGCCTATTTTTATGACCTCCATTCGCGTAAAACGCGTTTAATGAAACGTCCTGCGAGCGTATTAGATTCGTTTCTACCTCAGCATCTATTCCGTTGATACTTTTTAAGGATTGTACCTACAATTGAATGAAGAATTCGAAATAAATCTATTTAGGTTTTAAAATTCGACGTAGTGATGTGGATTCTTGAGGTTTTGTTCATTCTACTCGCAAACACGATTGTTATGAAAATTACTTAAAATATTTGTAATGCTAAATTTAATTTTATTGTATACGATTCGTGTAAAATATCTTATGAAGCTCTTAAATAAAGCGCTAATAAAAAGAGAAAGTTTAGTGTATGCAAACTGTGTAAAGAGAAAATTATAAACACGACATGAAGAGGAAAATTATCTAAAAATTTTCGCAATTAATAACTCTGTGTATGAACATCCAAAAATAAAAATTCTTTATTTAAATTTCTGAAACCCCAGTTATCCAAGACCGTTAACATAGATTATTGTGTTGTAATTTTCTTAATTAGAGCGGATGTAGTAGGAGGATTTCAACGTTTTTCATAATGCTATTTTATTTTGTTCCATTGATTATTTACCTAATTATCGTTGTTATTGCAGGAAGGTCCTGCTCGCAAGGAATCTGGTAAACGTGGGAGAAAGCCAGGCAGGAAATCGGCAGAAAAAGTGGACATGAAAGCCAAATTAGGTAAACTTGGAAATACCTTACTTGGTTCAAATATAAATAATTTAATTTATATTTTCAGAGCGCAGTCGTCAAAGTGCAAGAGAATGCCGAGCTCGTAAAAAACTACGTTACCAATACTTAGAAGAACTAGTCGCCGATAGGGAAAAGGCCGTATTAGTTCTTCGACAGGAATATGAGCAGGTAACTTGATTTTTAATCCTGGATTCCTTTAATAACCTGATTATTTTTAATTAACAATTCCTTTCTACCTACTAGTTACTCCTTTTGTAACATCTTAATGACTTTAGAAACACTTGATACCTTAATGTTTCTGTAGTGTTACTTTAGATTCCTCAGTACGAGCAGATAACCCGACTTTCAACAAAATGAAGCATACTTTCTTACTAGATTACTCCCTTTGAAATGTCCTAATGACCTTAGAGAGACTTTAGATACTTAAGGACTTTAGACCTTAATGTTTCTCTAGTGTTACTTTAGAGTCCTTAATAGTAGAATAGGTAACATGACCTTGAATCAAGGATTCCTATCTTCCACCTACTAGATTACTTCCTTTGCTACTAGTGTTACTTTAGAGTCATTACCTAATAGAGCAGATAATCAGACTTTCAATCATACATTCCTATCTTTCACCTACTAGATTACCGCATTTGTAATACCCTAATGACACTGACTCAAGAGACACTTGAGATACCCTAATTTTTCTCTAGTGTCACTGTAGATTCCTTATTAATAATTATTTAACAATAGTACCATTTAAATATTTTTGCCATTATCCAAGCATCTGTTTATAAAAGATTTATCTTAATAATATATTTTTGTTGCAGTATCTGCATTGGGCTAAGGAAATAGATGCGGGTAGGATCCCAGAAGGAATTCATGAAGCTTTGGAAGACCTGAATCTGAATCAGAAGCTGAAAGTGAATTGAATTTATTTTGTGATATACATATTGTTGCTCGTACTTGTTTAATTTGAAAATAGCACGTCAGTTAAAATCAGATTTTTAATATTCGTTTTGTATTTATTAATTTTTTGTACGTTATGAAAAAATATAGTTTACCATATTATGATTATATGTATTATTATAGATGATAGATTTTAGATTATATGAAAACGTATAAAATTGATGAGAATGAGTATTGAGTAGGTTCAATGGTCGGCGGACCTATTGCTCATCCCGAACTCTCGCTTTTTTACTATCGATAGAAATGGAGGGGTGTATTAGAAAAAGAACGAGAATAATACTTATGAAAGTGAGAAGAATATTAACAAACTAGGTAATAATTTTTTTAACCAAATAAAATAGAATGAAGAAGAATAAGATTGCTATATTCGAAGTGCTTTTGAAAGGAGCATTAGAGCATTTTCACACTGTGCAACAAATTGCAATTAATTGTGTGAAATTAATTAACTGTGAAAACGCTCTAATGCTTGTATTTATTTAATATTGGAGCTCTTAAGGTGTTTTCACACGGTGCAATATATTGTTATACAAGCCTTAATAAAAATTATCGTATCGCATATGTGTGAAAACTACGCATTTGAACGCTTGTATTTTAACTGCAATGCAATATTTTGCAACAATAAATTGTTGCAATATATCGCGACCGTGTGAAGACGCTTTTATTCTCGGGATTTGAAGGTAAATCGTTTTAACGACAGATTATTGTTAGAAGGCCTTTTATCAACCGGCCATCGATTCAAATTAACTGCATTAAATTAACACTTAGGTACTATACTTGGGCGTCGGTTTAAATTAAAAAAGTAAAACGGGCGATAATTGGACGCAACTTTTCAGGTTGAACATTTATCTATTAACACGTTTTATGGTAGAATTATCGCCGCTTACCATTCGGTACTGCGCTTATTGTTATCAGTTCCGCGGCACCGGCGATTACGATGAATTATATCTTCGTATTTACATTATTCGGCGTTTTTCTATCCGTATCTACGCAAAATTGTAAAGAGTACGGTGAATGGGTAAGTTTTTCTTTTCACCATTCATAGGCATCGCTAATCTATAAATATCTAGTACAATTTGAGGTATCCCGCCGCATGCATGCATGCAATGCAGTGGCGAAAATATTTTTTTAAATCGTTTTTTGCGCTAGTTATTGCTTGCTGTTTGGGTTCGGTTTGTCCGCAAAGTTGCAGGGAATACGGAAAAACTGTAAGTTGTAAAGGTGTAAGCGCAATTAGTCGAAAATTAAAATGATATATTTTGTTCGTTAGTGGTCTATTATCGTTGATTCCTTTCTAATGATAAAAATGTCGAACCAATTTAGTGTAGATGGAATAATTTGTATTCTAAAATATATGCATGCTGTATATTCTCTTTTATAAATGAAAAGCGTATAAAGAAAGATTATTTACTAAGTAATTTAGGTATTGTTATAAAAATATACTCCTGCATAAATCAACATGTGCTAATCCGAGCTCGGAATTGATCCGGAAATAATTTCATTTAATTAACGGATAACCGAGATCTGTTTGACATTAGCTAGCAATCAATTATTTATTCGAATAATTGTACAAAATTGCAACTAACTACGCCGTAATTAGTTAAATTGTTGCCGATAACGATTAGGTATTGCATTAATTATCAACGACTCTTTTAAAATAGCGGTAGGTAAATTTTAATTGTTTTAATAATAATTGAGGAACTGTAAATTGCTTAATTTCTGATATGTTGCTGACTACACGGAGGATTTCTTTATAGATTTTAATTTTCTCATTACTGTATTTTTCCATTAGGTATCTACATAATACTGATACTTATTTTTTTGCAGTGCAGTGATCATAAATCTTGTTGTGGAGGATGCTGCTTGACTGGAATTTGCAAAGACAGTAAGTTGGATCTATTTCTTATAGGTTTATCATCCTACACTACAGCACATTTAACTGTAGACGTCACCTGCGCAACTTTTATATGACAAATATATGTCACAAACTACTGCGCATCGTACTCGAGTGACATGTCCACAACTATTCATGTTAGATTGTAGCTGTCGTTTTATTTTACAGCTTATGCAGACTGTCGCATTCATACTGATCCCTGCTTGTTCCATTCCTGCCCTCCGGACCAGGAATGCTATATTTATGAACCGAAAGATTGTTTGGGGTGCGGACCCACTACTCAATGTCGACTGTCGCCTCCTGCGCCCAGGGAATACATAATATCGTCTACAGAAAGTATTGATATGGGTACGAATTCCGTGGTGAAGAGAATATTCAGCCCTGAATTACTGATAATTCAGTTAGTTGTGTCGTTTTTAGTTTGTTAGTAAATTGTTATGATGTACAGTATGTTAGCTTGTAATTTTTTCTGATGATATACATAAATACGCTTATTAAAGTAGTGCTAGTTGTAGTTATTGTAATATTGAGATTCTATAGTGGTAATTAACTAGTTATTATTTTACTGATATTTGCTGTACATTTCTTTTAGACGAAATCCATATCAAGCTGATAATGTAGGAGAAATAAACATTTTTATTTACAATATTCTCTTATCTCTTCGTTTTGTTTTGCATAATATTTTTAAAGGAAATAACAAAAGTAAATAAATAAGTAAGTTTAATAAATAAATAAATTAATTCCTTAATTCGTATTTTTATCATGTGTTTTCTATGGAATCACTGTCGATATCTGAACAATCTGGATTTAATTCGGCGCAATCTTCAATCTTCGTTACTTTGTCTTTCTGCTGGTATTTTTTGTAGTCTTCATCGCTGCCAAAATATGGTATTATTAGTCACGTAAGTTATAAAAATAACAAATAAATATTAACATATTAAAAGGAGCGATTAAAATAACTGTAAACATTGCCTGCGTATTTATTAATTTTTTACCATTGCGCATGGTACTCGCGTTTATCGCTATTCCTGTCGGGCTGTATCTGCTTTTTAAATACTCCTAATTTTGTGGATTTATAAAGATTTACTTACATAAATAAGTTGAATAAATATTTTGCGACAATGCTTTGTCTTACATTAAAATCTGCTTCACAGACAAATTTTCGTTTGCATGATTTAGTCTTCAAATTCATCTCTTTGAACACATACTCGGAAAGATTCATCCTAAAAAATAAAAAATATCACTACATTTTTAATGTACCTGCTACATTTCTAGTCTTTTTACACTTCAATTTATTTATTTTCTTAATTTTTCACCTGTGAAGTTATTTTCGAGTTTTAAGAGGAGTTTATAAGAGTATAATAAAACTTAATAGAAATTACCTTTTAATAGTGGATAAGAAAAACTTTATGTTTTCTAGCGTGGACTTTTTTCGTTCTGAAGAACTTCTTTTCATATTTGTGGGAAGAGTTTTGTACGAATTTTTATAAGTACTGTAACCGGACGATGGAAATTCGTACACTCTATTTGACGGGTGATCGGAAGAATACGAATCCTTCGAAGGAGATGAGTAGTAAATCGGGGAATCGAAGCTTTTTTCGTAATGGTGGTGCGGGTACGAGTAAACCGCGTGGTGTTTTTCATCTAAAATAAAATAATATTAATAAACATTACATGCGTATGTACCTAAATTAAAATCGCATTGTTTACTTACGTTTAAGCGATTCAGCGAATTTGAAAGCAGCAATAACTTTTCCTACTAGAAGAACAGCAGCCCAAATCGATCCTACGACTAAAATCGCCTTGAATTTGAGGACGAAGAACGCCAAATAATGCAGGTGATATACTAAAAAAATCATCAATAATTTCCATAATGTGTGCAGCATATTTCAAATAAAAGAACATTGAGAAAAGCCTATCATAAACACTCCAGATATACATATAAATCTCTATACCACGTCTCTTATTATCTACTCCTGATGAACAAGGATTAAGCTTTATAAATATAGGGTGGGAGACATTTTGAAACAGTATTAATACAGACTTCCTGAATATTTTTTACTTTTTGTTTAATAATCGGATGGAATGTGCCTAAGAGTCCACCCTACGATGTCATTATTAACTGATTAGTAAAATGTTCTTCAAACACCAATACCAAGTGGTGAAAAATCTAAAAAAAATCTTAATTTTCACAGTTTGAAATTCACAGTTTCACAGTTTAAAATGGGCTACTACTGGTACACTCACCTTAGATAGATTTAATCACAAAATAATATGCCTAGAATCTACTTATTTAGTAGGCATAAGTATCTAATAATCTATATTTAACTAATAAATTAATGAAAATTGCAACGATTCGAGTACTTACAATAATAAAATTTATGATCGTGATGGTGTCCACATCCGCCCCCTATACCGCCGACGCCGACGCCCCGGTCGTCACAGGCGCCGAAATTAACCCCGAAAAATAGGAACAAAATCAAGCAGGACTGTCGCATCGCGTCGGTTTATTATTGTCGAGTCTTTGTGCAGCGAAAATGCCTTTCTTTTATATATAAATCGATAGACAATTGAAATTTCTGTTTGCTTATTTAATTAGCACAGCTTACTTTTGATTTCCATAATATAGTAACGTATTTCGAATTCGGGTTAAAACCTCGCGTCGCTGCCCATAAATATTTGAACAAAAATTATCGGAAAGTCTTACTTTTTTAAAAATGATTTTACTTTCTGATAATAGAAGAGAAGTTGAGTTTCCATCTACAGGAAAAATGGTTTGATGCAATTTTATCAGAAACGCCCTGTAAATATGAAAAATACCAATTGTTTCAGAGTACTTAAGTAAAAGAAATAATTCAGATAAATTATATTTAATTGCCTAATTGATTAAATTCGAATAACTTAGGCAATTTACAAGCAATTTAACTTTTTTGAACTGTCTCTAATGAGTTAATTATTGGGTATGTTGGTTTAACCATCGTTTGCCTTATTTTCCATACCTATTCTTTTATTATTGCCTTACATGAGCAATAGTTACATACAAATCTAAAATGCAGGTAAGTACAAAACCTTCTTTGAAACTCACACTTCACCTAAGACAAATGTATCCCCATCATAGGGCAATGTATCCAAATAAACAACTATCCAGACAAATTCCTCCAAATAAAAAGCTCGTAAAAATTCCAGATAGTCCCGAAAATCGACCATTTCAAAGTAGTAACCTACTGTAATTTAGTATGCGGAGTATGGCCCATCGCCTTCGAAAACCAACCCGTATTAAGGGTGCTCTACAGCACGCACTTTTGGACACTCTTCGGCGCCACTTCGCTCTTCGTCATCGGTACTTACATCAAGCTATTTTCGGAAATGTTCACCAATTTCGATATCGTAATCGTGACCAGAATCGGCACGATCGCCACCGCTTACACCATGGGCCTGCTGAGGATTTACTCGGTGAGAAACGCGGCCGCTAAGGAGCTGATAAGGGAGGTGATGATGAAGGAGGAAATCATCAACAATTCCAAAGATGATGAGTTGATTAAGATTTATTATCAGTGCGTCAGGGGAAACGTTCTTTTTAATTTGGTTTATATGACTATGCATTATATTGGTAAGTGTGTTAAACGTTTATTAATACCATCTTCCTCTCTAATATGTGGCTAGTTTCTATTTTTTTAATTTTTGATTTGCACTGTAATAAACCAAAGCTTTAACAACATTCTCGACTATTGCAATTTCGCTATTTACATTAATTTCTACAGAAGCGTTCAACTTGATTGACCCAGATACCCGTCTCTTACCAGCGATTGTTTAACTACTTTAGCAACAATACAACTCTAATTTTAACGGTTCTTTAGACACAATATCCTACTGCTACGTAATATACCCATTCCTGCTGCCCAAAGAGCCGTACTTCGATCCGGCGAGGAACGAGACGGTGCTGCAGGTACCGCTGCTGTGGGACTCCTGGATGCCCTTCGACCAGCAGAAGTACCATTTCGTGGCGTTTTTCTGGGAGGAATTTGCCACCACCATTTGCGCTTTATGCAATTACGGCAGCGACATATTTTTCTACAGTTTTATTAACTACCTGATAGGCCAGCTGGACATCCTGCATCGCATTTTGACCGAGTTCGAAACGTACAAGGGTAAAATCCAGGAGCAATTGCGGTGCGACGAGGAGGAAGCCGATTTGGTTACATTGCGGTTATGCATTATCGAACACCAAAGAATTTTGAGGTAAACGTGCGGTGGATTTAGAATTAAAATTAGCAAGGAGTTTTGCAGCTACATTAATAAATTCAACGAAACGATGAGAAGTGTAATGCTAATGGATTTCCTGCAGAGTTCGTTGCAATTGGCGATGCTTGCTCTTTTTGTTATGGTATGTATTCGGTTTTCTAATAAGAAACGTTTGAGTACTTAGCAATTAAAGAAGTAAAGAAGGTAAGTGATCAATCAAGAGTTTAGTTTGCTTAGTGAGTAGTAAATTACACACATAAAAGAAGTAATATTTTTAGAATGTTCCCGATATATTCACTAAGCTAGCAACAGCTTTGTTTGGGATAATAAGTTTAGGAAGATTAGCTATTTACTATTGGTATGCCAATGAGATTATGATAAAGGTAATAATAAAGGCCATAGTAGGACAAGCCCAGATATACAGTGTCCCTGGATGAAGTTGACGAGGGGAAAAATCGTTAATTTTAATTTTACAAAGAAAAGTCTTCTTTATAAAAGTTCTGTTTGTCAAAAAATAATTTCATGAAATTCAGGAAAACATGAAATTGCTTCAAGTGAGAAGTACCATTATTTAGTACTTTATTTACACCATATTTTTTAATACTGGTGGAGAATATAGAACAGAAATACTGAAAAAATAGATATCTAAAATTCAGTGACGTTAAAAAGTTAAAACTACATTGGCTATATTGATTTGTTTTTAAAAAATTATATGAACTAAAAGTTAGAATTTTAATATTAGTTTGAATAAAAATGATTTTTTTATAACTTTTTGCTCTGGAAATGTTTAATAATGGTACTTCTCACTTGACTCATTTTAACGTCTCTTTACTTCATTTACTTCAGCAACATCCTGTGCATAAGATTCCAGATTTTAACAAAGGAAACTTATTTTTTTTGGCAACCGCAGGGCTTTTTTATAAAGATGAATTTTTCTTCGTAAAATTAAAAAAATTATTTTTTCCTCTCGTCAACTCCATGCAGAGACCTGTACAGGGTATTTTTTTAGTAAACAGAGTAAGTATTAACTCTTAATGCACTCCTAAAAAATTAATATAGATACTGCGAGGAGATACATTTTACGTTTTTTAGAGCAATTTCACAGAAATTTTATACAATAACATAAAATGGTACGAAAAATCAAAAAAATTCAACACCCTTTTGAAGATATTTATAATGAAAACTAACGTTAGTACCGGCCTGCAAATAGGCACGTTGACGACTATGTCTTGGCAGATATTTTTCGGGGTAATTACATCATTTATAAATTAAATGCCTATTTTTAGGATGGTTGATTTTCGTTGCAGTTTAAATTTAGTTCTACATTTTAACCTCCTGATTTTTTAGGTACTTAAAACAGCTTACTCGTTTTTAACATTCGTTTTGCAAACGCGCACTTAATGAGAAATCATACATTTAATTGCGAGTACATTAGAACTACCAGCATTTATTTAGATTATTAAGAAAAGAGTTAAATGTTTCACTTTAAAATGGAAATAAATTAAGTAATATAAAATTTGTTTTAATTCAAGAACTTTCCACTACTGTAGGTATTATAAAATAGTTATACAATTTCAATATAATCACGAATTGAAAACTACATATTAAAACAATCCAAGTATGTTGTAAATGAAAAAAATCCAATCACGCATACTATTTTATAATAGAAAATTCAGTTCAAATAATTTCCTTAAACAACTACTTAATTCTACGAAACAATACTTATTTATGTACATTTAAACGAACCGAAAAATATCCGATATTAAGAAACGACTTAAGCTAAACATTAAGCGTTAAATTTTACATAAAAAGACCTCGATATATTCACAAAATTAAAATTCGATTTTACATTTAGTCAGGACGCCCTGCAACGCCTTCCCCGTTTCATTCATACGTTGCACTCCGGCCAATTTAATCAAAACTAAAACACGAAGATTGTGCAAAGCCTGCAGCGCCATTATTCCGGCATCCGTTACGTTATTGCATTCGCTAATCGTCAGGTGATTCAAAGACTCGCTTAGAATATCCAAGTGCTTGAGGGCCTCGTCGTTTATGTAGTAGCAATTGTGCAGCTTCAACTTCTCGATGTACTGGCAGTTGCGGAAGTGCTCGAAACCCTCCAGCATGATGTTCGTGTTGGAGGCGTCGATTGCTTGCACTCGAAAGTCCTTAGAGTTCTGAGGCAACTCGTTGAAATCGGATATGACGCCTTTCTTCCACTTTACGCTGCCGCCGTTTCTTAATATCCATTCCGCGCAGGAGAGGTCGGGGCCGATGAGCTCCCTGCGTTCTTTATCTACTATGTTGAATTGTACGTTGATCCAATAAAAGAGGGTTTGCTTCGGTTGGTTTTGAACTATTTTAGGTGTGAGTTTTCGGAGTAAATTAGAAATTAGGGACATTGTTCGGCCTTAAACTAGTTGGTCTCATGTAAGCGTTTCGCCTTTCGTAACCTGCAAAAATCGTAAGGTGTATTACTAATATTTTGGTAATATTGAAGGAGAAACTTACGCAAGCTTCCAAGTAATCGATTTTTCGTTCTAAGATGGTTAGTTTTTCATTAAGGCCAGCCAATTTTGAGCGACAGGAGAGATCTGAAAATTTTGACGTTTGATTTTGTACCAATCAATTGAACTAATGTCGCTACTCACCGAAGGAATTTAAAAAGTCCGTGATTTTCTTGATACTTATCGTAATTATTTCGATGTATTCCCTGTTGACCCAATCTTGTTGAATTTGTTTTTGAACAGCCTCACCTCTATTTGCCATTTTTAGAATTTGTCGTTCGAATTGCCAGAAATTGACATTAGTTGTCATTGTCAAAAACTTAATCTTCTTCTTTTTCGTGGTCTTTTACTTTAAAGATACTTGACAATTAAATAGATTAATTTTGTCAGCGGTGTGTGAAGTACAAAAAATAAGAAACGGAAAAGTACATTTCAAATACATATAGTTAAACCTTCTTGGAAATTCAAGATAGCAATAATGTAGTAATAATGTAAGAACCTTGTTTTTGTATGATTTTGTATACCTTGATTTTATAGATCAAATAAATCCGATTTACGTAAATGAAACTTTATTTAAAAAGAAAATTTCTATATATACATTCTTCAAACATTAAGTAATATAATTATCAATATTAAAAGAGTGTTTGAATTTGTACAAGAGATTAATAATTGTATTGTGTTCGAGTTTACTTTAAACACAAGATTGTAAATTATTCGAATTTCGTCTTAATGTTACTTAGAAATGCATTTTCTAATTAAACGGGTGATGTCTACCATCAGCCATGGATCACAGTGAAAAAGTTAGCAGGCAGGTTCATCCTAGGGAACGAGCCAATTTACTCTCATTGTTGTTTTTCGGGTAAGTATAATAATCTCCTGGTTCAAGTAGAAATGTTACTCTCCCTTTATTGGTACATAAGTGATTTTTTACTGTTATGTAATTATAAAATTTTCACTAAATGTAAGTTTAGAGGAGTTTAATTTTCGGTGCCGGCCTAGTATGCGTTCTACCATATACATATAATATTTGCGGTCTATCTAATATTTTCATGGTTCATTATAAGCGATCTACCTATATACTTCGTCGCCCATCAGGTATATTTAAATACTCGTTTAAATATAATTCTGATACTTCCTTAATACTCGATAAATTGAATTACTTAACTGCTCTTTTATACATAATATAATATCTACTAGTAAAATATTTTCGTTTGCTTAATAGAGTAGGTAGGTATATTTACGTTTATACAAATTCTGGTACTTCCCCAATTCTCGGTAAATTGACTTACACACATGCTGTTTTATAAATAATACAATACCAGTAATTTTTTTCTTTTGTTTTGAAGAGTAAATTTTTCAAATTTTCCTGTTCTTCCAATTTTCTTTTAAATGAACTTTTAATGAAAAAATTCCTCTTATAAAAGTTCATTGTCCAGATTAAAACCAAATTGATTATTTTGTATATCAAGGTACATAATATACGATTTTCATTGTCACTCAATTCCAAATTCTGAGATCCAAAATTATTGGACATTTAAAGAAATATTTATTTTAAAATATATGACAAAATCAAGATCTATGTAAAAAATGGATTTTTTAGAGTTCTGTTAAGAGCTCTGAATAAAGACGGTTCTGTAAAACCCACAGGGATTAAAAAACTGTTTTGGAAATTTTTATCCAAATCTCTAATATATCACTTAATCTCTATAGATATACAGGTACAATATTCACAAATGGATTCAAAAAAGAACTGGAAGACGATGATATGTACGAGGTCATCAACAAATGTCGCTCTAAACCTGGGGCGGATAAATTAGAGCACGCTTATTTGAGTCAAAGGAAGGTCAAATCTCCAGATAAACGAGTATCGATTTTAAAAATAATATGGAATTTATACGGATTGAACTATATCGCATTGGGGCTCATCCACATGACGGGAAAATTGGTGGTCAGGTAACAAATTTTTCGAATAATTAAATCGCTTTACCAAATGTATCTACGTATCATTTCAATAATTTCAAATATTTATTTTACAATGTCACCGCATCATTTCCAGTCCAATAAATCATTTACTAAAGAGTCATTCCCTTTTGAAAAAACGTTGTGTAAATATCAATTTCAATGAAATTGAATAAACTGATTAAAAATTAAACATTTGTAAACTCCTTTAATATCAACAAAAAAGTAATATGTAAGCAAACAAGGAATTGGCGGATTAACTAAATCATTGTTAAGAATCAAATCTTATCAAGTCATTCAAGTTGTATTGTTTTGCTATACGAGAGTTCAATACATTGTATTTAATTCATTTTTTATTATGCTGCTGGAACCAGCATATTATTATCTGCTCATAGTGATAATGAAAATACTACATTTACAGCATCTTAGAGCCGGAGGCCATTTCTCAACTCGTAGGCTACTTCAAGCGGGGGCAGATCAAAATGACCCTGCACGATGCCCTTTACTTCGCTACTCTTTTGATAGCAGTGAAAGCTTTTCACACGATCTACTTCCAAAACTACGTGGTACTCCTGAATGAATTAGCTCTGAAAATTAGAGTGTCATTTTGCTCTGTTATATACAGAAAGGCGCTTCGTTTATCGCCGATGGCCCTCGCGGGTACAAGTTTAGGTATATTTTATTGAAATTATAGCATAAGGGTATGGAAAATATTGATAAATGCATTATTTTTAGGTAATATCGTTACTGTCATAACGAAGGATGTAACGCAATTTGAACACTCCCTTACCACATTTAATGATATTTGGATAACCATTATTCAAACAATAGTGCTCTGTTATTTGATTTACCGAAGAATAGGGTTTGCCTCCATAGTGGGAGTTTCGATTTTGCTGGGGCTTATACCGGTTCAAGGTAAAAATTTATGAATAATCCTTCTACAGTAAACAGAAAATTATTCAGTGAATCCCCTATTTCTATTTAATCTTTCTTCTTTTCCCGAGTCGACGTCAGCCTCTTACTTTCGCTACAGTTGATACAATTTTAATTTTTATGATGGTTTCGTTCATTTTCTAGCTTACACATCTAAAATCATTCGACGCCTTCGACTAAAAATGGCGAAACGAACTGACGAGAGATTGCAAAGAATGCAAGAAGTTTTATCAACGATAAAAACCATAAAAATGTACACCTGGGAAAAAATTCTAACCGACAAAATCGGCGAATCTAGATTGTGAGTAAAATCTACCGAGTATTAAAACTTTAACTAATTTTCCACACTACTCTATCACACAACCAGCAAAGAAATGAAAACAATGCTGAAAACCTCCTACACGAAAACCGCGGTGATAATCTCCAGCAACCTGGAGGCGAAATTCGCCTTCTACGCCATCATAATGATATACCTAGCCCTGCACAACGACATGAGCGCCGAGGACATCTTCTACGTGATGAAGATCTTCAACAACCTGAAGCACAGCATCGCCAGCGTGTTTTCCCGCGGCTTCAGCCGGCTCGGCGAGCTGTCGGCCTCCCTCAAGCGCATCAACCACATCATGGACCTCGAAGAGCTGCCCGAGTACGTCGAAAAGCCCGACGACGAGCCGCAGATCGACTTCCGCAACGTCACGTTGAACCTGGGCGACAAGGAGATCCTGAAGAACATCAACCTGAAACTCGATCTCGGATTGAACGTCATCACCGGCCAGCTCGGCTGCGGCAAAAGCTCGTTGATTAAGGTCGTTTTGAGGGACTACCCGTTCGAGGGAGAGGTCAGGACCAGGGGCAGGAAGAGCTACGCTTCGCAGGATCCTTGGCTGTTTCCTTCTTCTATTAAACAGAACATTTTGTTCGGTGATAAATACGACCACGATAAATACACTACAGTAAGTACCTTCCTTAGAAAAAAAAAGGGTTTGTTAAAAAACCAATTACTTCCATAAGGCATAAGTACATGAGTTTATTGCAGGTGGTGCAAGCTTGCGCTTTGGATTACGACTTCGCAGTTCTGGAGAAGGGCGACGAGACCATCGTAGCCGATAGAGGGATGAACTTGAGTAAAGGTCAACAAGCTAGAATAAATCTGGCTCGTTGCATCTACAGAGACAGCGATATTTATTTGATAGACGACGCCTTGACAGCGCTGGATCCCAAGGTGCAGGAGCACATATTCACCTATTGCATTCGAGGTTTGCTGAAGGATAAGTGCGTGGTGCTCGTCACCCATAACACCAAGCACATCCAGCACGCCAATAAAGTGGTGATTCTGCGAGACGGCGTCGTGTCGTTTCAAGGGAAAGAGATGCACTTCTCGGAGGAGCAGTTCGAGGAAATCGAGCCCGTGCCGTTAAGAAGTATATTGGCCGACAACAATGACAAAGAAGCTGAAGCATTGATCAGTGAAAAACAGAAATTAATTGTATCGGAACCGCCGGTACGCAGGAAGCAAGTTTACCATGAAAACAAGAAAACGGGAAGGGTGGATTCCCACTTATATCTTAAGTACATCAAATATTCCGGAGGGTTTCTTCTGGGACTCTCGATTCTTGTTACGTACGTCGGGTCGACGTTCTTCGAGAGTTCTTCACAAAGAATGCTGAGTAATTGGTGAGTTTCATAAGCCACCCTTTATCAATTTTGAATACATTATAATTTCAGGGTAAACCAAAAATCAAACATAGTAAGCTTCAAGGAAAGGACCATAAGAAACCTAACGCTCGACCTGGATACGTTCGATATCGAAAACAAAACCACCGTCTTCCTGAACGAGACCTTCAACATATCGGTCAACATAATCCACGACATCGGCAGGATGGAGGTCCGAGCCACCAAAACGATGAACATCTACACCATGACCATCATCATTTACGCCGTTTCCGAGTTGATCAAGAACTTCCTGATTTTAAAAATGGGCCTGTCGGCCTCCATCACCATCCACAGGAAGATGGTCACGAAGATCCTGAACGCCGTCATGCCTTTCTTCGACACCTACTTCATCGGTAACATTTTGAACAGGTTTTCGCAAGATCTGAGCGTCGTCGACGAACACTTGATTTTCGTCTTGACGTCCTTTTTGGGGGTAAGTGAAAATATTTTATCTATTAAATGGAAATTGGTGAGATACAGTTAATACAGGATATCGTTAAGATGAAATTAACAATGAATATTAGGTAGTGGTAAATGTAGGTATAGTGTCACTAAAAGTGTATGGTATAGTGTAATCTAGATGGTTTAAGTCTGGTTATCGAGCGGGTCATTTAAACGGATCGTTCATTAGCAATACCTATCATAAAAAAAAACTACGAAAATTCTAAGGCCTAAGGGCTTCTAAGGGAATGTAATTAAGAGACCAATCACCTTTAAAACTGGGCTTCTTTGAATGGGCCGCACATACTGTTGACCTTCCCTGTAGAAATGTTTTAAAGAGAAGAGTAAAATCATAACTTAAGCTCATACAAGGCTACTTTAACAATTTTATCTCTTTCATTCATTAATTTTTCAGTCATTCTTTCACCTGGTTGGTGTGATAGGATTGATTGCCACAGTAAACTGGAAATTTATAATACCCGCCATAGGCTTGGCCATATTCTCAGGCATTTGTCGGACGATATACATCCGAACAGCAAGGAGTTTAAAACGTCTCGAAGCCGCTAGTAAGAAACTTCTTATTCATTTCTCTTCAAATTTCTTCTAAAAAATTCCTAAATTTCAGCTCGCAGTCCGATAGTAGGACATTTGAACTCCACCATGGACGGTTTGACTACGATCAGAGCTTACAAAGCACAGGATATATTAAAGCAGGAGTTTGATAAGCATCAGGATCTTTATTCCAGCGCTTTCTTCACTTCGGTGTGCGTTAAGGGAGCTTTCGCATTCACCATGGATCTGGCCTCGTTGTTTTTCTTGATGTCCGTCATCGTTAGATTCTTATTCTTCGACACTGGTAATGTTATTTTTTCTATCAATACACTATTTTTATTCATTGCTGCCTCAATCAGCTCACATCCTCTACTATTGTCTTCATACAAGCTGGTCTAAATGAATTGGTATTGTTCTAGGATCCAACACAGGCGATGTGGGCCTAACCCTAACCCAGGCAGGCATGCTGAGCTCGATTATCCACGGTGCTTTGATGGTGTGGTCCGAAGTGGAGACGAACATGACCTCGTTCGAGAGAGTCATGGAGTACACGGAGGTCGAAAATGAGAACAAAACCGGCTCGGAAATCGACGGTTGGCCGAACAAGGGCGAAATCGTGTTCAAAAACGTGTCTTTGAAATACACCAATTCGCAGGAAAAAATTCTCAAAGATATCAGTTTCGCTGTGAAACCGGGAAGTAAAATAGGTGTAGTCGGTAGAACCGGTGCTGGGAAATCTTCCATAATATCCACTTTGTATAGGTAAATACAAGAATATTACAAGTGTGGTGCATCTAATAGTTCATGTGCTATTTTTTAGATTATACAACTACGAGGGAGAAATCTATATCGATGGAGTGGAACTGAAAACAGTTGCCTTAACTTTTCTAAGACAACATATTTCGATAATCCCTCAAGATCCCATAATATTCTCAGGCACCATTCGAAGTAACATCGATCCCTTCGACAACTTCTCAGACGAATTGGTTTGGAAAACGCTGCACAAAGTCCACTTGGACGAATGTATTCCCAGCCTGAGCACGGAAATGAACGACCTGAACTTCACCACTGGACAGAGGCAACTCGTCTGCCTAGCTAGGGCTATCATAAAGAAGAACAAAGTGATCGTGCTGGACGAAGCTACGGCCAACATGGACCTCGACACCGAGCAGATAGTCCAGAAAATCATCGATGAGAATTTCTCAGATTGCACGCTGCTCCTCATAGCTCACAGGCTCGACTCGATTTTGGATTGCCACAAAATACTGGTGTTGAATAGGGGTAGCATCGTCGAATTCGACACTCCCAAGGCTCTGTTGAACAAACCGGACGGGCATTTCGCGTCGATGGTGAAAAATGTCGGTTTGCAAGAACACGTTGATAAGATAATGTCGTCGAAGTGAATATTTTTTTGTATTTCGAGATGTATTATATTACCTTGTAGTATTAAATTTTGTTTTAATTTCAATCGAATTTGAGTATACAGTTAAGTGCAAATTTACATGCAATATGGTCTATGGGTGTAACAAAGACACCTTTTATTATTATAGTCTCTACGAAGGAAAAAGAAAGAGTGATATTGTGGAATTGCCACTTTCTCAATCTAACCACTGTTCTTTCTTTGTTCTACTCATAGAATTGACCATATTGCAAGACCATAGTGCAAACAAATTTGCACTTATCCATAATATTATTTGTGTTAATTCTTGTGTCGTTTATGTGTGGTAAGATATAAAAGTAATATTACTTATTTTTTATTAAAACCCCTTTGTTTCTAATTTACATAATCACAATATTCGCAATTGCTAGTGCAATTAATTATTCGAACATTCCTTTACCTATCTATATAAATTCACCTATAGGTAAGTAATAATCGCATTTTCCTAGATATAAAATACTGCTATTTAACGCTTCTTTTTAATCAGGTAAACACTCAACGTGCCGAAGAAGATGGTCCATATTAAACCAACACCGATTCCATTAGCTACTTGAAGATGGTCTATGGACCAGCCTTTTTTCGTCACGTTTCTTAAGGATTCGATGGACAAAGTGAATGGTAGGCACTTAGCAAAGTACCTCAGGAACGGAGGCATTCCTTCTGTGGGCCACATCAAACCTAAAACAATTTTATATAAACATTTACATTCAGCAAAATAATATCCCGCCCTTACCGCTCAGCATCATCATCGGCAAAAATATTCCTGTAAGAACCGTATTCGCCATCGAATGATCGGTACTTATAACGGAAACCCAAAATCCTGCAACGAATAACATAAACAAGAAGTACCGGATTTTCAACTGGATTAATCAAAACTAACCGTAAGACATTCCACAAATTCCCTGCAGATAGATCATGAGATAAATCAACCACAAGCTGCCCAAGTATTCCTGCTGGTAGACAGCAAACACCACTATGAGTAACTCCAAGGTTTGGAAAATGCAAATCGTCGCTTGTAGCACCAGATGGGTTATGGTGATCTCCATGGAAGTCACCCCCGCCACGATAGATCTGTCCCAAACACCGTCGTGTCGGTCCGTTATTATTATTTGAGAGGTCATCATGGCACCCATGAAGAACATTATGCTGTAGTAAGTAAAAAAAAGTTGTCACACATTAATTTGATTATGTATATCAGGTAACGCATACTTGCATAATTATCGAAAAATTGAAGAAACGTAGTAATCGATTTACATAATATTCGAAGATAATTTTTTTATGAAGGTTAACAAGGACAACTTGTAAGAAGACTTGAAAAAATTTGCAAATGGAAGGAAAAAAGTGAAAAATCATGAACTAACGAAGAAAAAATGATTAACGGAAATATTCTGTACTTATATTTTGTAACCTTGGATAATGACGGTAACTAATTGAGAGATTTTGAGGAAATTGTAGATAAAATGTATTCAATTTTTTTGTATGAGTAATATGTGTAGGTAATATACTGTACAACTCACGTTATGAAGCTTCCTGGTATCATAAACACTGTATAAGGTTCGTTTATATCTCCATAAATAAAGTTGATATCTACTGGTAAATCACCCAAACCAGGAACAAAACCACAGTCTTCGAAGAGTTTGTTTTGGTAGTCGGTGTATAAATCGATCAATTTGTATTTTAGTGTAGCTCCAATTTGTCTATCTGTGTAGATACAAAAAATTAAAAAATACTAAGCAAACGTTTTTCTGCTAAACTAAATTACTTACTAGACATATCCATCCATACTTTAATTTCGCTTAAATCGACAATCTCTTCATCAGCATCTTTCCCGTCTTTGATCCTGATTTCCAGAGTATCCGTGAAATTCGATGATAAATACATTACTCCAATAATTTTTCCATGGATGGCGTCTTCCTTTGCTTTATCCAAACTCTCATAATACACCTTTAAAAATCAAATTATCTTATAATAAATTCCTCACCATCTTATACAAACTTATCTAACCTTATCTATCATCGGATGATCCAAGTGAGTCAAAAATCTGCAGCTCAAATTTCGAAAATGGCATTCCCCGTATTCTGTCGTCGAAGGAATAGCTGTACCATTCCAGGAAAAGTCTTTACAAGATACAATAGTCGCCTCATCATTAACAATACCCAAGGGGATGCTCTTGATGTCGCCACCTACAGCGCTCATGAATATCCCGATTTGGATTATGGGAAAAGTCATCAGGAAAAATATACCCCTACAAAAATTCCAGTTTTTTTAATGTATTTTGATGGTAAATACTCCTGCTTACGTAACGTTCCTGTAGAATTGCTTCCAGTTCTTATCCAATAGAGCTTTCATCCTATTTTTATTGAGCGAGTTTTCCGATTTTATAACCGTTTTCTTCTTAGTTAGTATCTGGAATTGAATTATGTGTTAACATATATGGTATTTGGTGGTGAATAAGGACTTACATCGGTGGATCCATGGCCGATTTCGAACGTGGAAACCGAAGCAACGCTAGTTCTAGATCCTGTATTATCTGTTACTATAACAGAGTTGTTCTGATCGTCCACGATCGGTTGGGAACTTATAGCAGGCAGTTTCCCTTCCTCCTGTCTTCTGCTGAGCGTCAGGAAAACATCCTCGAGAGTTTCGCTGTTGAATAATGTCATTAATCGACTGGGGGATTCTTCTGCCAGAAGTCTTCCTTCCCGCATAAGACCAATCTAAATGAAAAGGGGATTATTTGTGACGCCCGGTATAAAATCATATGTGTCAATTTGCGGTGAATTTATAGCAACATTTTATTAGGTGGGATGTTAATGAACATGTCTTTAAACGGCGGTCAAGGTTGCGTTTCAGTAAAGCGAGTTGGTATAAAGATAGAAGTAAAATTATTAATTGGGATCAATTTATATTCAATGTTTTACTTTTACCTTATTAGCCTGCCGGCATTCTTCTATGTAATGCGTGGTAATTATGACGGATGTATTTTCTTTTCTAGTTATTTCTACCAGGTGGTCCCAAATTCTGCAAGAGAAATGTTTAATAGGTAATTTCTCTTGGATAATTTAAATGTTTTGAGCAATTTAAAGACTATTTTCTCTATTCATATCGGATTAGAATTTTTACCTAGCTCTTAAAACCGGATCTACACCAACTGTAGGCTCGTCCATTATTAGCAATTCTGGTTTGTGAACTAGGGATGCAGCTAAGGAGACTCTTCGTTGTTGTCCTCCGCTGCAATTTTTCAAATACCTGTCGAGAATATTGTAAATTGTTTTTAAACAATCCTGCCAAGTTTTGGAAATTTTACAGCAAGAAAAAATCGAGCTTCAGTACAGGAAATTTACCTATCATCTGGTGGTAATTCAAGCAAATCGTGCAATTGCCGATAGCGCTCAGCGATAGTGTTCTCTTCCAAAGCGAAGATCCTTCCGAAATAGTAAATGGCGTCTTTTACGGTGAATTCCCCAACCAAGGCAATATCCTGTAAAAATGTTAACACTTATAGTATATTGCTAAGGGAATACTTGGTTAATTATTTATTACTTGAGGCATGTAGCCTACTCGGGGTCCGGGTACTCCGCTTCCTGCTTCTCCGGGTTTCCCTCCCAAGACCCAAATTTCACCACCATCGATTTTCTTCCGGCCAACTATGCAGCTCAATAGGGTGGTTTTCCCGCAACCGCTGGCACCCAACAGGCCGTATCTGTTAAATGAATAAATTCAACACATTATTAGATTATAAGATTGGAAAATAAAAGGTTTTTTTGGTTGGAAAATAGGGTAAATTTCACTTACATGAATCCTCTTTCGACGGTCATGCATAGTTGCTGTAAAATTTCCTTCGATCCATATTTTTTCACCACTTTATCTACGTACACCGCAAAATTGTCGTGCATTTCTAAAATAAATAATGTCTGGTAAAAAATTGCTCTCTTTTATTGCAAAACATGCAAATTGCTATTAAATTCCAAAGAATTATAATATTATCTTGTCTAATTCTGATTGATTTAAATTTCCTCATCGTGTCTATGCATTTTCGAGCGGTTTAATTGCAGAAAAATAAATTGTTATGCACAATGTTCTTGTGAACAAAGGCGTAATAACATGCCCTTGAAGCAATTGCAGTCTCCATTGTAGTTTCAATGAATAAAAATTAATAGCTTTATTATGCAGCATTTAATGCAGAAAAGTGCATATGATTCGAAACGAGAAGAAAATAAATTATTATTTGTTGATAAATTATTTGTTGATGCACTGTGTATAAAATGTATTTTGTTAAATTTTGTATATGAACATTTTTTAAGGTTTGTTGTTTAATGGTCCATATAAGATTTGTTATTCAAATTATACAGACAAATTACAATGAGCAATGAATTGAATTCGCTTTAATCAGTATAATTGCGATGCAATTATTTATATTACAATAGTTGATTGAGCAAAACTAGATTGTTCCAGCTATTGCTTCATCGTTGCTTTTAATAATCATCGAGCGTATAATTAATTAGTCATGCGTAATATAGGTAAAATACCTATTGTTGTATTTTTAATAACGTAATCTAAATCTTGATCATGATCCAGATGTGAAATTTCAATTTACCTTCCAGTTTCTGTTCCAATGAAGTGGTATGTTGTGTATGGTGTACAGGTAATGAATTTTTGAAAATTTTTCAACACGCATTTTAACAATCCGTCGCGGTTTTAAACGGATACTTAAATTTCATTATATAATTAGTTGCGGCAATATAAATTAAATAAAAAACTTTCACCGGTAACTCATTCCCATGAACTGATGTGTATTTAATCGAACAATCCACGAATCAATATGAGCAAATTTAATTCCTTTTTTTTATAAATTTTAATTTCAAAATTGACCATTGTGACGACTGTCGTTTTGTAATAAAATATGTACCGAGTTAATTTTTTACTGAAATTGAATATTTATTGTGTTCATCGTTTCGATTGTGAATAGATCTCGGGAGCACAATGCAAAAAAAATAATTCAAATAGAAATCGCAATAATTTACTTAATAACGCAACTCGAGTTAATTTTATTATTATTATCTTCAAATTTGTCCAAGATGTGCCCAAATGTATGAGACCAGAAAGTACATAAATACAGCTTCAGTTGATCACAAAGTACAAATGAATAAGACCAATGAAGGAGGAATAAATATAAAGGAATGTTTTCCAAATTGACTTCTTTTTTCCTCGACTACCGTCTTCACTATATCGATTATAAACTCCACAGTGAAATGACCGTTAGTGCTCGTTGCGTCATATGTCGAAGAAAGAAGGTCAGGCTAGTTGGAGAAATTCATTACGACTGTTCCGAAAACAAGAAGTTGCGTGCTTTGCATGTAATATCCTTTATGGTAATAAGTGTAAGGTATAAATGCATTGATTTATTCTATCAAGAGTTTTCGTTCGTTACAATCACCTCCAATGGGCTATTTGATATTATGATAATTTACTGTATGTATACTAAATTAATAATTGAGGGTGGAATTAACAAATAATTTATTTATGATTCGGATTGATTTTGGTTTATTTGCGATACGATTAGAAAGCACTTTTCATCGAATCGTCACGTGTTTTATAATTGAGTTCCACCTATTTAAATGATTATGGAAACAAAATTGAAAAGGTGATAGAAAGCTTCAATGGTGTAGACATTTATTAAAACTGATGAATAAACAAGGCCAGTAGAAATTTGGAAAGTAGAACTAAGATACCCATTATTATACATAAAATACTCGGAATAAAAGTTTTAAAATGGAGCAAACTAAAGACCACATCTTCTAAGACATATTGCGTCTAAATACACCAAACATTAACAACATACACTTTGATTATTTGTATTATTTTGAATACCACACCTTCTACAAAGTAAAAGTACTATATCCTCACCGATTTTAGAAGACGAAAGTTGAACGTATCCTCCACTACCGTCGTCTGAACAAAACCAACTTAAATATTCAACGGCTCTCGAATGACTTCATACCATATTCGGCTGGTTGAAAAAAACCGATTTTTTTGTATATCCGCTACGCAATTAATCTCACTTCGAAATTAAGAATAACCAGTTATTCAAATGAAAATGCCGCCTCGCGAAGACTGGCGGTAAAATGTAACTGTAGCTGGCGAGCGTCCTTGCGCCAACAGTTACCTAATCGCAAGAACACGACCGATGGTGATGGAGAATGTCTGATGGAAATGGAAATATGACTGTAGCACTTCCTTGTTCGTGCGTCAGTGCGATCCCTATTTAATGTATTTTAACATTTTATGTTGTATTTATGCGTATTTTAAGATAAGTTTGTAACGGGTATTCCCCGTATTTAGACGCTTGGATATTTGGATTACTAAACTTTCTTCTTCTTTTTTTTATAAAAAAAAATATTGACCTGAATGTACACCACTGGATTAAACGGTCAGTCATAAGCTTAAGTGTTAAAAGTGTTGCCGATATCAAAACTGACAATTATTGAACTGACCAATAAAATCGCTCAGTTCAAAAATCAATCAACAGAAAAAAGTGACATTTGACAAAGCGCAAACGTCAAAAGATTTCAAAGATTCTCTCTGTGTGTGTCGCTTGTTCTGTTCTAAAAATTGCCGTTGAGAATAAAATAAACGAGACAGCGTCATATATTTATTTTAGTTTTAATCGCAAATACTCCGTGGTGAGTAATTCGAATTTTATTGCTATGCACATTAATCAATTCGCCTATTTCGCATTGACATTATTCCTTAAGTGTGTCAAAAGACCTGCAGCTATTCCTTTTTTAGGTAGACGTGAATGTATGAGTCGTTTTTAATCTAGTTTGTCGATCAATTAAAAAATTACACCGATCGTTTTTTGACGTGCGAAATGGAAGACGAAGAATTCAGAAAACTACCGGCCGACGAAAAGTGCGTACACAAACTGTGGAAAGCGAGGATCGTCGGTTACGAGGAAATCACCAAATTATTCAAAGAAATTGACGATGAAAAATCGCCGGAGTTCGGAAAGTACCTCGGCCTTGTTAAAAAATTCGTGGTTGACAATAACGTAGTGGCCCAGGAGAAGGGCTTGGAGGCCACTTTGACTTACGTGGAACATTACGCTCATGCTGGGAAAACGACAGCTGAGGTGATGGCCGGAATTGTTGCCAAATGCATGGCAGCTCCGAAGGCCAAAACCAAAGAACTAGCTCTCCAGATTACCCTGATGTATATCGAAATCGAAAAGCACGAGATAGTACAAGACGAACTAATGAAAGGAATGGATTTGAAGAACCCGAAAATCGTATCGGCTTGCATCAATGCCTGCACAACAGCACTAAGAGAATTCGGCACTAAAATCATAAACGTAAAGCCACTTTTAAAGAAAATAAGCGGCCTTTTATCAGATAGGGACAAGGGCGTACGAGATGAAACGAAGCTAATGGTTATCGAGATGTTTCGCTGGATCGGTGGCCCTTTGAGGTAAGGCTACTAACCAAGGTTACAGACCAAAATAAATACTTATATTTTCAGGGCTCAGCTACAAACAGCCAACTTACAGGCCTTGCAGTTAGCTGAATTGGAAAGCGAATTCGCCAAAATCGAAGGCCAAAAAGCCACTCCGACGCGATACATAAGATCACAGCAAGCTAAAAAGGCTGTAGTTCGAGACAATGGAGGCGACGGTAAGATACATTAATCATTAAATTAAAATATACATTGTTTTGTAATCATTTGTTACTCTAGCTCAAGGTGACGGAGGTGAAGAAGAAGAAGAAGAGGGCGCTCCGGAAGTCGAAATCGACCCATTCGAGCTACTACCAGAAGTTGAAGTCCTATCGAAAATTCCCAAAGATTTCTACGAAAAAGTCGAGGCAAAGAAATGGCAAGAGCGCAAGGAGGCTCTGGAAGCGGTCGAAGTCCTAGTGAAGAATCCTAAACTACAAAATGGCGATTACGGTGACCTAGTGAGGGCCCTAAAAAAAGTGAGTAGTAAATTTCCGGTGCATTCAAGAACGTTTAATCGAATCAATGCGATATTTCCAGGTGATACAAAAAGATAGTAATGTGGTATGCGTGGCAATAGCCGGCCGTTGTATCGGAGGTTTAGCCGCTGGATTGAAAAAGAAATTCCAAACTTACGCCGGATTCTGTGTGCCTACCATATTAGATAAATTCAAAGAGAAGAAACAGAATGTAGTAACGGCCTTAAGAGAAGCTGGTGATGCTGTATATTTAACGGTAATGTTACATTTAGCATTAGTAACTAGATATAGTTATAGTTCAACAGATTTATTGTTAGTAAACATTTACTATTGCTTTCGTTCCTACAAAATGATGAATAATTGAATGTGATAAAAAAATAGTACCCTGTATTGTTTAAATTCTTGCAGTCTAAGTCAAATTCCTAACACTTGTTTAGTATTAATAGCAGGAATACTTTTTACATGTAATATTTTTTGTAGACTAACTTGGAAGCAATTTTGGAAGATGTCACAGAAGCTCTCGATAACAAAAATCCATCAATTAAAACAGAAACTACGCTATTTTTGACACGAGCGTTTACTAAAACATCACCTGCGACTATTAATAAGAAACTTCTGAAAGCCATCACAACTACTTTATTGAAAAACATGAACGAACCAGGTACAACAAATATACCAATTACCTTGTAATTTAATACTACTAATACTCTGCTTGTAGATCCCGGTGTAAGAGAAGCCACTGCAGAAGCGTTGGGTACTTTAATGAAACTCGTGGGAGAGAAAGCCATTAGTCCGTACTTGGTGGAACTGGAGAAAGACAATTTGAAAATGTCCAAAATCAAAGAGTTTCACGATAAAGCCGAAATAATCGTGAAATTTAAAGAGAAGAAAGAATCGCCGGCCAAAGAACCTCCAGCAAGAAATGCTTCTTCTGCGGCCATTAAAACCAAATCTAAACCAACCAAGAAAGCAGAGATATCATCCGGTTCGTCAACTGTGGTACGAAATAAAAGTTCAAAAGCAATTTCGAAAAGCGAAGATTCCAAATCATCCGCTAGAGGTAACATTGAGTTGCTCGTTTAAAATAAAATAGTAATAAATTTTATATTCAGGCGTAACGAAATCTGCCAGTTCTTATTCGGTAAATGAAGAGGATGATCAGGAGCCGGCCGCAGATCACATGCCCAGAGTGGACGTGAGCGCCCAAATAACCGAAAGCCTCTTGAATGAATTGGGCGACAAGCAGTGGAAGGTCAGACAGGAGGCTCTCACTAAAATCGAAGTGATCATCAGCGAAGCGAAGTTTATCAAGTCGAATTTGGGCGATCTGCCTCAATCGTTGGCCGCCAGATTGTCCGATAGCAACGTTAAAATCGCCAAGACCGCTCTATCGTTATGCGAGGTCATTTGCAAAGCCATGGGGCCGCAATTCAAGCAATACGTACGAGTCTTTTTACCCACGATTTTGCAAGGTTCGATTTAATGTTATTGATTTTTAACCGTCTAAGTTTGTTTTTTATTTTGTCAGGTTTGGGCGACAATAAAGCGGCAATGCGAGCCTCCTGCTTGGATGCTATGAATACTATGAGGGAAATTTGCGGATACAAAGAGTTTTTCGAAAGCGAAATGATTGCGGACGCTCTCAAATCCGGTTCTCCCGCTTTGAAAATCGAACTGTGGAATTGGCTCGCCGAAAACCTTCAGAAAGGTAAAGGAATATTAAGGAAACCCTAACAAAATTATAATCATCGTGTTTGTCTTATTCCAGCTCCTCCCAGTCAAATTTCCCGCGAAGAGCTGATGGCCTGCATACCGCATTTGTTCAGCAACCTGGAAGACAGGAACGCGGACGTTCGCAAGAACGCTAACGAAGCCGTTTTGGGCGTCATGCTCCATCTCAGCTACGAAACCATGGCGAAACAAACGGAGAAACTCAAACCCGGCTCCAAGGCTGTGGTACTGGTTGCCCTGGACAAGGCCAGGCCCAATCTACCGGTCAAACCCCTACCCCCTACCAAAGAGAAGGTCGTAAAGAAGGAGAAGGAAGCGAAGACGACGCGAGAGTCCAAACCGGCATCCAAAAAGGTATAATTTTTACTTAGTATCTACTCTACTTTATATTCTACACTCTAATGTATGGTCATGTTCCCTAGTGTTTTTTACTATAGATTTCGATTCCTATGTTGCTGTTTACTGGTAGGTCTTTTCAGCCTCGTAACCACCTAGAATACCTAGATGATAGAATCCTCTTCCGTTGTCCAGCTGTTGTAAGGTCATTGTTTCTGCCAGATATCACCAATAAATATGAACCTTGGGAGTAAAACAAGTTCTTTTCGTAAAACAAGTGGAGTTCTTCTTCAGGTTTTGTACCTAGGCATAGATAGATAGATACTGCTGGACAGTAACATAATATTTGTATGCTGTCCTCATCAACCTCCTCGCATAGATGACATATTGACTACTCTACTTAAAAATGCTACTCTGAATGCTACAGGTCCTGTGAGTCCGAGTACTAAAGATCCTTTACTAGATACCAGATTTCTAACTCTTCAGGAATGCATTCTATAACCCTGTTACTATACCATTTTGAATGCACGACATAGACCTTAATTGTTTTCGATTGCAGCCAGCATCGAAGGCTTCTACGGCATCGACGGGCCGCAAACGCGAAGAAGAAGTTGACACTTCTCCTTTGCTCACGGTGAACAGTTTGAAGCAGCAGAGAACTTTGGACGAGAACAAACTGAAAGTACTCAAGTGGAACTTCACGCAGCCCCGAGAAGAGTTTGTTGAATTGTTAAAAGACCAAATGGCGACGGCCAATGTTAACAAAACGTTGATGTCTAATATGTTCCACAACGATTTCAGGTTATTTATAAAAAAATTATCATTGTATAATCTTTATAAAATATTTATTTGTAGGTATCACATAAAAGCATTGGAATCGTTAAGCGAGGACATGCTGGAGAACACCCAAGCTTTGATCTCCAATTTGGATCTCATTTTGAAGTGGCTCACGCTCAGATTTTTCGACACGAATCCTTCGGTTCTCCTGAAAGGGCTCGAATATCTCCAGTACGTTTTTAGCATGCTTATTGAAACCAAATACCACATCACGGAAAACGAAGCGGCTTCATTCATCCCGTACTTAGTCAATAAGGTTAGAATTACAGTGGATTTTAGCGACCGACTGTAAACTATCATCTTACAGATTGGCGATCCGAAAGATTCCGTTCGTAACGGCGTGAAAATTCTACTGAAACAGCTAAACATGCTGTATCACGTGAACAAATTGTTCACCTTCGTCATGGAGGGTTTGAAGTCGAAGAACGCCAGGCAAAGGGCCGAGTGCTTGGAAGTGCTGGGTGGTATCATCGGAGAGTTCGGTACGCTATTACGATAATAAAATCTCGTTTTTGTATGTTTTTTTAACGTTGCATTTGTAACAGGTATATCAGTTTGCGCGCCTACGCCAGCCGCTTGTTTGAAAGAAATCGCCAAGCAAATATCCGACAGGGACAACTCCGTCAGAAACGCCGCGCTGAATTGTTTGGTCGAAGCTTACTTTATCATCGGCGAGAAAATCTACAAATCCGTTGGAAATGTATGTTTTTTTCCGAGTCGAAACGGTGATTTACAGTGTACTGTTTATAGATATCCGATAAAGACATGTGCCTGTTGGAAGAGAGAATCAAACGATCGAGTAGAAAAACCACCATTCCTAAACCCGATGTAAATGTAACTGTTGTACTACCAACGCAAAAAGAATGCAAAGAGGATTTGATGAATACTGTGGTTTTGAGTAAAGTGGATACGAATAATGAGATCGAAGAAGATATCGAAGAGGAACACTTGCCTCGTTTGAAGTTAGACATTTGTATTAGCCGGTAACAATTGCTATTATAAAACTGAATTGTATAACAATTGATTAATGTAGTCAATATTGAAAAACGAGTCAACAATTCAGTTTTTAGCGTTTATAATAATGTTTGCATTATCTCAAACATCTTGTATAAAATTGCTTGGTGTTTTTAGTTTGCCTACTGCTGTAACTGAATCGCCGAAAGAGTTCGATGGACCGTTCAGATTAGATCCGGATTTCATGGAAGCCCTGGAAAGGAGCAAACCGCCGCGGCCCGTCAAGCCCAAACTGATACCTGTCGATCTCTCTTTCCTAAACGAAGAAATCAAAATTCCCACCATCGAGGAAGCCAGAGAGCAGTAAGTAAAAATATTGAGTAATTTTTGGGGATCAATTACTCCAAATCCAAAGATATTTAATAGTTGGTGTCGCCAAAAAACATTTGACTTTAATATTGTTAATTAATGGTTTATACATGAATGATTTTTTAGAGTACGGGCTCGTATGGCAAAGCAAGCGAGTGGCCCTAATGAGACTAAAACATGGCTAAATTTGAACGCGAATGTTGTGAGTCCCAACAAGCAGGACATCGTCCTGGAACGGCTGATTAAAAATATCAGTTCCCCTACTAATTCTGTAGTCTTGGCAGTAAGTAATACAGTTTACTTGTTAATTTGTAATTGCTATAAAAATTGCTTTATTTTTTTAGAGCCTCGTGCAGTTGCATGAGTTATTGAACACAACCCGGGGTAACGCTATTGTGGATTACGAAGAAGAATTGATGAAAGCGCTCGTTGGTTTGCTTAAAAATTTGCAAAATATCGATGTAATAACGGATAGTTTTGCTGGTAGATTGTATAGAAATCTCTTCGTCACTTTTACCCATGTAAGACGTCAGCTTTTGTGGTTTTTGAACTACTTATTATTTATTTTATGTTATAGTTCTTTGGTAATCCCTTACTGGGAAAGCACATGTCAAAGACGGTGATAAAAGATCTCATGGATCATATGATAAATTTGTTGGTAGAAGAAAGACTGAAGAGTATACCAGACGGAGATTGTTACGTAAGAATCATAAATTTACAGTGCATTAATGTCATTGAAAAATGTGATCATACCAATACGATATGGTAAGATAATTAATTTTTTTAATCTCCACTCTATTACCTAAAATATTAACATTTTCAGCGCTCTAGTTCAACTGATAACCGAATACATAAATAATGATAGCTCGGGAAGGAGCGTGGATCTCGTCATGAAATGCATCTGGAGGGTTATCAAACTAATGCCTAAATGGGGCGATGAGATCGATTACGATTTAGTGCTCTTGGAAGTGCACAATTTCTCTAAACAATTCCCCACTACCTGGTGGAAGAATCGCGATGATACGCCATTGAGAACCGTTAAAACCATCGTACATTCCAGTACAAAGATTAAGGGAGGTACGATTTTACTACATTTAGGAAAGATACCAAATACGAGCGAATCGATGGTTGAATCTTACATTTTACGGGTACTTAAGGTATGTAATTAATTGAAACATTATAAAAGAATAAATTAAAATCTATGAATTATTTAGAGCATGAAAATATCCGAAATACAACATATACCAGTGAAACAAGAAACTCAACGGAGGTCGCTATCGAGAGCCAATCACGAAATGCTGACGGACATTTTCCAAAAGATCGGCAACAAAGAAGACACTAAAGAAGGTTTAAATTTGCTGTACGATTTCATGCAACAACATCCGGAGGCCAATATAGAGCCGGTTTTGACTAACTGCAGCAAGGTGTTTCAAGATTACATTAGAAACGGACTGAAGGAGATTGAAGGTTCTCGACAAAATCCTACTACAACTTAGAATTTACCTGTTATTTATTAAATGAGCGTTGCAAGGACCTTCCTAACTAAATACTTATTAATTCTTTAACACAACTATTTACTGATCATCATCTATAGTTTTAGCAATGATAGATTACGCAGTTACGGTAGTTCTTGGAACATTTTAGGACCATTAATTTTTTCGAATTTTTCGTATTCTTGTTACAATGATTAGATTGGCGAAGGCGCTTTATAACCCAAAATTAAACTTCACCTACTTGATAATATCACAAAATTTAGATTGGTTTATTTACAAAACCCTAATTTTTAGAATGGAAACGTATGTTTTGTTTAATTCTAATGTGATTTTTTTAAATTAGATTTTAGTGATTTGTTTTTAACTCTTACTCTTTTTTATAAGTATTAGTATGTTTTAATATTATAATAGTACCTTTTTTAGGATGACAAAATGTATATCGTCTCATTATCCTCGTCCATTCATATTTGTATACAGAAATAATAAATATGCATGTTAACATGACACAATAATTTAATTTATTTTAAAAAATGACCATTGGATATTCTCATCGACAAAAAAATACGTTTGCACATTAATTTTAATTTATATTATATCGAATGGTCACATCAATTTGCCACATTATTTTACAATTATTACCTGAGAATACAATAACAACAAAAATAAAAAAAAATAAGTCAGTCAAAAGTTACATTTACCTATCCTCAATTCGCTACGTAGTGTTGAATTGGAACATATCCAAACTGGGCAAATCGAGATTCAGGCAAGGCCCCAACTCCATATCGGGCTCCGTTATTCTCTTAAATCGTTCGTTCACGAATTGATCGACGTTCATCACTTCATCGGAACTGGTGGAATTATCCAAAAGCGTCCCGCCCGAATCCACCGAAGTCAACATCAAATCATCCACGCTGTTACGTATGCTGGATAACTGCAGAAACGAGTGATCTGGCAGCAATTCCGAATCGACGCGAACTGGTGGAGTTTCATTTTTCTTTTCGAAATTATCCCCGACGTGTCCCGATTCTTTAGTAATTTCTGGTTTTGTCGAGGATGAGCTTGGCTTTGCATTCGAGTTCTCTTTACTAAGGTATAATGAATCCATTTCTTTGGTTGAATCACTAGGTGTAGTGTCGTTGGAATTGTTCGGTTTACTCGGCTGTTCCTCCTTCGTAACAGGCTTGTCATTATTTCGTTCCAAATCAATCGGTTTAAAAAAATCTGTAGTGGTGATTAATTTCAACACTGTAACATCTTTGTACAGTTCATTGTCGTTGAATGTATAAAAACCAGGCGATAGTCCTATAGCGTTACCTAAAAAAATGCTCAATTAAATTATAATAATATACTCATATGGTAAATAAGTACCTAAAACTTTATCGACTTCAACGAAATTCTTATTTTGGTTGACTTTTTTGAACAGAGCGCTTGTAAGTAATAGTACGTTGTGTAATAAATTCGTTAATTCCTCGCAGAATTTGATGCCCCTTTGAGCAGAAGGGCATTTCTGAGTAATATCCACCAGATAATTCCACACTTCGAAATTGACATTGTTATTATCCTTCTGGGGAATCGGGCCGTGATCGGGGTATTTCTTAATGTGTTGAATCATCTTCGTTTTGCCTAAGTAAGCTTTCAGACATTTGGGGCACCTGTATTGAGCGGCAATTTTCCTCTTGCGCTGATGGAAATCCAACTGGGATAGCACCGCAGGCTCTGCAGGGGGATTTTCTTTGAACGTTACGAAATCTGATGTTTCGATTTCTTCGTCGTTTTCTTCCTTTTTCACCTCCTTTGTTTCGACCTTCTTGAACACCTATAAGAAGGATTAAATTAGAATTTTAATTACAAAGTAGATTAGAATTACTAACTTTCTCCATGTGCTTGGGGAACTTGATAACTCTTCCCGATCTCGTTCTCGGAGCAGGTTTATTAGACTCTTCTTTAACTTTCTGTGGTTCTTCGATCTTCCGTTTTTTCTTCCTTCCCCTTTTTGTGGACTAGAAAGTTATAAATAAATTACAAAATAAATCACAACAAAATAAAGATGTAAATTACCTGTAATGGATTATTCTTCGGTTGAGTGATTTGATAAACCGAGCTAATCGGAGTAACCGCATCATTGGGGGCATCTAGTTGAATCGTTTTGCTTTTGCTTATATTCAACGAAGCCAGAAGTGGTATCGGTACTTGAATATTATTACCTACATTTGGCAAATAAGTAATTTGTGCACTTTCATCTAAAGTGTATACATCTGTTAGATGTATTGCATTAACACCCTGAAATGGCAAAAGAAGAATAATTAGCGTTCATTAAATTATGTTGTTTACTTACGTTATTTAATTGTAGCACATAGGGCACAGCCATATTTAGGTTCTTCCTATAAAGGATTGTCAGGTAAATTATATATTGATTTTAGATCTACTTATACAATGATTAATAAACAATCAAAAATGCAAAAAACTGAATCTTGGCGCAATTTTAAATTTTTTTAACAAGATCATGTACAACCATAACCTCAATTAACGAGGGGACGCCACTGATTGACAAATAGACAAGTACTTGTCAAAATGTGCCATTATATTTACAGAAATCTGTAATTCCATACATTCAATGACCTAAATAAAGTAACGTATATGATATAAAAGTAGTCAAAATGAATGTAAATATAGCCTATATTTAATAAAAATAGCCTATACTACCTAAAAATATAAAGATTTCCGTTAAATGAAAATTTCCAGGATATACTCGGAGTTGACCAAACGAACAATATTTGACTCTTGTTGACGTTGAAATATTATGACTTATGACAGCAATTGAAGTGAAATGTCAGATATTTGATGTTTATTGGTTATTATGAATTTTATGAAAAAGCATATGCATTCTAAACAAATTTGCGCTATTAAAATTTAACTTTGCCGTTTATTACACCAACATGCAAAATGGCTAGTAATGGAAATTCAATTCCCGATTATCTAGACAAAAATAGTATAGAGTGGGTACCATTAACACTAACATTGGTAGAATATCCTAAAGGTAAGTGGTCCTTTGATCCATTTTTTGCATCAAATAACCCTCTTTTTCTTTCAGACGACTTATTTGGCAAATTTCTAGCTCTAATCAGCCTAGCTCCGTTCGGAATAGGTTCCGGTTTCATAGCTTTAATTCTATTCAGGAGGGATTTGCACACAGTAACCTAAAAAAAATTCATATCATATCGTTTCCAACTAATACTATTTTTAATTGCAGATAACGTTTTTCTTGGGAACGATCGTTTCCGAATTATTAAATTACATTCTAAAACACATAATATGCGAAGCTAGGCCTTTACGAAGGGAAGGAGTCCATGTCGAATATGGCATGCCTTCATCTCATGCACAATTCGTGTGGTTTTTTGCCACATACGTCATATATTTTGTGTACATAAGGTTTGTACCACATTAATTTAATAATTAATTATACTCTTTTAAAGCTACACAGCTTTAAAACTCAATTTAACGATAAGCTTTCTAATTGGTATTAATTTCAGACTTCAACACATGAACAACAACACCATCATTCAGAGTCTAACAAAATTCCTGATACTATCCGCATCTATATCTATGGCTGTTCTAGTCAGCATAAGTAGAGTATATTTAGAATACCACAGCCTGTCCCAGGTGCTGTACGGGGCCCTGCTGGGCGTCCTGTTCGCCACGCTGTGGTTCGCTCTGACCTATCTGGTGCTGGCCCCGTCGTTTCCGCAGGTGGTGTCGTGGAAAATATCGGAGCTGCTGCTGCTGCGGGACACTACGTTGATACCCAATGTGCTGTGGTTCGAGTACACGAACGCCAGAAGCGAAGTGAGGGCTAGAAGGAAAAAATTGGTCAGCATGAAATCCCAATGACACATAATGTGGGACACTAGTCTCAGTTACAATTTAATCTATTACTGTCCTGGGACGTTTTTGAAATTGTTTGGTTGGTTCAAGAAGTGGAAATAGAATGGGTACGAGCAGCTTTTTAATCGACTGCTATTTTTTTTTTGTTTATTTGTAAGCTATATGTGTGTTAGATATTAAGAAAAGAGCTTTGACAGTAGATTTTTCAAGAGACTGATTTACAAAAATTTTTATAAGATTCAAAAATAACAAGGCTGAATCGATGACGACCTTATAATCTTGTGCACTCGAGCTCTTTGCGAGATTTTTAAAAAAGGAAATAACGTATTTATTGACTTAGAAATTATATTAAAACCTATAGTTTGAATATGTATACATTTTATAGGCTATTATATTTAGAAAAACTTTAGTTTTTTTATAGTTTTTTATTCAATAATGTTACAAGCGAGAAGAAACAGTGCAAATACAGTCAACATTTAACACTTTCAGCCATCGGCAAAATGCCGATTACGTCAAGCTTAAATGTCTTACTTGTACAGTGTGTGAAATATTACTATTGATATTCTTGTTAAACAAAATGAATTTTGCTGTTTGTGGAGAATGTAACTCTTTTTTTTTCGTTGAATGGTATACATAGTGATTTTTTGAAAAGTTTGTTCCCACAATGTTTTATTGCAAAAAAGCCAAAACACTTCAATTTTGAGTTTGACGAGCGGGACATCTAACCAGCATTACAATCTTGCTGTTTCATCATCCTAGACAAGGTGTTTACTTTTTTAAAACCTTAAAGGGACTAGGGGTCAAAATAAACATGGTTTTGAAGGCCATTCAATTTTCTTTATACTTTATATGAAAATCTATCCATCCGTTCTCTTCATCCATCCATCCATCCAAACTATGATTTTTTTAATCCCTCTTGACTCCTAGTCCGATTTAAGGGCTTTGAAAAAGTAAACCACCCTGCCTAGGGTGAAGAAAGAATAAAATTGAAAATATGCTGGTTAGTTTTCCCAATCAAAAACAAAATTGACATCTTTTGGGTTTTTGCAGGAAAATGTTGTGCAGGGAAACTTGTGAGGAGATGGAAACTTTTCAAAAAATCACCCAGTAGTTAAAAACTTAACGTCAATTTTTAATGAGACCATTACAGTAAAAAACGTTGTATCAAAAATAATTCAGCTTTTTGTTTTATGTAGTACAAAAATCGTTTTCCTAAAAGTCGTAATATAAAAATGTAAATTAAAAAATGAGTGTTTTGTAGAAAGTTTAAACTTTTTTCTATCCTTTCCCTATTCCCAAAAAATGTAATTTGTATTTTATATTGAGGTCGTTTAGATAAGCCCTAGTTAACTGTAGAATAAATGTCCGGCCTTTAACGTATTCTCACACTAACTCTTAAACTAATTTCCTGAGAATTCAACAGTATAGCAAACAAACATGATGATAATCTCATCTTTACTTTGAACCCATGATTAATCTTTGAAGAAACAAGCCTGTAAACGCTATCAATTTAATCAATTGTTTGTCTTTATATTGATTTGGTATCTGTACGATTTATCATCAATTAATAATTAGGCTTAACTTATCGTTCATTGTTAGATTGATTAGTAAGCAAACGTATGCATATATTACCCATCACAATCTAATATCCACGATAAAATAAAAATAAAAGTAGCGATTTTACATCAACAGAACAAGTTGTCTGTAAAAGAGCGCAGCTCGATTAATTGGTGTAGGAACGGGAGAATAAAATCGCAATTGTAAATTCGCAGGGCATGAAAGGAAACGGATTAAAACCCGGAGCGCCGATCCCTCCACGTGCGCTCGCGTCCACAGAGCATCTCGAACAGGCGCAAGTAGATCGTGGTGGAGTATCCACGTCCACGCACAGACGGGCTTTTCAAAATTGTCGAGTATACTCTTCAGTTTCAGTCGGTTCGGCGTTTCGCAATCGCGATGAACGTATCCGTTTTTTCGTTTCATAATCGTTAATGTAGCGAGAACGCCGCGGACGTGTGCACGTCGCTTATCGGCGTGAAATAATCGACTTGATTTTATTTTGTTATTGGCGTTCGCGATTTCCTCTTTCGGTGGGGACACCGAATGGTTTTTGCGTCGCGACTCGCGTTTCGAAAAATTTTTATCGCACGTTCCACCTGCGCTCGTTGTTCGGTGATTCCAGCGCAGCGGACTGGATGAGCAGTGTTTTCCTGTTGTCCGATTGAGCCGGTTATTATTTGATTTCCAGTCGGGAATTCGACGTGTAGATTTTTAATTTTTATTTACGAATGTTTTTGTTGTTTTTCGGGTTCGCTTAAGTAGCCTTGGCGTCGTCTGTATACTGCGGCAGGTAAAATATTTACCTGATGGATGAGCGGTGTTTAGGTGAGGTGGGAATTGAGGTGAGTAATTGGCCGGTTTCGTGGGCCGAGAGGAATTTTTTTGAATCATTTTTCCCTATGAAAAATACCTACCTATTGTTGATACCTAAAGAATAAGTAGGTATCAATATCTACCATTGATTTACATCCTGCCTAAGTACTTTGTTGCTAAAGTACTCAGAGGTAATAAATAACAAAAAAAGTAAACTTTTCTTTGTAAAATTGGAAGATTTAAAAACGCCTGTAATAGTTTACATTTTTTTACTTTTATTTACCTATTTCTGTACCTGCCTATTCAACTTCAAAAAGCAACTAACATTGGGGCATATATTATCAAACTGGAACTGAAAATAATATTAAATTGGGACTGTATTTTGAGGGACTGTATTGAGTTCTGTATCTCAAACGGTTTCAGAGATATCACCAGAAACATGAATTTCATTGTATTTTACAACATTCTGCATCTCAAATACACCTTTTTGAATAGAAACTTTTTTCTTAGAACCAGCCAGGTATCACCCTTTTTTTCTTTGACTGCTATGTAGCCGCACCTAGGGAAATGTGCACCCTGTACAATTCAAAACTAAATATTATTTAAACCCCAATTTGAACTTATTTAGCTTTACCTGCAAAAACTACCTACTTCTTCAAAGGGTATATCAACCCTGTACTCTCCAAAATTAAAAATTTGAACCTCAATTTGAACTAATTGACTCCTATCTACAAAAACTACTATTTCAAAAAGGGTATATGCACCTCGAACAGTCCAAAAAATATTTTTAAACCCCAATTTGAACTTATTTAGCCCTTTCTACAAAAACTAAAACTGCACAGTTATCCACCCTGTATAGTCCAAAACTTAAAATTATCTAAACCCCAATTTAAACTTATTTAGCCCTACCGACAAAAACTACAACTTCAGAGGGTACATTCACCCTGTACAGTCCAAAATAAATATTATTTAAACCCCAATTTGAACTTATATAGCCATACCTACACAAAAACTAATACTTCAAAGGGTATGTCTACCCTGTATAATCCAAAACCAAACATTGGATGATCCCCAATTTGAGCTTGAGTAGCAACCATCAAAACTTTTTAACTCTTATCTGAACTCAGAAATACCCAGAAAATGTACTAATCAACTCAAAATTTCCATCCTTTAGAGTCCAAAACCACACATCAATTTAACCCCAATTTGAAATTATTATCAGCCCCAACAATACAAACTAAAATACCTACAAGTACTATCACATTAACTAAATACCAGCAAGTACTAAACGCATTAATTGAAACTTATATCATTTCTTTTTAAACTCCTAATTTCATGCTGGCATAATCTCTTTGCACTGTTAACTGTATTCGCGCTGATGCGACCCGACCCTGTCCCTGTTGTTGCGTTAAATACGTTATGTGCGTTTTGTGTTGCACATGTGGACCCAGACCCAGAAGCAGGTGAATCAGGTTTTCAGTTTCAGTTTTCAGTCGGTTCGAGCTGGTTGATTTTAAAGACGATTTAGTGTTGAATTGACAATTATATGGTTGTAAACAACAGTTTAATAAACATGCTTATGGTGGTGCTGTAGAAAGTAGATGGGGAATTTTTATGCGTAAAAGCGAGTACAAGTCGGTTGTTTGTTGTATGAACGGGTGAGTTGGTTTAAATATTTAAGTACCTACTTATTTGATTAGTTTCTGAGCCATAAATGTCGGTATGTGTTTGAGAAAATTATTCGAAGAAACGAACTGTTAAATGCGAGGGTTTGTTTGGTAGATATATAGAGTGTTTTCTATTTTACAGTTAATTTAATAGCGGTTGATTTTTGTTCTTTAATTCTAAATCAATTAGGTATAAATAATTCAAACGTTGCGTCGTCAGTATAATGTGTTATCTAGGGCAAAACCTACTTAATTGTTCGCTATGGAAATTCCACTGGATTATGCTTGTAGAATTATTTACTAATCTAATAGTTACGTGTTCTCGTAAATTTATTTCACTTGAAGTTTTTTTAATTGGAATACACTGTACTGTGTAAATAAACCCTGTAATATGTAATACACATTATACTTTGCATATAAATCAAGTTTCTAGGCACAGATCCATTTTCAACCCTCTAGTATTCAAATCCCTTATAACGATGCAAGGGAAACTTGCCATACAGGGTATCCCATTATATTTGCTCCATTGCATTTATGAATTTTCTACATATTAAGAGAACAAAAAAATCTACACCCTGAATTCCAGTTCTTATAGAGAATTTAATTAGTATTTATTGGGACACCCTGTAAATTGTGTAATATCCCTGCCATCAACATTGTCTAATAACTTTTATAACGAAATTCAACCTAATTTCCTTAAAATTGCAATTTTAATTAATACCAAATTACTCCTAAAATAACGAAAACGGCTACCATCGATTACGTAACCGTTATGAAACGAAATTAAAAAGTAATTAAAAAAAACATAACCACTCGAGAATAATTTGAATTTAAACGAAAGAACAACCAGGGAGATTAGTTTTAACAAATTGAAATAAGTAGATGTAGATCAATTTTATTTTCGATCGTTGGTTTCGTAAATATGGTTGTTTAAAGTTTACAACCGTTAAAACTTCACGGCCAATGGCCGCACGAACACGTAATTCGTCTTACTTAGTTGCAGTTGCAGCCAGTATTTAATTTTTTTACCTTAACGCATCGGGTTGTTACATACAAATCTTCAGCGCATCAATCAGCTTTAAATGCATTCTATTTCCGAATGTCCATAAATATTCGCTTATATGCATTAACGGAAAATATCGAAAGCACTGATTGAGTACGCATAAAAATTTCGAGTTCGAGTTTTATCGACTTAAAAATAGTCCCCAATCAACGAAATGAGCTCTTTTCATACGCCCGAGCCTATTATTTCTCTACCCTTTCATGCACTTTGTATAAATTACTGAAAGAATGAGCACCCTCTGAAATTTGTATTAGTATATGGGTATCGATTTTATAATCAATGTGTACAGAGTGGCGCACTCTAGTGTGACAAAACTCTTGTTAACGTGCTGATAGTTTTTTTGCAACACGAGGGTATAGTTCGCGAAACGAACCGCGAATAAGTCGTATTATATTATTAGATCTTCGATTCTCCGAGTAACTTTGTGTTAATTCTTGCGGCGCTCGAAGTGTTAATGAACGATAAATAAATAAACGAGAAGAGGAATATATGATGTGGTAATTAAATAATTTGGGTTAGCGCTGTTTGCGTTTGTTTCTTGAATTTAAACTTTCAATATGTGCGCGTTTCGTTAGTGCATGTGAGAATATTTGTATAAAGGATTTATTACTTTTTGAAACGCCAATTACAAAATTACCTCATTATCTGAGAAAAAATCTACTGTATGGATTTGCTTAGTTAGGTAAGAATGTTTGAATTTTGGGTTATTATAAAACCAAATTTTCGTTCATATTCACAATCAGTTTGCGTGTAGTACTGGTGTGCAACTAAATTCGGGCGTTCCGAGTATTTTTAGTTAATTTTGATGGTTCCTTCATGGTATGAGGTAGTATTTATAATTAGAATATGAATAAAGCGTTTTTCTACGCATTTCAATAGTTTGATAATTGCAATTAATCGTATTTAATGTATCGTATGTTCTCATTGTTTTACAGTAAAAACGCTTGATGGCCTTGGACCAATGTTTGTTTTGTAAAAATACTTTATGAACGTGCATTTTCAATTTGGAATTTGAGTTTGCTTTACGATATAAAAGGAAAACATTGTCTATACATTTATGTAGTTATTTCTGTATTGTACAAATTTACTTTAAAAATTTAATTTTGTTATAAATATTTACTTTCAACTCACATGTTTGAACTCACATAACACCGGATAAAACGTAATTTAAGCGCATAAACATAATTAATCTACATTCATTAAAAAATGACAAATTTATTGTGTAAAGTATCCCTTTATAAAAAGATTGTTAACAAGTGTTGTAATAAGCCCAGCAGCATTTAGTTGCATGTGGGCTTCATAATAACCAATCCCCTATCCCTGTCATACGAGAGCAGGAACATGTAGGTACCCTTTTTTATCATCCAATGGAAATTTAATAGCCATTATTTACATGCTTGACAACGACAATAGAAATAATTTGTAGGTATATTACTTGCGTAATAATCAAACAACGTTGCCTGATCGTTTATCCGATTAATCACAATGATTGCAATTAATTTTTCCTTGTTTGCAGGATTTACCGAAAGACGAACTCGACCCCAAAACGAATTACAACCGCATCAGGACGAAATTAGAAAACAATGAATTAGGTACGATAAGAATCTTGGAAACATCCTGTATACACATATACCATTATTTCCCAATGTGTTCGATGCAAGCAACGTGTTTACGAGCTAACTGAAAATAGCTTTATATTTAGAAAACACCCAAGTGTTTATAGAGCGATTACTTATTCAATACACACAAAGTAAACCGAATCAATATTTCAAGCTATCTGAAATCACAAACAGAAATCTGCAACAGCTCAACTGTTGACGTTAAATTGCGATTTATCTCTTGGGATGCAATCTGTGTGTTTGTACGCAATAATTTAAATCGCCGAGCGGTTTTCATTTCGTTCGATACTACACAGTTCTAGTTCATGTAAACTGCAATTAACCTCTTTTCGTTTATCGAACGTTTCTTCGCTTTCAGTAAACTTTAAGAAGGTTGATAAAACATCGACGATGATACCGGAAAATTTGGACGATTCGGATAATCCGAAAGCTCCCTTATTCGACGAAGACGGTCTGATAATCCCCAGGAAGCTGCCCAATCCTGTTAAAGAGAACGCCGATAGGCAAAACTTGCACAGGGAGCTGTTGTTTAATCAAAAAATGTGAGTATACACCTTTGTTATATTGAATTGAACGGATGTAAATTGGGCGCAAAAGGGATTGTAGGTTTTAACCTTATAGGTAAATTGGGCGCGGAGAATTAAAGGTGTGAAACATGTCAGGTAAATGGGGCGAAGAGTCTCCGGGTGAATAATCACAAATAATTCTTTTGAACGATGATTGAGAATAAAATTGTAATTTGCAGCAATGCACACATTCTATTTTTCAATGTAATAATTACAAAAATTAGCCTTTAATCAACTAATCTACTTAATCTACCTTTAATCTACTTTTAATCTTCATGGTCTATATACTCTTGTTCTTCTACTATCTTCTTCCACTTTCTTCATCTAGTCTCTTCTTCTACTCTCTTCATATACTCTCTTCATTTACCCTCTTATACTACTCTCTTCATCTACTCTCTTCATCTACTCTCTTCATCTGTTCTCTTTATCTACGCTCTTCTTCTACTCTCTGCTTCTACTCTCTTCTAATCTCTTCTACTACTTTCTTGTTCTACCCTGCATAAAGATGAACAGGCATCTACTCTCTTCATTTACTCTCTTCTTCTACCCTTTTTTCTACTCTCTTCTTCTACTCTACCTTATTATAAATTACAATATAAATTCGTTCATTGTTTCATTGCTGCTTTTTAAAACAATGTTATTTTTTTCAATTCCTTTCAAAGTTTGTAATCATTTTAAAATAATCTTCTTTTCTACCTGAAATATTCAAGCGCCTAATTTATTTGTAGGATTAAAATACCCCGTTAAACTCTCAGGAACTAAATACATTCCAATTTAACACCGCTGATTGAATTTACCTCGAGGAATTTTCCTAATTTGTTCATAAATTATAAATTTAGTCATGCAGGTGTTTATGATACTAAAAACATGTTGACTTGGGTAGAATTAAAAAAATATGATAAATTTGTTGCTATAAAATATGGTATTTTTTTAAATTGACGTCAAACTTTCAAATATACCTTACTGTGAATTAATTAGGTATTTGGTTGGTAAATTGATTGTTAAAATTCAATCAGGAATTTTGCTTAAAAATGTGACAATAAAATTGAAAATGTAACTAATAACCAAAAAAAAATGGGTCCTGTGTGGTTAGAAATTCGCCATAAATTTTTCATTATGCTAGTTGCCAGCGTGACAAAAATATTATCAAATTTATGCATTTCTCCTGATTTAGTTTTCGCAGGTAATCCTCGATATTATCTAATAAAATATTAAATGAGAATTATAAATTATATTTTCGGACACCGAACATATGGCGAACGACGCAACTATTCGTCTAATTACGAAACTACGCTAATTTTTCATTTATTTTTTTGTCAAGTGCATTTTAATGGGCGACAGACGGAAGATATTAATAAAACTTTTAATGGTTTATAAATTTCAATTTACTGCTTATAAGGTCTTTGACTTTAATGATTGTATAGAAAGCCACAAAAATCTAAGATAATTTTTGTAAACTACGAGAACGAGGAGATTTTATCTTACAAGTGCTGTACTAACAGTCTTGTCAACATTATTTATAATGTAAGATAAATAGTATATGCATGTTTTAGTTGTAAATTATACATTGAGATGCAAAACTGCATTGCCAACGAGAAGCGGAATATCTTTTATGATTAACAAGTGCATATAATCTCTATATTGATCAAAAAGACAATTACGCGTACATATTAATTTCTTTTCCAACAATCGATCGATGGGTACTTATTAGAATATTGAACTCTTCCCTTTCCTTCCTTTCTACTGAATGCTGTAATTCTCGCAAAATAGAAAGTTATTGGAGAAACCAAACACTGGATAATTCGCTAAAGCTACAGTAATTGTTTTTGTAATACGTTTTATTACTTCGTTCAACCAGCAATTATTACGCATAAATGGTTTTAATTTATTATCCCACAATACCGAAGCGATGGATTGAGGAAATGACACACTATATACAAAAATTAATCCTGCTACAACTGCATATTGTGCAACAGAACTTCCAATGCAACGCAATTTCCTCGCTTATTCAAATCTATTTAAATTTATAGTCATCTAACAATCGAATATGGAACAGATACCTGATGCTTCGTCGATAGAAAACTTGTTGCGCGAATAAAAAGGCCAAGTTCCAGAAATGTAATTATTAAATATTCAGTAACCTCGCCTTCGGCGAAGGACATTTTATGGATCGAATTCTGCGCGAAACACGCACAAGACATATCTCGAATACAGTGCAGAGTCACCTTCAAAAAGGCGCATCCTTGTAGAGATCCTTCGAGTACACGTGTGTGTAATACCTACGAAGGTTCAAGGATAGTAAATAAGTAAAAAGGAGCACAAAATGTATGCTGATGCGATGATAATTTGTAGCAAAAAATGTTAGTTGAAGTAAAATTGTCGATTTCTACTTGTTTGAATTAAATGAAAAAAGTCCATTAGCGCGCTCGCAGACTGAAAACGTCCATTCGGATAAGTAAATTTTACATTAAAGTGTATTTAATTGTAATAATAATAGCTGTTACTTTCTTTAGCCGCAATGCGAATTCGACGTGACACAGTTTCTTTCTTAAAACGGAATGTTTTAATGAAAATGAAAATAAATTTACGACTGTTTCTCTTCAGTCAATCTCTGGTGAACCTCTGTTGTAACCAATAAATCACTTTATAGTGGAAGTGGTTGGATTGATAATAATGAGAAATAATGCAAAATGACTACTTAATAGCAAAAAACAGATTTATTATAGTTATTTTTATATTGATTTCGCCTGTTTGCTATACTTAGTTGCTTTTCTCCATAACTTTACCTCTTAATAAAAAAAGTAGTACCTAATAGTAATTTCAATAATAATTTTTATATTGATTTCTTTTCGTTACTTTAATATTGTATACTTTTCTTTCTACATTTACTTGAAGAGAAATAAAATGCTATTGCATTTTATGTAGGTACCTAATATTGTAGGACCTACTTATTGATTTTTTTTAAATAGTAATTTACCAGACTAAATTACAATAAAAAACAGTTTTATTTTATATTTACTTTCATATTGATTTTTTCTCTATTTTTTAATATACATAGATACTTTTCTCGCTACCTTTATACCTTACTTGATGCGGAAAAATGCAAATTATTAGATAAAAATTTGTTTAACTAGTGATTTAGGTATAACAATAATTTTACAGTAAAAAACATATTTATTTTATATTTACTTTTGTATTGATTTCTTCTTTCTTTAATAATACTTTTCTCCCTACCTTTACTTGATGAAGAAAAATGCAAATTGTTAATTGAATTTTTTAACTAGTAATTTACAACAATAAATTTACAGTAAAAAACATAATTATTTTATATTTACTTTTGTGTCGATTTCTCCATTTTTGTTTATACTGTTCACCCTACCTTTACGTGATGAGGAAAAATACGAATTACTATAGTATAATAGAATTTTATTCAACTATAGGTATAGATACGTAATTTATCTAGAACAATAAATTTACACTAAAAACAGATTTATTATATTTACTTGTATTGATTACTTCTCTGTTCTTTAATACACTTTTCTCCCTACCTATAGCTATTTGAAAATTCATTTCATTCATATAATACTTTCATATGTATACATTTTTTCTCTCTAGTTTATTTCACTTTTCTCCCTAACTTTACTTGCATATGAATTGATCAATAAACCGCATTTTTTCTGTACTTTCAGAGGTAAAAATGTGTTGAACCAGAAAACGGAGCTGCAGCGGGCCCTCGAGAAACAGAAAGAGAATCTGGCGAAAAAGCAACTGGAAGAGCACATCTCGGCGCAAACTCCGGAACTGGAAAAAGTGATCGCCGACAGAGCGAAACGCCTCCAGAGTTCGCACGAAGATAAGGTAAAAATAACCCGACGGAAATAAATCGGTTACATAAACGCAAGAACACTTATCAATGCTGAATTTAATCAATTAAGTATACGCGGTACAAAAATAACTGAGGCCGAGCAAATGAAACTGGGGCACAAAAATTTACCGTGGGCATTAAAACGAAACGAACCCTTATAGGGGTAATTTTATTATTGCGCGCCAAACTCGTTAATCCATTTACATTCTTTCGCTGCTAATTTCCCCATTTTACGAACTGATAAAAACTGGTTTACGTGAATGAACGAGTTGTTCTTTTTTGTTTCAGAACGAAGACGATAAAGTCATCAATAAAGAACTGCTGCAAATTCGAATGAACTTGAAAACTCGAACGGACGCTAACAAATAGCCCGACTTCCGATGCATTTAATTATTTCCGAATTATCAAGAGCTGGTAGATTTTAGTTTTTAGTTCGAGCATTAACAAAATGTGCGTAACGCCATAGAGGAATGCCTAGAGTATCGTTAATTTATTTTTTATAATCTTCCGAAGTAAGTTTGTGGGCAAGTAACGACGGCAATCAAGTACAATTATACAAGAGATTAATCGAAGAGCAAACTTATTTTAATAATAATAAAATTAATAACGAGCTAAAATCAATTTATAGAACGTTTAAAATGCGTATTAGATCTATTTTTGATAGTTGTAATATTTTTAAAATATCACCAGATGTAATTTGCGAGCATTTACCACTTTGTATGTATCTTATCTTATAAACGAGTTACTGCTTTCTAACAAAATTTTTATCTATCAATGAAGTCTTCTATACGTTCCTCCAATAAAATATCCTGCGTGATATGGCAACAGTGGATTTAAATTTTGGGTAGATAGGAGTTGTTACTAATGCTTCCGCAGTGGAGAGATAAAATTCACATAGGCCTAATTGTGCGTAAAAAAATTAAATCACTTGATGTGCCAAAATTTTATCGAGAAATTTCTATCAATATTTTGGGAATTATACACTACGTGATTTAAACGAATACTTTATTCTCTGATAGAATAGGTATTAGAAGAGGTAGATATTTTAGTTTTCATTACAAAAGTCTAAAAGATAAACGGCACGCAGTCATTTGTTGTAATTCTGTGACTTATATTTTAGAATTTCATCAAACAAGGGTATTTTTTTTTATTTAGTAAGGTATAATAACGTATCTGTGAAACTTTAGTTTTAGGTATAACTCAAATTCGTTTCTATTAAGATATAAACAAGCAAATGTATCTTAATTTAAGTGAAACAATTATGTGTACGTGTAAAAAATAAAGTTTATTTTGCAAACGAAAGCATAGTTTTTATTCATTACCCTACTACGATATAGTAATAATTATTTTAAAAATCAGATATAGTGACCCTCATAAAAGTGAAAAGTACGCCACTGCTTTCATAGAACGTCATCTATTAGACTGCAACAAAAATAGTTCTCTAATTTTATCCAGCGTTCTGTGATTCTCCTGTTAAATTTTAATTTCAGAAAACTGTAACCGAAGATACTAGTTATTGAAATGTTCTTATAGATGGCGCTTTAACAATAAGTGCATAAAGTGTTGCCTACATTAGTTTTATAAATTTGATTGAAAAATAAATGTACAGGGTGTTAGCGATAACTACAGTACTTACAGGGTGACCAAAAAATTGACAAAGTTTCTTTTTTTAATCTTTAATATAAATTTGTATGAAAGTACATATTTTTAAATTACTTTTGAATAGAAACCTAGAGCATAGAAAGTTATTGCATATCTATTTAGCCTAAGCCTTTAAGCCCAAGACAAATAGCCCAAAGACAAAATTGCACGAGATTGAAAGCCTCGACATTAAAAACATATCACAGTGCAATTATCACAAATTATAAACTTGTCGATCTATTTTTAGGACTAATTTAATCTTTATTAAGTTGTTTTTTTATCAGGCATCACGATTAAATTTAAACTGATTATAAAGGGTGTATCTAAATAACACCGATAAAATTCAAGAGGTGATACTGGGATTAAAAGTAAGGGGCTACTTACTTGCTATAAAATTTTGCTTGCTATAAAACCCTCTCCGGAGGAGTTATTACGTTATTACCCTTCCGAAAATGATTTTTCTTCTTTATTTTCCCTGTACCTTAAGATAAAGACAAGAAACATGCATGGGGGAAATATTTTTGTCTTATTTAAAACTTAATCATTTACAAGAAAAAAGAAAAAGAACAAATGAAGGATACAGGGGAAAAACGACAATAGTCCATTGTTTTGCAAAACTAAGATCACAGTTTATTATTATAGCATTTTGTAGATACTATCAGATAATTAAATCTTTAAATGGTAAAAATTGCTCAAGTCCGCAAAACAACAGCTAAAAGATACCTTTTAATTTCACTTTCTAACGAGTAGGTAAACTTATCTTTTAATTTTTCTCGATAATCTTTTAGAAGAACTATTGTCGTTCTTCCCCTGTACCCTTCAAATGTATTGCATTAAATTGCCAACCAAAAAAAATGTTTTTTCAAAAAATTTTCTACCAAGTACCCACCTTAATTTTCATCACAATATCGCCCTAGTTTTTCGGTGTTATTTAGGAAATGAAATAAGAAATATCAAAGAATAAGGCAATGATGACAGTATTAGATTTACCAATCATAGGATAGCTACAGACCGATAGATACGATAAATATATGGGAGTTATTTATTTTTTTAATATTTTTTGGAAAAATGTCTAATCTACCTATGATATTAGATACTCTATTAGATAGATAATAGTAGGTATAACTAGAGTTTTATATTATTACATTAAATAAAATGAAATTATAGTTTAGAATTAAATAGAATTGAATGAAAAAATGTCTTATAGAAACTCCGAAAATGTAATGTTTTCTTTAATTTTACCGGAACTGTTTATATTTCATAATACCTTGTGTTGGGAGATTTTGGCTTGGGTTATTTTGTTTTGGGAGATTTTGTCTTGGGCTATATTCTACAGTGTTAGAAAATTTTTCGCGCATAATAGGGAAATCAATGTTAAATTCTTAGCCGGCTGAAATCCAATCTACCAGTGTACATTTCAATAGAACGTCGCGATCAATTCTAATAAATTTAATTGTTCTACTGGACCGCACGCCGCGATTTGTAGAGGTACAAAGTTATTTGTGTTAGGTATGAGGTACAAAATTATTTAGAAACTACAATTAATAGGTTTTTTGGGGATATTTCAAAAAAATGTGTGTATCGGTAGGTACAGTTTTGAAATAGCAACAAATCTTGTTAAAATAAGGAAAAATAAGGAAAAAATAATTCAATTTTCTGCTAAAATTACACCTCAGCTCAGTAATATGAGATGACATCTGTATGACAGGTTTGGCTATTGTTTAGCAGAAAGCGGTGGACTATTTTTTAGAGTTCTTTTATTTTCTATTTTAAAATAATCTTTAAGTTTATTTTTGGAGTATTCTTTTTATTATTTTCTTAGAATTTACTTTCTTTTTCAAGCCATTGTGGCAAAAAGACATATCTACATAATTCTATTTTATTATTAGTGATATTTTTTCAATAAATTATCGTTTAAAAATTCTCATTTCTTTTTAATCGACTCGACGTTCACCCATCCGAACCCGTTTTGATACTGTCGAAGTGTCGAAACCGTCGAAATTATTTGATTTTTAATCTAACCAAGCCAAAGCGCGGTGTGAAGTACAGTAGAACAATTAAATTTATTAGAATTCATCGCGACGTTCTATTTAAATGTACACTGGTAGACTGGATTTCAGCCGGCTAAGAATTTAACATTGATTTCCCTATTATGCGCGAAAAATTTTCCAACACGCTATATCTAAATATAATAGTACACCAGCTCCTTCATAACCTACAGTCTACAGTAAACAGTCCGAAAATCAACTAACAAAACTCACAATATACAATCCATTTAAAATCCCACTTTCATTCGAAAGACAACCATCTCGCCCATTAAATTTACCGTCAATGAAAAATAACGTTCGATTTTTCACGCATTGAAGTCTCCAGCGCCTTCAAAAGACTCAATTAAAAGTCATCTAATGAAAAAACAAATAGCAGCAGCTCCTCAGATCTTCCATTGATCAAAGGGGCCGATTGTCGCCGGTCTTTTTTAATTTTGTCACAGGAAGCTTAGTAGGTAATTCATCAAGCGAAGGAAAGACGATACCTGACACGCCTATCCCGTGCATGCTTTTTGTTTTCGAATCTTCTTCGGGATCTCTTAGGTTTATTGAAGCTTTATATAATTCGGAATATTGTTGAATTGATTCCATATATCTTGCCTAATTAAGCTTTGTAAATTGTAAAAACTTGTACCCAAATGATATTGATTCAATGTATGACTAATTACGGTATAATATGTATAATAAGTATAATAATTAGTCAAAAACGTTTATAGGTAAGTATAGATTTTTTCACAATTTTATATGACATTTAGGAAGATCTTTGCAACGTTATAGGATTAAAAGAGATATATTAACATTTTAAATTTAGTTTTCAAAGAATCGGAGCTCGCAAAAAATAGATAGTTATATCGTTAACTTTTTAGTATCGGTAACGCGTTCTGTGAAAATGTGGCCAATTAGAATTATAGTCGGGCGAGTTTAAAAGAAAATCTCAACATATGACGGACAAAAGGAAATAGGCGTGACGCAGAGGAGGACGACAAAGATATCGGCGGTTTGGAGTCTAGGCAAGCATGAAATATGGCATAAATTATGAGTATTTCTTAGGCAGATTTATACCTACCGATTCACTTAGTTAGATCATTAAAAATTAATAATTATTGTACTATTAGCAGATAGATGACGATGTAACCTGCTTATTTGAAAACGGGTTCAATAACTTTGGAAATTTGTAAAATTAAGTAGGTATGCTGATTTAAATAATGAATAATAGATTATATAAGAATTCAAATTTTAATTTTTCATTCGCAGAATTATAAGAATCATTTTTATAAGAAAAATTCATGCCGCGGTCTAATATACGGTAAACTTGAGTGGGTACTTACCTAACATCTCCGCATATCTGCAAATGTATAAATATATACAGTGTGTGTCACGACGAGGGCCCATTAGAAGTATCTGGAAAAGTAGTTGTAATTAAAATTTGAAAATTTGTGTACAAGTATTAGTCGATGCGCTCTATTCAATGAAAATATTTTTAACTTTTCTTTACTTAGGGTTATACCGGAAATGGACAGCAACTTTGTTATTTTAAATGGGACACCCCATATATTAATATATTTTCGAAATGTACGCAAAATTTTAGAGTGCTTTTGTCTAAAAAACTTTTTTCAAAAATGCATACTTTTTGAGTTACTAATTTTTTTTTGAAAAATTTGACCGATGCAAACCCTTATAAATTATTTTTTACGGGGATCCCTTTAAAGATATGGATACGGTTTCTGTAGGGTGGCCACTAGCAAGGTCAAAGGTATTTGAATCTGTGTTAAAAAAAACTTTTTATTTTATACAGGGTGTACACAAAACATGTGAAAAGTTGAACTTCAAAAATACCAAATTATTTCATTTTTTTAAATGGAACCACCAATTTTTTTCTATTTTATTGAAATCAGCGGTAAAAAATTAGGGAAGTTCATGTTTACTTCCCTATACCTAAACCTAATAGTTTTGAAGATATTGAATATTTTACATAAATCTTACTTTTCTGCCTTATTCTTAAATAACTTTGTTTTACAAGTTGGTCATGTAACATCTCACAAGTACCAAGATTAATAATCAATTAATTAGAAACAATTTACATGGCCAACTTGTAAAAACGGATTATTTAAGAATAAGGCAGAAAAGTAAGTTTTAAGTAAAATTTTTAATATTATCAAACCTATTAGGTTTAGGTATAGGGAAGTAAACATGAACTTCCCTAATTTTTTACCGCTGATTTCAATAAAATAGAAAAATATGGGTGGTTCCATTTAAAAAAATGAAATAATTTGGTATTTTCGAAGTTCAACTTTTCACATGTTTTGTATACACCCTGTATAAAATAAAAAGTTTTTTAACACAGATTCAAATACCTTTGACCTTGCTAGTGGCCACCCTACAGAAACCGTATCCATATCTTTAAAAAGATCTCCGTAAAAAAATAATTTATAAGGGTCTGCATCGGTAAAATTTTTCAAAAAAAAATTAGTAACTCAAAAAGTACGCATTTTTGAAAAAAGTTTTTTAGACAAAAGCACTCTAAAATTTTGCGTACATTTCGAAAATATATTAATATATGGGGTGTCCCATTTAAAATAACAAAGTTGATGTCCACTTCCGGTATAATCGGAAGTAAAGAAAAGTTGAAAATATTTTCATTGAATAGAGCGCATCGACTAATACTTGTACACATATTTTCAAATTTTAATTACAACTACTTTTCCAGATACTTCTAATGGGCCCTCGTCGTGACACACACTGTATATGGGTACCTATAAGTGCAAATTGTTAAATGTCATTGTTATTTTCATCTAAAAAATGCTTTAAGAAAAAATGTCTTAGGGGTCGAATATTTCAACTTTCTAAGCATATACTTTATGGTTTTGATAAAATTTCAAAATGTGTATTTTCATTGACAAGTAATATTCTCCGTGTTTCTACTTGGATCTACATCTAGGTATATCAATTTGGTGTCGAGTTTATTTGTAAAATTAGCCACAGATATAAGCATATTTAAATATCCTGGCAAAGTTATACATTGCGGAAATTAATTGCATCTATAATATAGACCGCACTCGCCACAAGTAGACATAATACAACGGCACTGAAAAATCTCAGAGAGTCGAGATAATACAATCCCCCCCAATAATTCTGCATGCAGACTGTCTAAATAATAACTGACTCTCAAAACGAGGTGTCACGTTGCCCACCCAAATGTTTCCGATCCTGTTCATGTAACATTCGTGTCTCGTTTAAAAGTATAGGTATCACTTCCATACTTTTTTTATTAACCACGAACCGATCCAATAAATCCTTCACCAGCTAAACAGTTTTGATCGGTACAAACGAGATGAGTCGACAGACGATTAGGCCAGTTTCAGAGAGTTCAAAATTATTCTACCAATGTAAAATTTTCCACTTCGTACATTATCAACACTGATGGAGATATCGTATATAAAAGTGTGCATGAGCAAATAAAAGCTACATTCAATAAACGAGGGGAAAGTATACCTACCAGTAGATGTATACAGTATTGGAAATAAATTCACGCATAATAGGCAAATCAATTGAATTGAAATGCAATTCTATTGAAATGTACACTGGTAGACTGGATTTAGACTTTAGCCGGCTAAGAATTTAACGTTGATTTTCCCTATTATGCGCCAATTTATTTCCAATACTGTATTAGGTAATAGTTTTACCACTATCAGTGCATTAGAATCTTTTATGGAAAATATATTAACATCAAAGTATAAAATAATGGAACAGGTATATGTCTACCTATATGAAAGGTCCAACTTATCTAACTCCACATTCTACCATTTGTATAACAAAATATAGTGAAGAAAGTATCTACATAGGTAGATGAAAAATATTCCTGTTATTTACAAAGTTTAATGCGAATTAGAAATTGTAACGAGAAACTGGGTATAAAAAATGTTGATCAGAAGTGGGATTAAAACTAAACAAAACCATAAAAATGTTCATTTTTCTTTCGAAAGACCGGTCTACAAATGAAAAGTTTAATGCGATGATTTGACGGACTGTCGTCCGTAAAGGTGTCTTCGATGTAGCGCGTTGTCCGCCTTGTCTATCAGGCTGTGCATGCCGTAACAACTCCGGTACGCTCGGCTGAAACGCTTCGCCCCGTTGCGACCACGTGTGCCCGTTTTGATCCGGGGGGCGCCCGAAAAAGCCCGCTTTGCTGCCGTACGTCTCTCGTCGAGTCGCATTTACCGATTGCGAGAGCAAATAAAAGGATTGCGCGCCTTGTAAATTAGGAATTGGACATGAAATGTTCCTGCGGTCGTTAAAGTTTTGGGATGTAATGTCTAATGTCGGTTTTTATTTGGGTTGTTTGCCGACGGAAATGTAGGATATTTCAAGTCTCTTTTTCAATTCGGTAAAAAATAAATATATTTCTTTAGATAATGTAGGTTGTTCTATTTTGAATTAATTATAAGTATACCTATAACTTATTGAGTTGATGATGGTGAGTTCATAACTTAGAAAAAAAGACACATTTGTATCAGCATAGAAGCATGTAGAAGCATAATTCAGTAAAAAATCGGTGTTATTTCTTACTAGTAAATTATTATGCTATAGAAAAAAGAAATTGTTTCAAAAGTAATTATTTGAATAAACATCAGGAATAAACAGGTCAGAATAAACAAGCTCCAGTATATCTATACATATATAGATTTAAAAAATATAGAATAGCCTGCTCTAAGAAACGATTGTTTTTTGACAATTTTGCAAAAGGGATTGATTTGTTTAATTGTGCATGGCACCTTTTCTCAAAATTTCTTCTATATTATAGTCTATAATCTATCTAATGATCAACTTCTATACCAACTTATATCTACAAATAACAGTTTTTACTTCTCATCAATCAATTGTATATAAGTACATTGTATAAAAAATATTTTTTAGAGAAATTCTCTCATTAAATTGATTTTACCTTCCACACTCTTATATGTTTAGAAAGTATAAATATATAGGTATCTAATGTCTTGGAAAGGTCTTTCCTCAATTTCGTTATATCGTTTGCTCCATTTCCGATTGCAACATGGTCATTTCTATATATGAGTTGAACAAAGAAAGATTATTAAAATAACAGTTGTCAGAGTGAAAAGTTGCAATGACACAAATGTCATTCTTTCCTTTTCCTTTATAAGTGTCTAATGGAAGTTGTCTTTATCGCACCCATGGCCTATATAATCTTTGTTGCTATCAAAAATGGAGTAACCTGTATCATTAATCACATCAGCTATAACTATAGTTAATTTACTCTCTTTTTTTGTAGTAAGTTAAATAATCTTTAGTATATAGGACCTATATGCTGCAACTTAAGTGTTTTCCGCAACTCTTTACCTAGTTAACTTAAATTCCTAAGGATATCCTAAATATATAACATATTCGCAACATCAACTAATTCAAATCAATTAAGCATCCATCATCACTCCACATCAATTAGCGATAGAAAAACAGATCTCGCAGCCAACAAAACCGGCGTGCCGCAAGAAAATTCCCAATTAAAATAACGAGCGGCCTCATCGCCGACGAGAGGAAAGTCACCTAGAGCAAATCCCAATTTCACAGTGCATTCGATATCGCCGATCGTGCGTACCCGGTGTCGCGCACCAATAACTTTCCGGGCCTGCCTATGCGTCGGCGAGCCGAGAAACCGTTGGGCGCGGATCCGGCCATTTTATAGCGCCGAGGCGGAGCCAACGGGGCCCAGGGCATCCTTCACGTCCTTCTTACCAGAACCGTGAAGTTCCACTCAAATGGTCACTGAGATTTGTCACACGCGCAGCTGTGGCTAATCGCAAACGAAGTGGAGCAGTGGATTTTTTTGATGCTTCGCTTCCAGCCGGACAAATATTCGAATTTTTTTGGTTAATTTTGCGGAAAATTGTTCGGTTAAGGGATTTTTGAAGTACAAGTAGTGATTGTATTTGTATTGTAATTAATTTTTGTGTGTGCAACAATATATCTTTTTACTTTTTCGTATGGATAGATAATTATGGATACTGGTGAGTCTTATTTATTTTTTTGTTGGTAGGATTAAGTATGATGGTTAAATATTACAAATCTATTCTTTATATGATATTAACTTCTATATTATATCTACATACAACTATACCAAAAATGCAAAGGGAAAATAAATGAAGAGTCAATAAGGATTTTCAATCGATACTGATGTATGATGACCAGATCTAAAACGCCTATTAAAAAGTTTTTCGTTCTACAAAAAATATTGCGAAACTAACTCTATAAATTCGCAGGAAAACAGGTCTTCCGCCGCTCAAATGCTTTACTTACAAATATTGATTATCTTATATCTAATAATTGAATGATAATCGTATATTTAAAATATTTAAAAAGGGTTTATCTAGTTATATTTGAATCGATACACTCCCATTTATTACCTATTGTAGCAGAAATTATAAATAGAGAAGTAAAAATCTTTTACTCTATATAATTCCTCACTCTTAATATATACCTTCAGGTGAAAATATTCTCTTAACATTATGATGATAAAAGAAAATTGAAGTATAGGTATTATTCAAAAATTAATTGTTATTTATGTATTAATAATATGTGAATGCTGGATGCATTTCAAATGATTCCTGAGATACCTATCCTCAAAAAACTTTTATATATCTACATAATAATAAAAAACTCTTTTTTTCTTATATATCACATAATTTTTCTATTTAACTATACATCAGTAACTATATCGGTAACTACATCAGTAACTCATACCAGTGATCGCGGATAATTTACGATAATACATTGGGTTCTATACAATTATTTATCTAATTCCCAAAAATATGTATAAATTATTTTAAAGACCAAATCATTGACCCGGCGCAAATGGATGAAATTTGTACGGAACTCGAGTTAAACCCTATTAGAAACTCGAGCCTTTTTTTCTATTTGCTCAAGCTACCGGTATCTTTGAACATCATCGACACGATGTGGACAACCTTTTAAGCAGCTTTCCCAATAACGTTACTCAAACACTTCCGATACAGCGAACAAACAGTCGAAATGTGTTTGGGTACCTATTCAAAATACGCCCAAGACAATTAAATTTTTTTTGAATGTTTGTCGTCGTTTTGTCCTCTCATTACACTCGACAAGTCGCCGGATATATCGATGAGAAAATTTCTTTGTGATATGAGAAAAGCGGCAATTCAGTTTTCGGTCCGAAAGCGCGGGCGCTTATATCTATGCAGTGAGTAAATTATTGTTTTAGAAGTGCATTAAGTTAAAATCCATTTAGATTAGCAAATATAAGATTAGGTAAATATTTAAGTAGAAAAAATTTAGAAAGAAGGTGCATAAACTCTCTTACTTATCCTGAAACAAACTGAATAAATTATAGAGATTTTAAGGAAGGAAGAGGAAAATAATCAAATATGTAAAACTTGAGTAAAGTCTACAAAAGAGGAATATTTATAAAACCATGCAATAGTAAAATCACAAAATTAGTAGTACAGTGTCAACTTTTTCACAAACAAATTATTGGATTTCGTGGCAAAAAAGCCTCCAAAATTAAACTTAAACTTAGAAGAGAAGAAAGAGAATAATATAAAACATATAATGTCGAAGAAATGTGAAGCCTCGTACCAACAAACAAATATTTATTAACACAGCAATGACCACATGGTAACGTAACCGATAAACTACCTATACGCATGCATTTGTTGCAGATTGTATTTCACACCTTGATGAGATTTCAAAACCGTCGCAAATTGAGAATAATTGCTCCGGTAACTTTTCCGCGAATTAGGTTCACGGCACTCAGGTTTTTTCATGCAGTAACGCTGCTCGTTACCTCCGATTTAATGGTCCTTTGACAATGCGAACAGAAAAAACCAGGAGCGCTCTTTTATACCGATATATCCTGCATGTATTTATTTGGTGAATAAATTAATACCCTTATGGTATATGAATTTGAAAAGGTTAAAAATATACAGAAAACAGAGGAATACCAATTAGTAAATAGTTAAATTAATAAAACAACATGAATTTTGTTATGTTTTGTTTTAATTTTAACTCTATATTAGAGAATTATAGTCGTTATAATAAATATTTTTGACAAGAAATTATTAAATATTAAATTGCTGCTTCATATTTCACTAAAAATCAAATCAGATCATATTTTTCATTATTTATCAGTCATCATATTTTCTAAAACTACTTTATTATTATATGTTAATAAAGTTAACCTTTTGTACCTATACTTGGTTAAAAGTAAATATAAAATTGGTCCGAAACGAAATACAAACTATACCTGGCAACTTAATATTTTGTATGTTATTATTATTTGTATAGTTTTCATACGCATGAAGAACTATAATGTGCCACAGATCATTAGAATTAAGTGAGCCTTGAAAAATATCAACGATATTGCCTTTATCTTTTGACACTAGGCGATAACCTTTCGACTTTGGTTCACTGAATAGGATGTGGAGCGTACAATATTATGTTAAAATGTGTAAGATTGAATATATATAACATCACTAGATAATTTTAGAACTTTATGGCATCAAAAGGCTATACTGAAGTTTTAGAAAAAAATTGTCTTAATTGATCAATTCAATAAAATAGTAGGCAAGCATCTTGAGATATTGGTTAGATTTAGTAAGATAAATGTGTTCATGTTCAGGATATTTTCATTTTCTGCTTTATGTAGACTTTACCTATACATGACCTATTCTGTAAGAAATTATAAAATACCTAGATCTTTTTATACTCGGTTTTAAGGCAGTATAGTTTAAATGATGATATCTATTTGATGATATCTTTTGATGATATCTATTTATTTTGAAAGTTCAAACTTTCGTAAAAAGGTTTTTTTCATTAAATAACTGAAAATGTTTTGGCAGTCGAGCATGCAGTTAATAGATGTTAATTTGCTTTTGGAAAAAAGTGCTGTCAACTCGCCATTTGTTTTAAATTTGTCAACATGAAAAATATTTTTCAAAATTTTCCGCTAAAAATTTCGAATTTGTTTTCATTTAGTAGATAATTTTAAGGCATTTCTGTATAGAAAATATTAATTAACTGCCTTTTCTTTAAAAATGTTAATCGCTAGTCAAAATAGCCCACAACATTATATGTAGAAATTATAATACCAATATCTAGGAAGAAGGCTCTCCTTAAAAAAATAATTAAAAAAACAAAAAAAAAAACAATAAATTGAATACGTGCAATTAACAATTGCGATTAACTTAACAAAATTATTGGCAGCCAGTTCAACATCTAATGCTAATGCATTTATATTTACACCTTGTTGATTGCTTTCTGGTACTTATCGCTTTAGAATGACAATTTTAATTTAAACACAACATGTGATGGTCGTAAATCAAAACCCGTCGACTTCAAAAGCGCCGAAGCCTTTATAGAAATTTTCTGAACCACAAAGCCTAAAATTGTGAACAGCAAATTATCCATGGTTCCCGCCTCGAAACAAGCTCCCCATACACAAAACGCGGATTGTTGAAAAAAACCCACAAATCACAACAAAAAAATAATAAACAGTTTTTTACTGCTACTCGAATGCTCTCTAATTTGAGAAGAGACTATTTAATTAGTCTCTACTACACATACATATAAGTGCAGGGAAAAATAAAACTTTTTACAATAACTTATGAGCAGGAATAGTATAGATATTAGCCGAGAATATGGACATATGTAAATATGAAAAATATTTTCCGCTGTAAGCCATGCGGTCAAAATGTCAATTATATTAAAGACGCGACGTTTCCGAGGAAGCATATGCGTGACTTGTGGCTTGTGACCGTATATCTTTTCCTCTGTTCTTGTCAAGGGTGTAACTAATGCTTCGAGATTAGGGGTCGTAACCTTATGTTAAACTCGCAAATTGTTCGAGATAATATTTTCGGAATTTCTTGGGGAGGAAGGCCGCGCGCGTCACGGAATAACTTCCGAGGCGATTTTATGAATAATGAACACGATTTTAAAAATAAGTTTTGAGTAAGTATTATGTAGGTATGGTTAAATTTCCTTAACATTAGCTAATTGGATACTGTGTAAGATTCTACAAATAATTAGTGACTGTGAATAATGGTAAAAATAATTATGGTTTCTATATACCCACACATTTTCCCTAACCTACTTGTTCTCCCTATTCGTTACCAGATTCCAGATTTTAATGCCCCAAACTTATTTTTTCGACAACCAGATTTTTTATGAAGAATGTTTTTCGAAAAATTAAGATTTTTTTCTCGTGATGTCAACTCCATTCCATCGTGTTACAAAAAAATGCAATTATTCACATAATGTTTTAATTTATCTAGTCCCTTTCATCGCCCTGGTCTTATCCCATTTCTTTCATATAGCTGGTATACAGCGCACACATCATGAATACATTATACCATCAGAGCTCACAAGGATTTGATTTACCATCAGAGTAAGCAAGACGCGCATAAAAGAAGTAAATGCATATATTTTACTGTTAAATCGGAATTAGTAACGGGTTCGCGACAGGGTTATTTTCGTAATTGAATGTTCGAATTTCCGAGAATGAATGGAGCTTAGTACGAGTAAATGCATCAACAGACCGTAAAATTTTTCGTTCGTTACTTTTTGGCCATTCCGTTAACAACTTTAACGACTCCGAAGGGTTGTTTATAAACGAGCAAATAATAGTTAAAAATAATTCTTAATAAAACCTTCATTGAATATTTTCTGTTGTTAGCTAGATTCTTTGGGGTTATATTTTTTTATATCCATAATCTATATCCTATGTTGTTATCCTAAATATATTACCTTGTATTTTGGTCCTGTATGGAAATATGATGAGAATTTAGATCTAATAGGTACTGCAAAGTTATTCCTTTCACCAAAAGTATAATATAACTTTGTATCAGCAGCCTCTGCCGTTCAATTTTATTCCATTTTATCATCAAAAATTGGATAGAATCGTAGAATGCACTCGTTAAATGTATGGACATATATTAAAAAAAACTGAATTTTATTTTAAAATTTATCTGCCTTT